ACGAGGCAGAGTTGTTAGCCCTGCGCTCAACCCCCAACCTGGAGGACCAGACTACCCCGACCTGCAGTGTACTGGAGGTACACTGGGCGATGGGAGCGCCACTTTCCCTACGCCGGCTATGAAAAATTAGAAAAATTATAATGATATAGATAAAATTGAAACAGTTATTTCTAATAAAAGTATAGTTTCTGTTGATGAATATAAACCGAATAGTTAGTTTAGTTATTTTTGATGATTTTGTTTTAGAAAACCAATCAATAATGAATCAATATTTTATAAGGGTAGATATTAAATTATAAATTTATTGAAAAAAATGTATTTTGTGTAATAAATAAGAACACTTGAACAAAATCAAACCAATCTTGAGGAAAAAATTGAAAGTGGATTAAACTTAAAAAAATTGAATAAATACAAAAAATAGTACAATGTGAAGAGAAAAAAGAACCAAAAGAAGCAGAAATTAACAAAACAATTAATCTTAAAAAAAAATTAGGAAAAATATATAAAGATGAGGCTGAGAAAAAACTAAATGATGAAATAGAGAAACAAAAAACATTTGAACCTATACCAAGGGATTAAAAAATGTTGAAGAAGCTGTTGGAAAAACTGATGATGACATTAAATCATTTTTAGTTCCTGTGAAACGAACATCAGATTTTATTACCATACAACAAAAAATGATAAGAGATAGAGACTTAGAAACAGAAATTAAAAATTCAATTATTAATAACAAAATAGAAGTTATTGCAACTCATTATTTACCTAAATTATCAAATGATAAATTTGGATGTTTCATAACCATGAAACAAATATGTATATGATACTTAAAAATGATATTCATATTAAAGATACCAATATTATTTTAAATAGACAAATTTAGAATAATGATAAAAACAAAAAGAGTCAAATCAAATAAAAGGGAAAAATACATGAAACTGATCTCTCCTATTTGGAAAAAAATCAGTGAAATTAAAATTCACAAACTGTACATGAAGGATCTGGGTTAATAAATTTTACAAATTTTAAATTTTGTAACTAAAGAAATGGAAAAATTAGTTGATACACTTCGTAGTATATAATATCTAATTTATTTTATTGCAAGTTTACCAAAACGAGTTAAATTAGAACATTTTCCACATTAATTTTACTAGTTAAGTTACAAAGTTATTTTGAATGAAAAATAACTAGGTAAATTAGAAAGTAACTTTTTAATTTAAATTTAACTTTCTAAATATTTAGTGCCCAGATTTGTACAATACTGCCACTGCAATAAAAGCAGCAAAAACATGGTTGTATACTTCCAAAAGTACCCAGGTCTCATTAATTGTAGAAATATGAATTTGGTAATAAAATAAATACGAGAACAAACACTGTGCTTTGTTGGGAGCCGAATTTTTATTTTATTTTTTAACTCCATTTTATTTATATTTGAAATTTGAACATTTATAAACCATGTTTCTACAATCAATGAGACCTGAGTACTTTTGGAAGTACGTAACTATGTTTTATGGTCAAATTTTTTCTAAGTTCGGCGTCGACCATTGTACGTCCGCACGTATGTTTAAACTGTTGCTCCGCTATCGCTGTTTTTTTTTATCTAGATTATTCCAGTTTCCATATCTCTTATAACTTACTATCAAGCTTTTAATTATCTATTGTAGCTACGTCTACAGTCCGGCGTGCAGCCGTCGGTAGATTACCGAGGCTGGCTATCGCTTTTACGTATTTGAATTAAGCAGATAACGACAATGGCTTCTCTGAACGCGGCATCCTCAAGGAAACAATCAAAATCTAAAGATAAACTGTCATCTAATATAGAGAAAAAAAACCTACCAAGAAACCTCAATATACAGAGTGTGCCTAGTGACGTGTTCAACGACTCACCTGAAAACGAATGTGATGTTTTCGAAACGCCAAAAAAAACCGCTAAGCGACATCTTTCCTCAACAAAATCCAATGGCCAGGAAGCAGATAATAAAAAACCTATGTTTGCGACAACAAACAGATTTACTCCTCTTGCCACTAACGATCAAATAGATCCTTTCACCAGTCCACCGCAGGCTCCCTCCAACACTGATAACTGTGAAGCACCAACTAGAGCAAATTTACCTCCCCCAATAATTGTCCGTGGCGTACTTGACTTTATTAGCTTTCGTGATGAACTCGTAAGGCTAGTTAGTTCTGACAACTTCTTCTTTAAATCATCCACTAATGATTTAAAAATACAGTCAACTAAACCAGAATTTTACCGTGCCATTATCCACTTCCTAAAAGAACGTAAGGCACAATACCACACATATCAACCACGTGAAGAAAAATCTTTCCGTGTTGTCATTCGCAACCTGCACCCATCAACACCAACGGCTGAAATAGGATTTGCCATCGAGGAATTAGGATATACAGTGCGCCAAGTAGCAAATGTTATCCACAAGATCACAAAAAATAAATTACCTATATTTTTCATCGACCTTGAACCGGCGGCAATAAACAAGGAAATTTTTAACCTAACGGTAGTACTTCATACAAAGGTAAAAATCGAAGAACCACACAAAAGGAAAGACATTGTGCAGTGTCTNCATTCTCAAAAAGGCAAGGTACTCACTCGGCTAATTCTCATTATATAAATAAATTAAGTAACACAAATTGTAAAATCACCCAGCTACCAACGGCCGCAGTTAATCACCCACTACCCTCTCGTTCTTACGCCCAAGCCACAAGCAGCCAAAATTTGCAATCACCTCCTACGGCCCAATCTAGCGATCTCTCCCCTCTAACCAATTTTATTAACGAATTTAAAGCTTTGATAAATCCACTTTTATCTCTCCTCACCACTGTTCTCGATCGCCTACTTACCCAAAATGTCAAATAGTCCTTTTACCTCACAATCTTTAATCATCCTATTATGGAATGCTAACGGTCTAGCAAACCACAGAAATGAATTAATAACAACTCTAAACGAAAAAAGAATCGACTTAGCTTTAATCTCAGAGACCCATTTTACCTCCAATACTAAATTTTCAATTCCTGGCTACACGACAATTCCAGCTAACCACCCTGATAACACGGCCCATGCAGGTGCAGCGATTTTCATCAGGTCATCTATTCAATTTACACCCCTTCCCAGTATTAATGAAGACTTCCTTCAAGCTGTAGCGATAAATATTAAATTAAACCACACCCCAATTACTATGGTGGCGTCATATTGCCCACCTAAACACAAAATTACGCAGACACAATTTGAAAATTTCTTTAACTCCTTAGGTCAATACTTCGTCATAGAGGGGGACTTAAATGCCAAACACCATTCATGGGGTTGTCATACATCTAACCCAAAAGGGAAATCTCTACTAAAAGCAATTAAAAATAAGCAATTATCTGTTCTTGCCCCTCCTAACCCTACATACTGGCCTTCATCACTAAGAAAACGCCCGGATATTCTCGATATATTTGTTGTCCAAGTCCCTCCAAGATTGAATCATCTAGTTACAAACTTATTGGACCCGTGTTCCGACCATTCCCCAGTTCTCTTATGCTTAGACGCCTCACCTTATCTCCAACCTGGTAAACCATCACTGATAAATGGTGTTATGGACTGGGAAAATTTTCGTGATATAATTAATCAAAGAATAAAATTAAATATAAGTCTGAAATGTCCAAGTGATATCGATGACGCTGTTCTTGATTTTACTGAAATTATCCAGTCAGCTGCGTGGAACTCCACCGTCCACCGGAAGAAAAATGATAGCTCTAACCAGTTGCTAATTTCTGCACACGTCCGCGAACTAATAACCCAAAAGAGGAAAGCCAGAGCCCGTTGGCAACAAACAAGACTTCCATCTGACAAAAGTATTTATAATAAACTAACCTGGTCACTTAAACGTATCCTTCAACATCTAAGGAACGAATCCTTTAATAACTGGATTGCATCCCTAACGACCAGGGACAACTCGCTCTGGAGAACAACACGTAATTGTTTAAAACAAAAGTCCGCCCCAACTTCCTTAAAAAAATCCGATGGTACTTGGTGCAAATCAGATAAAGAGAAAGCTGAACTTTTCTGTTCTCACCTTTCGGAAGTTTTTAAGCCTCACCAACCAACTTCTAACGTCACCTTCTCGGAAACAATTGAAAACTCTCTTAATTCAGCCCTGCCACTTTATCTCGCCCCCAAACTTTTTTCACCAGGTGCGGTTCTTCGTTTTATAAATACGTTTCCACTGAAAAAGTCACCCGGTATAGACCTCATCACAGCTGAGGTAGCTCGACAACTGCCAAAGACGGCTTTAATTCACCTAACCTATTAATCTAGTTTAAGATGTGGTCTTAAACTCTATCTTGAGGCTTTCGTACTTCCCCATTCAATGGAAAGTATCCCTTATAATCCTAATTCCCAAGCCTGGCAAACCTCCCGATACTCCATCATCTTATCGTCCAATAAGCTTACTTCCTTTCTTTGCTTTTGCAAACTGTGCGAAAAAATGATCCTAAAACGAATATCCAATATAATTAACAACAAAAAAATTATCCCCTGCACGCAATTTGGCTTCCAAGACAAACATTCCACTATCCATCAGGTACACCGCCTTATTGACTCAATTGCCTACTCCTTAGAAACGAAGTCACACTGCTCAGCTGTCCTACTCGATGTTGCCCAAGCCTTTGACAGAGTCTGGCATCCTGGTCTCTTACACAAGCTGAAAATAATTCTCCCTCCACCGTATTATTTATTTTTTAAGTCATATCTCGAGGACAGATTCTTTGCCGTTAAAGTTGGCTCTGAAATCTCAAATTTGGCCCCAATCCTTGCTGGTGTTCCTCAAGGCGCCATCTCTTCTCCCATATTGTTTAACATATACACATTGGATCAACCAACCACTTCTCAAACTTCTGTAGCAGACTTCGCTGATGATAAAGTTATATACATTTCTGAAAAAAAACCCATTTCTTGCCAGCCAATATTTGCAGAACCATCTAAACCTACTCTCTGATTGGTATTCTAATTGGAGAATTAAAATAAACAATGACAAATCATCCCACATCACCTTCACTCTCAAACAATCCACAGTACCTCCAGTTTATTTAAACAATAAAGTTATTCCTTCCTCCTCTAATGTTAAATATTTGGGTCTCACTCTCGATAAACGACTTACCTGGGCCTTACATATTAAGGAAAAACGTCTCTTGCTAAATGCCAGACGAAGAGCGCTCTTCCCACTTATAGGAAGACAAGCAAAAACTGACCTAAAAACTAAACTGCTACTGTACAAAACCCTTCTCAAGCCAATTTGGTTATACGGTATCCAATTGTGGGGTGCAGCAAAAAAGTCTAATACTTACAAAATCCAAGCATTCCAATCGACCTCATTGCGAATGATTACAGGCGCTCCTCCGTATGTTTCAAACCACACCTTACATTCAGACTTAAAAATTTTAACTGTCCATGAAGAAGCCAAAAATGCCTATAGACTTTTCCGCGGGCGTCTTACAAACCACTCTAATTTACTAATCCATGCCCTAAACTCCAATTCCATTCCAGGTAATCCACCTAGAAGGTTAAAACGTAACTGGAACCATGACCTATAATAGCCCTCTATAGCCAGTAAGTGCTGGGTGATTACTTCTTTATGTCGATCTCGCCTTTTTTATTTTTATTTTTTTTTTTTTTTTCCATAATTCCTCAAACATGCTTATTGTAAAAAGTATTTACAGATTGTATGTGTTAAAATTAAAATTAAAAAAAAAAAAAAAATTTTTTACTTAGGAAGCCCTCCTTAAATTGTGAATTAATGTATAATATGTTTAATGGAACTGGTAATTGTGCTGTGTAACCTTGATCGTTTATTTTACATAAATTAAATTTTTAATGTATTACACAAAGACAGGTTATTATTACTATTAAGACAGGTTTTTTTTAAATCATTTATTTATTGGAAGCTTAATAAAAATCTATGCAGCATTTAATGGATACATATGTAACAGTGTAGTACATATTTTAAATATTTAACTAAAGAAATACAATACATAAAAAAGTTAAAGGTATAATTGAAATGTATATAAATGTAGATGAAAAACATACAGATTATAGTAGGTATTATAATGTTACAATATCACAGATGGCACCAATATAAAATAATTAGAGATAAAAGCATAAGCGCAACTAGAACTTTATTTGTAGGTGGACAAAATTATTAATTTTCATAAACTACACATAGGAACTATAAATTTTATCAAACTGGATGAGCTACAGACAAAACTGGGTGAGTTATTCCCACCCAGGCCTTCCCTAGTTGCGCCTATAGATAAAAGGTATAACAGCGTATAATATTATAGATTAAAAAATATCTAAATTATGGACACAATATTAATATTAAGTTCATTAAACTTATCAGTTGACTAGATTACAATAATAATATTTATAATACATAATAAAAAATAAAATAATATTTAAAACCGTATTTACTGTACACATATTTGAATGGAATTGAAGTTTCTGGTATAGAAGTCGCAACATAGAATGAGTTAATGGTACGGCCTAAAACTTTACATATATATATTATAAATTCGACTATCAATTTTAAAATATTAAATTTCTTTTAGATAATTTGATTACATGTATGTCAAAAATAAAACTATATTTTATAATTATTCTTATTATTTTATTAACAAATAAAATTTCAATCATATTTTGTAATAGAAAATCATTAACTATATAATTTATTATACAAGAATGTTGCGACAATTTTACCGGAAACTGAACATACATTCACAATTAAATTACAATATTTTCATTAGGTTATTGATAGTATATAATATTGAAAAAAACTTAATAAATTAGTTAACATATATCCTATTTTTATCATAAAGAATAGGTTTGATCAATAAGTACCAATATTTTAAACTAAAAAGCTAGATGAAAAAATTCAGCCACTATTAAATATTGTTATTTTTAATAATCATTATTATTATTATTATTATTGTAATAAAATTTTTTTACCAACCAATTATATTAAAAATTCAATTTCATAAAAGATGTAATGATCACACTCAAAACACAGGATTATAGCTAATATGATATTTCCAAAACAATATTCTATACATAATAGTTTAAAATTTCTAGATAAACAATTATACTACTATTAATGTATGCAATATGTATGTATATTAATATACATTATGCATACAATAGTATAAGCCAACCAATTATAGTAACATTACATAATAATATGTTATAAATGTATAATAAAATATAGATAATTTAAAATAATCTCACAATTTACTTGATAAAAAAACTTGTAATATTTGTAGAATTAAAGTCATAAACTAATATAGCTACATCAAATTCGTTTTTATTTCTAACTAATTATTTTAATGTATTAACAAAATTTAAAATAAATTCTAATTAGAAGAATTAAAAATAAATTTACTACCTTAAAAAATTATAAAATTAGTCAAAATTTGTAACTCAAATTATATAATAATCCAAATTAATTTATATGTAATTATGCTTACAAAAATATAAGTATACTAATTAATTAATTAATTAAACCAGTGGTGTAAACTGGGGCACACTTAAGGCCCCTAATAAAATATCGAGGTTCAAAGGTTTGTTTTGTGACCTTTGATATTTCTTCAATATTAAAATTATTTTGAAATAATTAGTAATTATTTATAATAGTTTTTGTTAAAATTGTTGTTCATGGAAACAGTATTTCTGTAAGCTCTGGACAGCAAAATTATTTGTCAAACATTTATCTACTGCTATTAGTAATATGCTCACATATTTTTAAGTTATTCATTATCTACTAGTTGTACTCCCAATAATAAGACATGTTATAGTATATTATATTTTGTCTATTAACTGTGAACAATAGCTAGTTGATAGATATTTTTGATTAGAGATCATATTATGTTACTAATAACAGCTATGAACAATATTTTTATCTTTATTTATAATACATAAATAAAAAAAAAAACAATTTGTTTAAATATAATAAATAATTATTTGAATAAATCAATAAGAAATAAAATTCTTGATGATATTTTGACTTTGGAACTTTTTATGAATAAAGAACTTTAGCAACAACTCGGCTAACTTACGCCACTGGTTTTATACAATGAATGTATTATATTTTATATAAAAATAATAAATATATTATGTATTATAAATAGTATGTAAACACTAATTGAGAACACTCAATACCCTAGTACAGATCCATGCAATTTTAATTTTGTTTTTTAGTTGGTTGTTAGACTTAGTAATGCAAATGTTCATCCATTCAGATATTTTTTTACTATTGATAAGATATGCACATACACTTTCAACCTCTGTTTCTTAAATGAAAACTCCTATTTTAGTTATTAATAATTTTTAATTTTTTCAAGAATTTTAATATGCTAAAATCTGAGTATATTTTGGTAAATTACTAAGTATACTAGCAATAACTTAATATTAAATAATATTTTAATCTTCTGTTTATATTTATATGTCTATTGAAGTATTATTTTTGTTATGTTATGTTATAATTAGAGCATGGATATTATAATATTAAAAAACTATTGAAATTGATTGCAGTATGTCACAAAAAATACTGAAAATTGCACTAAAAATATTAAAAATTGCATTAAATCTGAACAATTTTTTTACAAAAATGGAAATAGTTAGCTTAATTTTCGGCATATTTACAAAACAATAATAGAACACGATCACTCAAAATTCACGGAGTGTTTGAAGAACAGATTATAACAGTCAAACAGTCACTTTTCAAAATTATTTTTGTATAGAATACCTACCAACTTGAAATTATCAAAATAAAAAAATGATACCATTATTATTTTTTATGGCTGGCAATATTATAATATAATCTTATATATATGATTACCTTGTGTTTATGGCTAAAATAGTTGTGTAAATAAGTAAATTCAACAAAATTGCAAAACATTACATTTAAAACTTCTAGATTTGAATTCGTACTTGCATGAAAAGTACTTAAAACTTACTTAGCAATAAATTAAAAAAGTAGAAAAAAAGTTGAAAATGCAACGATATTCATGCCCTAGTTATAATGTATATTATGTTGTAAGAATTTTTGAAATGATTGATAAGATAGCCATGGGCTTCAACATGAGTTCCTCTCCTCTCAGTGAAGCCCAGTAACCAGTTGGTATTAAAAATAAATTTTAAAATTTTAAAAAAAAATCACTAAAAAACCATAACTCAAATTGCATGTCTTTGTGCATTCAATAAGGGTTTACACACTGATAGGATTAACCTTTTTATCAAACAATTGTGATGATTTTTTTCTTTTTATTAATACATTTCATTTACAATATAAAATAAATTAAGAAATAGATAAAGGACTGTTCTAACAATGTGTAAGACATTAAGTTTTTGCTAATGATGACCAGCAGTTATTATTTTGTCCTAACAGTTATATGATGACATTCAACAAGTTTGAAATTAAACCAGTTTAGATTAATATCTACTACAACTGTTTATTTATCTATAATAATAAATCAGTTTAGTGAACATTTTCCAAGCCAATTTAAATTTAATTGTTTTCTATATGACTTGAATTTTGTTCCAAGAGATATAATAACATTCTGAGAATATTGATAATATTTATGATTGTAATTTCAAATCATGTTTGTGGACTTTCTTTATATTTTAAATTATATTATAATTTAATTTAATTAACAAATGATTATTGATTTAATAATTAATATTATCAAATTAATCATTAATAATATTAATGATTATGATTATTTATTAATGTTTATTATAAAACATTTTTCTTTACAATGCAAAATTTACCGAAAATTTAATTTCAATTATTAATTGTACATAACAACTAATAATGTATAAAATGCAGATACTAGCCACTAGGTAATAATTAGACATTTAATGCAAAAAAACAAATAACTGATAAAATGATAAGGTTTGATTAGATTTCAACAAAACACATTTATATGATCATGTGATAAACTGCATTAAACTTTAAAAGGGATTTAGTTTCTTAAACTGCTTAATGTGGTTTTAATTTTGAAACCGGTTTGATGTTTTTAAACAGGTTTAAAGAGTTTCATGATAAAATTTTTAATTTCAAACTGTTTTAATGTCATCATATAAAAGTACTAAATGGTTGGTCCATTAATCAACATTTAATTCTTAAAGATACTTAACAAGTTAACTGCCATAAATACCATATATATATATAAAATATATTGTATGGTTTTGGGCAATAAATAAATAATACAAATATTATAAATATAAAAAGATAATGAGATAATAAGATAATGAGTTAACTCAATAATAGAGGTAATAATTCATACAGTTTGGTAGGTAGTCATTATAGGTCTTGTCACAATACAACATCCAGATACCAATACCATTTTATCAGATTTATCAGGAAAACTTAAAACATAAGACTTGATACACTGTACATAATATGGAGTTGGGAGTAGGTATTTATAATAGGCATTGAATACCTAAAATGGTATTGATGTAAAAATAAACTATTCTGCTAGAAATATTATTAGATTTTAATGAAAAATACCCAACATCCACATAATAAAATGTATAAACTTGACTTGGCGTAACTAACAGTATAGCTGAATACCAAAGACCAATTTTGGTACTCAGAGAAGCAAGGACCACTCTAATAAAAACAGCTCGGCAGTCAACTTGTTAAGGAAATGATTTGAAAGAATAGCTGTGAATCCAACAGTAATATTTAATATTTGTGAACACACTGTCTGTTAAATTACTATTTATTGGTATAAATTTAAATGACTAATAAAGTATTCTTTTATAAACATAAGAGTTGTATAAGTTTACCTAACAAGTCAATAGAAAATTATTAATTTAATAGTTAAATGTTTTATTTTTCAATAAGAGTCTATTACTCATAAACATTGTTACATTCACCTAATAATTGCTAAGTAACAAATTAGTAACATGTTTTACAACAAAATTCATGAATAATTTTAAAAATTATAGTGCAATTGTCATAGAAATTGTATTCATCAATGAATATTAATAAAATTTAGTCAACTTGTCATCTTTCCTGAGTTTCTTAAAGAATCCTAAAAATAAAATGGTTGTACATTTTTAATAATTTATATTATTTCATAAAAAATAATTTTGTAACCTAAACAAATATTCACAAAATGTTAAATATCTTAAAAACAAAATACCATAAATTTGAAGAAATTAATATAATATAATTTAAATACTTAACACAACTTGTTTAAGCATATATTCAAATTGATCTTGATTAATCATATTTTAATAAATTACTTACATTCTATCAAATCCATAAACTTCAAGAACTTTTATTTCAAAGTCACGACTTTTACATAATGGGGGATTGTTAAATGTTGAACAATTTTCTGATTTTCCATATCTAACATTTTCATCCATCCAAATAGCTTGTCCATCACTAGAATATAAGTTAAAATTAAAAATATATTAATATAATTGAATTGTATACATAAATGGAACTATAATAAATAGGTAATTAATAATACCCTCCTCCTATTGTAATCATTTTTTGGTCTGCAGCCATAAATAATTCATTGGCATGCAAAACATTATTTACTTCCATTCCAACCCATGGATATTTTGCTTTACCAGGATATAGACTAAATATGAATGTTTCACCAGTTCCAAAATATGCTTGTCGATTTCCATATTGGTCTTTTTTATTTCGCTCAATCCACTTAGAAGAACAATATGCTCCAAATATCTTGATAATAAAATATTTTAATAATGTGAAATAGTAATAAACCCATAACTATTGTTTACCTCATTATTGCAAGTTTTTATTAATAGAATGGTTGGTTCATGATGTTCAACTCGGACATAAAATGTAGTCAAACTACATCCATGTTCTTCAGATGTATAGAGAAGTATAGGTTGGTACATTGTTATTCTCACTGGCAACCAAGACCATAGTATAATAAGCTAAAATCAACAAGATGATTAATTTAAAAAAACTGAATTTTTAAAGTGCTTTTAACAAAAATAAATGCTATAATTATAATATTAAAATACATTGTAAACCCTTACAACCCAAAATAATTAGGTAATAAAACCCAAACAATTATTAAAAGTCAGTGCATAAATACTAGACAAAAAGTCACACTACTTTAATCATGTTGTTTGGGTACTGTACAGTTTCTAAAATACATATTTTACAAGACATATTTATTGTGTTGACCAAACCTAGGCACATAACTAATTATTATAAATATCAATATGCATGCAATTTATTAAGAAAACAATAATTTTTAAATAATATTTTGAAGATCTTATTTAATATAATTATTTAGATATATAAAGAATAAGAACTATATCAAATTAATTACTTAGTAATATGCTAAAAAAATAGTGCTATTATAGTATCTAGATATTATTGAAAAAAAAAAATAAAAAAATAATCATATAAATAAGTTATACAATTTAAAATAATATTGAGCTATAAATATTGTTATAATTATTTAATTATTTTAAATCATATAATATTTATGTGCATATAAGTTTATTTTTTTTTTGTCCATGTATTTAACATTCAAATTTTAATTATTTCTTTAATACATAGGTATTATTTAATTTTTATTTAAGACCAATTATTTAAAACACCAAAATAATTTCTAGATAACAGGAGTTTCATTAATCAAGTCCAAACTAATAAACAATTATGCATTGAATAAAAAAAAAAAGTTCTATATATATATATATATATTATAGGGAAGTGTCCAAATTGTTACATATATAATGATAATTTTTCTATTTACTTTTTTGACTGATAAAGAATAAAATATGTATTGTATTTATTGCAAAATTAAAATAAAACCAAATAGCTGCTCTAAGATAGTCCAAAAATATTCTCTAGAACTCTAAAAAAGAATTAATAAATAAAGCTAAATGCGTGTACAGAAAAAATAAACAGAAAAAGCTAGGATAAAGAAATATATATATATATATATATATATACATAAATATATATATATATATAAATTTAAAGGATTTGCAAAAAAAAAAAAAAACGAAATCTTGAAATTATAATATCTGGATCCAGCTGCAGTTTTTCAGATAGTTAACTTACATCTTGAGGGCTTGCTATCAAAGATCTGATATTTTTAATTGGATAACTCGCCATGGTGGAAGTTCTTGGACTGGGTGAATGTTGTCCCTGAATTTTATTAATAACATACAAGTTTACTCTTATTTAAAAATATATTTAGCTATCAACTAAATGTGTATAATAATAACTTACCATTTATATCATGAAATATTAAGTTACATTATATACATTTTACTTAGATTAACTATATTAACAGATAATATTATCTATATAATATTTAACTTGCAAACATACATAACCTGACAATTAATATAATATTAAGAATTATTATTTTAAATTATAAACTAAAAAAATATAAATTAAAAATGTAACCTTGAGTATTATAATTTATAATGTTTTATACAATCTTTTATTATTTTAAACATAATACTAGATTGTTTGACACACAATCAAAATAAAATTTCAATGAAATGTAATATAAAGTATATTGCAGATATACAATAACTTTAAAACAAGTGCATTGTGTCACAAAATAATAAATTGATTATTTCTGTAATAGTCTTAAAAATTATTTTATTACAGATAGTTTGTTAGAACATATAAATCTATGAAGCAATTGTTTATTCAATTCAGGAAAATATAACAAAAATACAAAATAATATTTTTTTACCAAGATGAAATGTTTAAAAGGTTTTAATCAATTGTAAGTTTTAAATAATTTACAAAAGCTAATTATTACACAGTTAGTTCTAATATAGTTAATTTATGTTTTTATAATAGGTATTATGTCATTTTTAAGAATAATATTAATTATTTTAAAAACAACAATAATACATTTTATATAGTTAATAATTATGAGGTTTACTATTCTAAATTATAAATGAAATATATAACTTACCCCGCGGATGGTTAGAGTATTTGATATCATCTGAATGTTTGTCTGAGATTGACTAGAAGTTAAATTGCCAATAGAACAAGAACGATTTAATTTGTTTGAACCAGAAAGAACAGATTTACTTTTTAGAAACATTTCAGTTTTTAAAAAAACTCTATGAATATATGCCGAATTAAGGCCACGTATTTTAAATGCAATTTGAAGCAATTTTTGAGGATTAACCTAAAACAATATATTTGTCAACATAAATAACAATTATTATATTAAAATATACACTTAATAGATTTATTACAGGAATTTTACGACAAAAGTTCATCAGAGCTGTATCAATTCCATGTTTATTTATTTCGTCAGCCCAAATTGAATTGCTTGGTGATGAATATTTATAAAAAAGTATTAAAATAGCCATTGTCACACGGTATAAAACTTTAGCCCCTTCATGTAAATAGCAATCCATTACCCGCACCTACAAAATAAACATTTAAAAATAAAAAAATTATATTGATCTATAATTTGATTTTATTATATCAGACTAACAACATGGTGGAATGAAAGTCCTTGAAATATTAACCAAATCCAATTTGAATATATATTTTCTGATCTTTGAATTGGACAGTGTTTTCCAATGTAATCCACAGCCGATTTCTAAAAAATAATTATTTTTTTATGTATATGATTTCAGTTTATATAACTGTTAGGGTTTTTACTCACAACATGTTTTCTAGAAATTTGCATAACTGTTTTCCATGTAACTTCATACAATAGTTTTGTTTGAGTAACAAATATTAATTGTTTAGAGGATACTAAACTTGCTAAGCAAGTATAGCATTCTTCTTCTGAAAAAGATATAAATAATATAAAATACATTACACATATGTAATAAAAAATATCTCTTAGTAGAGTAAAATTATAATGTAACAATCATACCTGGCATAAAATGAAGTAACAACGCAGTTAACACATAAATTGCAGGACTATATGTGATATCTGGACAAGCATATCCCAGTACACAAACAATGCGATCAGTAATATTTTTGCCAGATGAATTAAGATGATGAGAGTATAAATGTTTATTTTCAACAAAGGTTGGTAAGATAATTTGTTTATCTGGAAGATCTAATCAAATTCAACAAATATTTAAAATAAAAACTGTAATGTATGTTAATAAACCATGGACATAGGATAAAAATATAAAATGTATAATATATAATTGTTTAATAGTTTTTAATATCTAAAAGCTTTAACAGTAGAGAAAAAACAGCTGATACTGCTAAGAGATGCACCACTATTGTAGGTGGGAAGTTGGAGAGTTAGGATAAATAAATTGGTTTAATTTATAACTATAAGCAATGAAAAACTATTACTAATGAATATGATTGAGGGTGAAGTTTAGTTTATATACATGATTTTAAATGATGTAAAATATGTATTTGTAAATATTTTATCAAAATTTGGTCTTAAAACCATTATATATATAAAAACAAAAATACTACATTAGGCTGACCTTTTCTTTTTTTGGCCATTTAATTTTAACTTTTAATGGACATCAAATTAAGTTGTCAACTATTTGTTTTTAATCAAACCTTTTTATCCACAGAACAAATATAAAATATAAAAAACAAATAATAAAAAATTCCAAACATAAACCACCAATATTTTTTAAAAAGTTTTGAAAATTGTACAGTATCTGAAAAATATTTTTTCTATGGAAATTTTTACCAAAAAAACCAAAATTGAAAATAACAAAAATATTAATGTTGTAACAATACCTTTATTTTCTATGTTTTTTCTGTTTTTTTTCCATTTTATATGAAAACTAATAGGAAAATTTAAAAATAACCACTCTAATGCACCAACCATATTCAAAATGCATCAAAAAAGGTCTCTATTAATTTTTGGTTAGAGCATGATTTTTCATAGAAGTTGTTTACAGGCAGAGAATTTATTTTTGAAAAAAAAAACACATAATATAGTAACCTACCTCCTCCGATATTTATAGTAATTTAACTACCATCTTGAATATACATGCAGATTTTAAAAAGAATATTCTACATTAATAAATTTTAGACAATAAATAAAATATCTTAAACCTATGTACATATGTATTACATTTTACAATCACTTCTGATAGAATTTATCCTAACTTCCCTATGTCAAATATAATAAATTTGTAAAATACTTATTTCTCATTTTAATTTTATATTCAGTGGAGTATTGCCTTTGCTCTTTTATTGCCAGTTCTATCATGATTTCTTTTAAACTGAAACTGGTAATATTTACACATTTATAAAACTCAAAGATTCATGTTGTTATTTTACTATATAATTATATTAAAATGGTCTTTATTTTGTCAATTTAAACATTTAATGTGAGTCACCTTGGAGTCTATCTTGTGCTATATAGTAAAAAAAATCTATCCTCAAACTTTGAGGCCATATGAATAAATTTCATGGATGTGCAATCCAATTAATATTAACCATAGTTCATTTAGAATTATTTTAAAATCAGAGAGTAGTGTAGGATTACTATGCGCAATTTATTTATTTATTTATTTTTTTTTTTTGTGACCATGAGCACCTTTTTTTACCAGAAATCTTGTCTTTACACTTTTCTCTAAACTAAATTTTATCTAGTTGGTGCATTAAGGAAGTCATTTTTTGATTTTTCAAAGGGTTTTAATAATAATGGGAAAAAAATTATCATAAAAACAATAAATAGTTTTCATTTTTAGGAACTGTTTTCTACCAGAAGTATTGGGTTGATTAAACAATGCCTAATTATCTTTTTTGTTACATTTTGAATATAATTGCTAAATAGGGTAATTATCATTTTTTAAGTAGTTTTCATAATAATTGATAAAATTGATAATAATTTACTGTGGTACAATTTTATTATTGTAAATTTTTACAGTTTTAATTTTCTAACAGAAATATTAAATAGATAAAAATAATGTCCAATAGAAAAACAATAGAGATCTTTTTTATTGAATTTTTAATCCAGTTGGTAACCAAGAAAGTAAGTTTTTGATTTTCTTTGCGGTTTTTTTAATAATTTGACAAAACAGAAAAATAGTAAAAAGAACAGGGGTAGAGAAACATATGAGAATAATTCTATTAATATTTTAAACTTTTTTTTAATATAATTTAGTTTAAAATATTTGTAGATTTAAAATGTTGACAGAAAACTTTCAAAACATTTGAAAAATTATATTTATAGACATTTTAATTTTGAGAGTTTTTATTTATATTATTTTCAATCATAAAGTACCTGTGAATACAAATTTTAGACTAAACAGAAATGCTTAAATATTTAACAAGAAGTTCATTTAAAAGTATTTACTTATTGTTACATATGGTTTTTTCGTGTCACATTTTTTATTTAAATTTATTAATTAAAATTGAATAAAATATATTTATTTATATTTCTATAATATACTTTATAATAATTCTATTGGTTTTAAACCTGTTGTTAAACAGGCTCTATATATTTTTGATAATAATGTCTATTTAATGTTGTACAGATTTCCTTTTATTTTCCTGGTTAACCCGTGTTTTTTCCCAGTTTTTCATATTTGCTGAGAAAACTTCGGAGAAAATCGATAAACAACCACCCCAGTGAAATTTTCTTTCAGAAAAATTACTATCACAATATGTTGGAACAAAATTGATGATAGAAAAATTGTCCACAAAAAAGGTAATAAAAGAAACATCTTTGTAAAACGATATATAAGTTTCTTCGCTCCACTTAAAATCTAAAATGTATTTATAATTAACATAAAAATAAAATAATATTCCTTAAATTCTGTTTACAAAAAAGCCAGTCCATTGTGATTATTTTGTACAATGTCACTATGTTCCTTATATATTAGTGTATAAGGTTATAGTGTTAGGTTTAGCAACTATTGTAGGACATAGGTGGGAAATTATAGTGATAGAACTTAACAGAGTAATTTAATTTATAAATCATTGTAAACAAAAATTATTTAGAGCAAAGTTGAATTAAACATTTTGTATTAGATTGAAATTGAAAAAAAGAGCTGATACTGGAGATGGAAGAGGCATTTATTGTAGATGAGAAGTTGGGAAGGTAAGATACATAAGGTTATTTCATTTATATCTGTAAGCAACAATAAACCGTTGCTTGACGAAAGACAATTCAGAGCGGTTTAGTTATATATCATTTTTGCGATTTTCATTTAAATTTGATTTCAAAAAGCTTATTAAAAAAAGGTCATCTGATAATTTTGGAAATTTTACCACATCTAGGTAAGTTCAGTATAAGTATTCCAAGTTTCAAGTCTTTAAGTCTATTTATAACAGAATTACAGCAAAAAAACTGCCAAAAATTAAAATTCCTTAATTCCTTAAAAGTTTAAAAGTTTTGGTGATGATACAGTTATAAATTAAATCAAAAAAGGCAACAAAAAAAGGTTCATGATTAAAATAAATACAATTTTAAAAATAGTATTTGATTTGCTTTAAAATGTTTTTTTTAACATGAAACTTAATTTCATTTAAAATTCAATTTTTATGTTGGTTTTAAAAATTGAATCAAATATTTTCATTAAAACAAGAATATCAGCTCTTTTAACATCAAACTATCATTATACAAAATAAGAATAGTACTTATTTAGTAGTATTTATTAGTACTGTTGGAAGAAATATGTTTTCTAGCAGTAAAATTTTTTAAATAATTTTTTTTTAATCACATTTAACATACACCCACTTCCAACTTTTAGGATCAGACGTGTTTTTTATTAAAATAAATTTTCATTGAAAATACAGTTAAACTTCTAAATACTGGACATTTTGTCTGCTATTTAGGGGTATCCATTATTTATAGGGAGAAATTGTATTTTTATTTAATTAGTTAATTAAATTCTACAATTATTCTTAATTAAAAATGATCAATATTAATATGTTAAAAAGTGTCTGTTATTTAGAGTATCTGGTATTTAGAGGTTTTCCTATATTGTAATAGTGAAAATATCCCCATTCCCGTAGGTGTCCATTAAGGGAAATTTTACTGTATTTATTACAAGTTGAACAAATTATTTTACTTGTCGGAGAGACATTTGCTTGACAAAAATCACATAGCATATTCAACAAATACGATAAGGGAACAGCGATAAAATATAACAACCGCAGTGAACAGATTAAATGGAACTAAATCAATAATTGAAGAAAAGAAAATTGTACAAGTCAAAATAGCTTAAAAAATATATAATTTGGAACCTGGTGCTACAAATTAGCAATTCTATTCAAATAAAAAAATGTTGATGATTTAATCAAAATGTTCATGCTGGTACCTTTGATCTTCCTAAAAATATACATTTCGATCTAATTCTATTTATATAATATTTGTTTAATGTTTTAATTAAATTATTTTATTTAAGTACTAAAATTAATATACTAATTATAAAATTGCATGTATTTTAATAGGTAACAAATGTTATAAAAATATTTATTTACCAGTAGATCCAAACAGTTGTACAACAAGCTCCCAGTAAAACCCCTCTTGCATATTGTTGGTATTGTCAGAAGCATGTTGTTTGCAAAGAGCTGGCCACAACTGTGACCTAATTGGATGATTACTGGGCCAACAATTATTGCGAAGTATTTTCTTCACGTCCTTTTGATAGCCTGCAATAAGAAGGTTTTGGACATCAATGAAAGATTTGAGAGTCTGTTTCTTGGATATCATAGGACTGCCTGGAAATGTTAATGGTCCAGAAACTATCACTGGCAATAGTGGTATTTCATCCACATTAACGTGTGGTTGAAACACGTCAACAGATAATTCTTCCTTCACAGTTGGCAACATATTACTATTAGAAACAACCATAGAAATATTCAGGTATAATCATTGGCAGTCATATATTTGGTTTTTCTAATGTTCGACATCACTGATCTGCTTCACCTTTAAAATAAAATCAATATATTTCAAAAAAATAAAAATAAATATATTTTAAAGACACTTTTATAATTTTTTTTTTTTATCTGGGGCACGTACAAACGTACAAAGGTATTGTTTCAAGCAATCATTATGCACTAGTAAGAGAAGAAAACATCACTTACAGTATCGATAAACATATAAATTAAACAAAAAATTCAACTCATCTTTCAGTTTTCAATTGTCAATATCTACGCACCTATTTATTATCATTTTTGACTCGATATTCACGTAAAAGATATGTTTAATATTTTAATGCATGTGTAATACGTACCTGCGAGTCCTTCAGTGATGCACATTTCTCTTATGTCACATTTTGCCATGGGTATTATTCAATTAGTATATTTTACGTCGCCATGTCGTTAATACAATTATTATTGTTTGAATATTATTTTCTAATGTTGTAATATATGTGTGTAAGATTAAATATCGAATATGATATCGCTATAGGTAAAAGCAGGTATTTGTGTCTTGTCTATGCAAAATGGTCAATGTTGAGCATTATTTATCAACGGTGATCGTGAAACGACTAACCAAACGGCGAACGTGTGATAGTAATGACGGACAACACCTTATCTTGTTATCGATTGAATTTTTTCATTTGTATGAACTATATGGTAATGCTGGCGCCATCATGCCATTGTAGGCGGTTAACGGTTGCAACTTGTAATATTTAGTTAAACTGGAGACGAAGGCAAATATTAATGCCAAATACAACGTACAGACGGCAGCACCGCACACCAGTGAAGCGGTGGTCTTGGTTATGGAATACATAAAAGGTGTTTCTCACTTGGGACGATTTGGCGCATATCACTAGGGTCATGATAAAATATTTAAAGTAATATTTTATCATGGTACGGGTGCTATTTAAAGTTGAACCGTGTTTTAATTAAAAATACCTAAGCAGAAAAATATTTCAGCCGAAAATATTACAACCGATCGTATTTCAACAGAAACTAATGGTTGAAGTAACTTGAATCAACTTGTAAATATCTTATCATTTAGGAAAGATTTATTTAAGAGATTTCTAAATTTCTATTTTAATTTCTAAACCAATGATGTAACTTAGAACGTCAATATCTTAAACAAAAATTTGAAAATTTTAAATTAGAATTCTGGTATTTATTACTAATATCCTAACCGGTCACCACCATGTCCATTATCTGTGGAGGTAACTAGCCATCATCATACATTATTTATTCGACTTAAATAGTTTAGTCTTTGTTTTCGGCTGTAATACCTATTTTCAGAAAAATAAATTTTGAATCAAATACTGTTCGGCCAAAATATTTTTCGTTTTAAATACTGTTTGACAAAAATAATTTCTTCAAATGTATTTATCATTAAGTACCTACCAACAACTAATGATAAAACTCATGTAGTCATGTTCAATATTCAAACATTTGTGTTTGGCTAAAACAAAACAATGTCAAATGCTTATTTACATCTCAAAAATCTCCAGAATGCTTTGAAAATTGTATAACGTCTAGAAAATGCATAGACGTAACAAAGGTAGGTGCGTGTACAAGGGGGTTTTAAGGGGTTAAATCCCTCCTTCAAAATTTCATAAAAATTATGATGAAAGTAGATTTTTAATAAAGTCTCAAAAGTGATCTCTGTGAAGAAAGAAGATAAATACAATTTTGGTTTTATTTTTAGATAGTAGATGGAATAGTCATTTTTTATTTTTTGTAGTTTTTTAACTTTTAAAAAATTATAATTGATACGGCGATATTGCGTAGTTCGCATTATCATCACAATAATATAAATTACGTTATCATTTAGGCTGTATTCACTAAAAATGAACCTGTTGAAGTGTTAAATGTAAAATTAACTAATAGGTACCTAAAATGCTTAAAATTAATGTTATAAAATACTTTTAATGAAAAATAAATAATCCTACAATTGAAAGTATGTAAACTTCTTTGTTATAAGAATATGAAATTATACAACTTCAACCTCCCCCACGCCCCCTCTCACGAAATATTTTTTTGTAAACACACCTGCACTAAGGATAGGAGCTATTAGCCCTCCAGTTTCCAATTTTACCTCCACCCCAAAAAACTACCCGATTACACTGGAAATATTGATATAGTATAGTTAATAAAGTGAAAGAAGTATCTTCTTTCATTTCTGTGCGATGAAACAATGTATTTATTCTAATTAGTAATATAAGTATCTTTTGATTAAGATCTAGGCCTTATTTGTGTACTTTTAAGGTCTTATAAATAAAAAAAGGTTGAGAAGGTTGTAGAAGATAAATTTAATGTATATCTATAAGCAACAATAAACCATTACTAAAGAAAAAATGATTCTGAACGGAGTTCAGTTGATGGTGTTGTTTTGTCTAAAACATATATGTCATATTATGGTAAAATAATTACTAGGAATTATATATTTTCTTTAATAATATTTGTTTAATATTGTACCTATCTTCTCGAATTTTCCCATTTATTCAAAATTGAAAAAACTCCTGGGAAAATCAAGAAATGACCCCCTCTAAAGTACCTCCCTAGTCAGATTTTCTTTAAAAAAATGTGCTGTCATTACAAATCAAAGCAAAATTGCATGTAGAAAAGTTGCTCATAAGAAAAAGAAAGACCATAATATTTTTTTACTAATAAGTACCTACATTTCGTATATTTTTCCGTTTTTCCTCCATTTTTTCCCATTTATTGAGAAAAATCATCGAAAAATCAAAAATTGACTTTCTCAAAGTATCTCTCCAGTTTGATTTTCCTTTATAAAAGATGCTACACTAAAAAGCGGAGCAAAAGTAGAAAAGTTGTCTACAGAAAAAAAAATAAAAAAATAAATATTGTAAAACCATAAGCTTCTTCACTCCACTCAGAATCTAAAATAACCCAACACTTAGTATTGAACATATATAACACAAAACAATTATCAAATATTACTTTACCTTTAATGCAAGCTATATACAGGGGGGCATGGGGGTTTAGGTGTTCACCCCCCCCTCCTAAAGAAAACCTAGAAAACTTTAGATGTGACTGAATATAACGTTAAAGGCAAATACGCAGCGGTGACGAAAAGGATGAGAGTAAAACAAGCATACATTTGATGAACAGAAGCGATTTTAAGAGGTGAGGGTATCACGAATGCGGATGGTTTTTATCTGGACAACCTTTTTATTAACACAATTTCGGACGATTATGGACAATGGACCGCCGGAAACGACACGATTGCGGAAAAATGTTGCCAAATTTATAAATAATACTTCAATATGGTGGGAATTCTGAGATTATTAAATGTATTATTTTACAAGTACACTGCAGTAATATCCGTTGAGTTGTTATAGTGTCAATGTTTTATACAGTGTATAAGTTAATAAGTGTAGGTTTTTTTTTTTTTTACTATTTTGATTTTTGACTTGTATGTACTTTTTATGATTTTTTTTTGTATTTATGTAATTTTTTTAATATTATGGACTTTAATAAATATGTAAGAAGCGCTTATACTATTTTATACGACACCTATAACACTTGAATTTTTTTTCCTTATTTTTATAATCAGAATATTGTAGACTTAATAGAAATACGACATCAATATTATTATACATTAACTATCACTTATTATCATTTGTATTATTATTATACACTTCACTTCACTTCAATTCATCTTTTATTAATTTATTATTCTATATCCATTGTTTATGTACCTAATGCATATATATATATCTATGTACAAATTAGGTATAATATGGATATTAATTGTAGATATAAGGTACCTTAAGTACTTACATTTATTTATACATTTAAAGTTGTTTGGTTGTATAACTATAAACTAGTTGTAAATTTGTACTATTATACTAATTTTTTGGTTTAAGATCAAAAATAATAATTAATATCTATTATATTAATCTCGTATATTAGTCTCGTATCTATTATTTATTACTTTGAATATTTCCTCTTCACAGTAATGAATATACGAGGAAATTATTGGAAAATTACAATAAGGAATACAAATTTAAGTTTCCAATAAATGCACGGGTTCACCCCGACCCTTTATTAACTACCAACGTCAAAAATATTGATATTTTGTTTAATACCTATTAATATTATACCCACTTACAGAGGTCCAAATTTATAACCGTATTGATTTTAGAGTCCAGCCATCTAGGACCAGTCGCCGCCACCGCGAAAACTCGTTGTCATAAGTCATCACGAGAGCTTTCCAGTATCAGAGGTTTTTGCATCCGCTAATATAGTAATAAAGTTACTATCATGAATATATGGCTGTGATAATATAATTGTTTAAAAGTAGAATGTTTATTGTGTTAACATCAATTATCATATCAAATCTTTGTAGTTTATAAATGAATTGCCTAATATAATATTCTGTTATACAGATATAGTTTACAGTTTAATAGTTTATACTTTTATAATTTACAATATTTTTATATAAGTATTATGAATATGGAGTATAGTATTATTAACTGTGCATTTTGTAGTAAAACATTTACGTAAAAAAAGTTTTTATGTTCATTGTGGGAAATTTTTACGACACCGATATTTTACCAGTGAAATCTTTTAAACACGAAGATTGTGATTTTAAATTTTCCACTAAAAAAAAAAAACAACATTAACAGTACATGTTAATAATTTTCATAAAAAGATAAAGATTGGAAAACAAAACAATCAAGTATTATTTGTCTTTTAACATTTATTAAAAAAAAAATTATTTTAACCGGTAAAATATAGCTGTACGATTTCCTACAATAAGCTTATAAACTTGTTCTTTGCGTAAATGATTTGCTAAAAAATATGCAATTAATACTGCTAAGCTCCATATTTAATAATATAACCGAGTGATCCATTTAAGTAAGTACACTCATTATTTCGGAAAATATAAACTTTTTTCACAATTTATTTAGAACATTAAAGAAAAGATCAGTTCTACAATTTATGTTATTTTTATCACCCTTTTTTTGGGAGTAAAACAACTAAGTAAGTAACTAAAGTAAGTATGATGGGTACGTTTTGATTGTACTAATGGATTAAGCGTCTAAAAACATATAATTTAGAAAAAAAAAAAATTGAAAATGTTAAATTCCAACTATGAAATACGCGAAAAGGAAAACCCGTACTTTAAGAAATTTTCCTCCATAATTTTCAAAAGAAGTTCGTAAAAACACACATTTTGGAAAAAAACCCCAAAAAATCGAGTGGTTGCTAAACTAGAATTATACCAAAATTTAGTTAATAAATAATGGATTTTTAATATAGGTTGCCATTTGAAAATCAAAAGTAAGTAGTCATTTCACTCCCAAAAATTAGGGTGACAAAAAATATTGTAGGTGTTAAATTTTAGAGCAGTGTTTCTTAAAATTTCCAAAAAAACAATATTTAAAAAAGTACATACTTTCGGAGATATTGAGTGTACCCACTTAAATGGATCACTCTGTATATTATAAAGTAATATCACAGAATACTGAATAATACATTAGGCCAAAATCTAAAAAGTTTTAAACTTAGACAAGTAGGTACTTAATATAATATAATGATATAAGGGTTAGGATTTTATATCATTTGTGTGAAACTAATAAATAACAATCTAAAAACACGTACATTAAAATTAATTATTTTATTTCTAAATAATATGAAATCTTTTTAAAAATGAATATAAATGAATCAAAAAATAGATATCATTATATCAAAACAATAAACCATAGCCTTCTTCTATTATTACGGCCATATTCCATAATAGTAACTGTATTACTGTTAATTGGCGGATGCCAAAAATCTCTACTAGGAGTATTATACCTACACTTCAAATAATAACCAATAATAATATTATTATTTAATATATATGATAATAATAACCACGGACGTATCACTAACTCACGAATTCCGCCTTGGTGTATACCATATACGTCGTATTATATTCGCATTTGATATTTGATAATAACAATAGCAAATCGGTATCAGCGATGTGACTGGGGGTAAAATTGTGGCGGCGATTTGAGAATGTGGATTATGAGATGGACCCCGCACCGGTGAACCACCATGATTCACACACAAATTTCTAAACAAATTATCTATAATATTTGCTCCTCAAGCATCTATTCTGCCATCACTATTATTGTTATAGAATATTCTACAACCTTGGTCGTCATACCACTATATCAATCAAAGATACTCATAATTACTCCTACCAAATAGCACACTGATAAAGTGTACTTGATAGTAAGTTGACGAGTGCACTTTTTATTGTTTATTATTCTATGTTCCTAATATGAACTGTGATCAAGGTCAGTAACTAGTTGTATCCACATACACTTTGTTTTTTTTTTTGTTATTCATAGACAAAGTGTAAGCATCAAAAATATTGTTTTTGTTTTATACAATAATCATTCGCGTACTCCTTTATCATTGTTCAAATATTTAAGTATTTTAATTATATAATGTATATATATATATATATGTGTATATATTTTAATTTATGTTAGATCTTATGTAATCAGTACGAAACGATAATAAAGAATTATATGTAAAATCATTGTAATGTTATATTTCGAGACATTCTCGCAGTTAGAGAATTCATATCGTTAACGCCTATACTACTTAAAATGGAAAACGTAAGTAAATAATTATGGGTTTGTATATAATAAGTAGTAAAATAATATCTCGTATTTAAATGTTTGATTCATTACTTTAGCAAGAAAAGACAGGTAGCATTCAGGAGTCAGAAATAAACAGCCAATTATCCATTTCTACAAGCAATGCAAAAAACAAATTCAGACTAACATTAGAACCCACAATGATGTTATTACTGCTTGGAGTGAATATAAACAGTGAGTAATGAGTATATTTGTGTTATGATAACAACATCTTCCAAAATGGTTTCTACTATAATTTTATACACTTCTTTCTAGATAGGTAGGTATGATGTATAAAGGGGAGTATAATTAATAAATAATAATAGGTAAATTTCTCCTCAATCAAATATTGTTAATAATCTAATACTGAATTACATGAAATTTTATAGAATCAATAAGTTGTTGAACTGATTTCAGTTCTATAACATTTGCAGAGCTGTTTTTTTACTGGCTTTTACAACTCTCTAAGTTGTTGCCGTTAATATAACATTGTGCCAATTATCCCTATTATCCATTTCTCTTCACACGTCTATTCCTGTATTCCTTAGATCCTTGCAGAGCTGTTAAACCATGGAAGGTTTTGTTTACGATCTTGTTTGTAGTTATAATTTTAACATCATGTAAAAATATATTTTAATATTTTTGTTACTGTGGTTAATATGTTTTGAGTTCATTATTATTAATACTACTTAATAAATTATAATTAAAATGTTAGTACCATCACTAATCATCATATGAGTACTTCTTATAATGTTTAAAATTTTGGTTAATCTATTATGGTTTTTTCCAGAGTTTTTTCTATTTTTGAAAAGTTCTTTAATATATACTTAGTATAATGTTTTAGTCTGTGTTTAATGTTTTACTTTCATTTTTATTGGCTATATATTATAAATTAGCGAGTAGATTAGTTATTACCTATTATAATTTTAAAACAAACTTTTTATTCTTTATTAAAATACAATTAAATAAATATGGTTTATTAATATATATTAAATTAAAGCAATCATATTATACATTTTATATGTATAGAACATTCCTATTTAAATGTCGATTAATAAAACACTTTCATAAAATACAATCTGTTTGATAAATGCAATTTTACAGAACTGTTTTTATGCAGCCCAGCGTATGTATTATATTTGTTTTAAATTAAAATTTATTTATTTAAAATACTATATGAAAACCATACATGTTTTGTATGTATGTATTGAACATGTACCTACCTTTTTACAATATTTTGGAAATGTTTATTTAGTTTTAATTAAAATTTATTTTATTCTAGTAATGATACAAACTAATCTATTTGAAGAACGCATGTGTTTACATTCTTCACTGAGGAAAAATAAATCTATAAACTGTTATAATATGACTTCTACAGAAAAAGAAATATTTCAACCAGCTGTTGCTAATTTACAAATGTATAAAAATCTGATTGAAACATTATTACCATGTATAACTGCATTATTTTTAGGACCATGGAGTGATGTAAATGGTCGTTTACCACTATTTTTAGCAGCTATTTCAGGTTTGAATTTTAATATAAAATGTATAGTTTAATATTAATTTCAATTGTAAATATTTTATGTTTAAGGAATGGTTATCTCTAACTGTATGTACTGTGTTTTTTCTGCAATGCCGGAATTGTCACCACAATTTTTTTTACTGTGTAGTTTACCAGTTGCCATAAGTGGTGGCAGTGGAGCATTATTTATCGCTTCATTTTGTTATATTGTAGATATAACTGATGTGCAAACAAGAGCATTTAGGTAATATTAAAAAAAAATAGTGATTAATCATAAATTTATTAAATAATCAATGTTATACTAAAACTGTATAATATAACAAATATAGCAAAATACTTAGTATGTGGTATAATCACCACATTGAAGCAATTTCTAGTGTAACCCTAGGATAACAATTACCAGTTTTTCATAATTTTTCAACCATTCATTGATTTATTATTGATACCTCTATGTGGGTATCATTTTCAGAGTTATAGACTTAACAGTTTAAAATATACAACTTAGAAAGGGAGATTTTGGAAAAATACTATTTAGGATAAATACCAAGTATCATTTTGTTTGCTGATGTGTAATAATCTATTTAACTTTAATTTTAATAAAGCAATAGTTGCTGTTAATGGTTTATTATAATAAATATTATACCATATATATGATTTATGTTTAACGCTTTGTGGTTTGCTGGATTTAAAAAAAAAATATATACATTTATTTTTAGATTAGGAATATTGCAAACATTTATAGCATTTGGGTCAATTCTTGGATCAATCATCAGTCCATTTCTGTATAATAAATCATTTACATATGCTTTTACTTTATCGTCAATTTGTACAATAGCAGGACTTCTTTATACATATATTTATCTCAAAGAAACTATTGTCATAAAAGAGGTATTTATTATTTAAGTTTAATATTTGTAAATATAAATATTTAATGTTTTAGTATTTGATTTATTTAATACTTATTTATTTAGAAAATGTTCTTTTCTTTTTGTGAGATTATTTTATTGGGTTGTTTCTTTAAACTTTCTTTTGGTAAAATTGTATGTATGTCAACAAATAAAAATTCAATTTTTTAGAAATCATTATTTTAAAATTCTCATTTTTTACAAAAGTACCAATTAAAAAAGTAAAACTAAAGCACATCTCAATTAAGAGAATGTTTTGTCAGAATTATTTAAAATAAACATGAGATCTACAGAGTGTCCCACAGTGTTCTCTGAATGATAATAACTCTGTCAATATTTACTACCACATTTTTTTTTTAATAGAATTTTGTGTCTAAAAGACACAAATATAGAGAAGAATAAAATTTTTAATCACTGAAAAAAATAATAATAACTTAAATTACTTTTTAAATTTTTCAAAATAGCCAATTTGTAAAGTATATAATTCTAAACATTTTAAACATTTAAATGTATCATACATTCATATCCAATAGTTTCTTAATAATAGCATATTATTAAACTTTATTAACATAAACTAGTTATTACTAAGAAACTATTGATGGGATATGAATATGTGATACATTAACATTTTTAGAAAAATATATTTTTCCCTCTATCATTTTAAACATATACTTAAAGTTATTTAATTCTGATTGTTTTCTTGCAGGGTGTCAATACCAAACTATTTAACATAAAACTTGTAAGAGATATATGGCAAACAGTTATGAAGCCACGGTTTGGCTATTTGAGATGTATAATTTTGTTATCTGCTGTAGTTTTAACTTTTAATGTATCCATATTATTAGGTAAATATCTCTATTATTTATATTTTTTCTGATATAATATAAATTTTACTACAAAACATATGTAGATAAGTTATATAAGGAATAAAATTAAAATTTAAGCTACACAATACTAATGTACACTAAATATAATTTTTACATTACATTACAGTGTATATAGATCAGTGTTTTTCAATCCTTTTGTTTTACAACACACTAATTCTAACTTTTTTTTAGCTATGACAATGCCAGTACCAGATTTAGTGAGACCCTAGAAAAATATGCCCTGAAAACGGCTTATACAAATCAATACAATTTTCATCTCTTTATCTTTGTATTGAATTTAGTTTTTTGAATATATTTTTGGAAGAATAAATCCATTTAAGTGGTTACACTCATTATCTCAGAAAGTATTAACTTTTTTCAAAACTTGTTTTCTAGAACATTTAAAAAACAAGCAGCTCTACAATTTTATATTTATGTTATTTTTTGTCACCCTTATGTTAGGGGATAAAACCACTATCTACTTTTTATTTTCAAATATATATAAACCTACATATATTGAAAAGTCCATAAATAAATTTGAGTGTTAACCTTTTTTGATTTGTGTTAAGCTGTTAACGAAATATTTTTAATTTCAGATTGGAAGAGAGTAGTGGTGCACACCACACACCCTATCTTCACACAAATGATACTCCACTACTCTTTTCCAACCCAAACTTAAAAGTGGAATATCTCGTCAACAGCTTGACAGAAATTAGTTGGGAAACACTGATGTAGGCAAAACTTTATTACTTGTAAATTTAATATGTATTTTATATTGTATTTTAGGAGAAGATTCTCTTTTATATTTGTATCTGCAAAAACAGTTTTCATGGACATTAGAAAATTATACTTTATTTAATGCATATTCAACATTACTTGGTGGTATGCACTTTTAATTTTGGTTATAAACTATCAAATGAATTAAATAAATTATGTATTATTTCAGCTATTGTTCCAGTGATTGGTTTATATGTCCTTAGTACAAAATTACAAATATCTGATATATATCTAGCTACTGTTGCAAGTGGATTTCGAATTATAGAAAAAGTTGGTTTAGCATATTCTGTGTACAAGTGGAATTTTTACATTTTAAAAATTGTTGGTTGCTTCGTTTATACTAGTGAACCACTAGTCCGGTCTCAATTGTCAAAGATTTTTCCATCTGAAGACTTGGGTAAATTATAATGAATATAATTGATTGACTAATAATCACACAGCTCATTTATATATTTAGGTAAAATATATGCTTTCATTAGTGTTATAGAAGGTTTTGGAATATTACTTAGTTCTCCAATGTATACAACAATTTATGATATGACTATACACAGTTATGCAAATTGTATTTTTATAGTATCATCTATACTTGGAACACTCATTTTATTTTTATACTTGTAAGTACAATTTGTATCAATCTATTTATGTAGTATTTATAATATAAGGCTATAACTTTTAAATTTAAATTAATTGTGTAATATTATGATCTTTAAATACCTATAATTTGTTAAAAATAAAATTAACATGTGCAGTAGGTTTGCAGATGGTTTAGTTTTGATAAAAGAAATAATATAATATGAGTGGAGGAACAAGACAAGACACCTAATGTCAAGAAGCAGTGAAGTAATAAGCAAGATTGAGAGCTTTAAGTACCTAGGATGTTTTATTAAAAACCCTATAACTTTGACAAGGATGTGAAACATAGGATTAAGTGGAGAAAAGCATCAGGTGTTTTATGTGACAAGAGGATTTTAATGAGACTTGAAGTTTTACAAAAATGTAGTGAGACTGACTATATTATATGGTTCGGAATGTTGAGTGGCAGACAAAAAAATAGAACAGAGTGAATGTAGCAGTAATAAGAATACCTTAATGGTTGAGTGGAATGCTGAGAAAAGATAGAATACGAAATGAGTACATGAGAGGTAGCTTAGCTGTAACTTTGATGGTAGATAAAATAAGAGAAATAGACTGAAATGGATTGAGCATGGAAGAGAAGAATCTCGAGCAATAAGCATTGTAACAAAAATAATTGTAGGAGGAAATAAGCAGAGAAAGAAGATTAAAAATGTAGTGGTTGGATGAGTACAATACATTAATGTATATGAGGTAGAAGTCTGGTCAGTTGAAAGTTTATAACGAGGGTGCCATTATTCTTAAAAATTGGAATTACGATGAAGGAGAAAAAAATAAAATCTGATTCAAATAACTAATCAATATTATTTTAAACTTAGTAAATATTATCATTAATTACAAAATGTATGAAGTATAATGAATTTATACTTAATATATTTGATTATTTTTAAATTAATTTAACAATCACTTTTTAATTACATATTTTTCTTTGTCTATTTAAAATAATGTGTAATTAATGCATTTAGAACCATTAAAATTAAATTTTATCCTATTTTCAGAATTATATTGTTATGTCTTTCTAAAAGTACCAAACCAGAACATTTATTGACAGAAAATTAATTAGAAGATGATAGTATCTATAAACTATAAGACAAATAATTGTTCATTAATTGTATTGTATTGTGTTACATTATTTCTTATTATTTTAATATTGTATTTATATATTTCCTTTTGGTGTCTCAAACAATATTATTATTTATCGAAAATGTAAGAGCTTTCTAATATTATGCTCAAAAATTTAACTACAATAATCTATAAATATTATTTCAATATGTATTATATAAACATATTAACACATTAAGAGTAATAGATTGTGTTAACTTTATATATTATTACATTTATCCAATAATATATTTTTTATTTTAATAATTATTATTTTTTTAATACATATTGACACATTTACAATTTTATATATTGTTACATTTATCCAATAACATATTTTTTATTTTAATAATTATTATTTTTTTAATACATATTGACACATTTACTATTTCATAAATTGTGTTAATTTTATATATTGTTACATTTATCCAATAACATATTTTTTATTATTATTATTATTAATAATTATTGTATTTAATACATATTGGTTTTAGATTCTGAGTGTATGTATTGCAGTATGAATGTAGTTTTACCATGATATTAATTAATTTTTTTTTATATACATTATATGAAAATTTTACCAGACATTTTTCTTTGAAGAATTTAGTCAAGACAGCTACACCACGAGAAGCAGGAGAAGGAGCACTATGACGCAAACCCATTCAGTTATCGGTAATAAATACGTAAGACATATGTTTTATCAATTAATTACCAAGTAATTAGTATTAAATATTTTGTATAGATATAGATATACTACACCATTTATGAAACATGTGACAGTTATTGGTAGGCAGTGGATTAACTAGAGGTAGGAGGGTTTTAACGAAACACGCCAGTTATGATGCATAATTATAGTGACCAAACATGCTATTTTTCGTATTTTAATATTTATATTTCATACTTTAGTTATACATGTATACTTGAATTTTAATGTATTTTCATTATAAAGACACAAACCAAATAAGTTGACATTATGATTTCAAATAATTAGTTTATATAGTTAATAATAGAGAGGAGTTATTTTTTATAATGGAGGACCTAAATTTTAAAATGTACTTTTTTTTTGGATTTTCATATCTAATCACCATATGTATAATAGATAATGACTAATAGAACTACATTGATAGGTAGTTAAGATTTTACTGCTAATAAACCGGTTCAAATATGAGAAATTAATAATAATAATCTATACATCATTATCAGTGTTGTAATAAGATACTTTGAATTAGTATCTATATACAGATACAAGTAATTTAAGATAGATACATTAAAAAAAACAAATTTAATATATTTTTTTTTGTTTTTGTTTTTTTTTAATATTTAATGTATTAAAATATAGAATTACAAAATTATAACAAAACAAGGAGATAATGGACATATTATATTTATAATAGAATAATTTGTATCTACATTTTTATGTCTGTTTTCAAGTTATAATACAATCATTAACAGTTATAAATTATAATACATAATAATATATTTTAACAATATTAAAATATTGATTAATTATTGGTAAACATAAAATAAATAATGGGTATTATCCGCTTGTCAATACACAATAAGTTATACACTCATACAAAATAATTTATAATAATAAATAAATCAGAAAAAATTAGATTTTAGAATTTTACGTTTTATTTTTGTGTTTTGTTGAACCAAAAAAGTAAGATATATAATATTTTGTATCTAAGATACAGATACATTTTTTTAGAAAGTATCTAGATATATTACAGCACTGATAATTATTATAATATATACATAGATAAATAGATTTCCGTTTTCGCTGTAATCTGTTTGCTCTTTATTTTCATCGGAGACTCCAGAAGAACACAAACATATAACAAACATACATACACTAGTATACCATAATAGAATACACGTGAAACAATTATAATAAAATAATTTAAAAAAAAAAAATTATCATAGTCCCTGTAACCTCTCCTCCCTTGACTACGCCACTGATATAAGTACTCAGTAGGTATTTGATATTTTGGTATATTCAATGATAGAATTTATTAATTTAGTGTGTTACACAATATCACAATAACTATTAATTACCTACCTACCTACTCTATCAAGTAACCTATTTTTGAAATCACAATTATTTTCATTTGTATCAAATATTATTTACAAATAATTTAGGGTTCATGATGACGTCATGCCTCAAGAGTTATCCATGGTTGTTAGTGTATAATTTTGAAAAAGTGGCAGATAGGTTGAGAGATCTACGGACAAATCCAGATTTTCCTGGTGGCCCTTATATAAGGTTTGCTTTATTTTTTTGAAGGGAGTCATTTAGTGACATTTGAATTTAATTCCTGCTATAACAAAAAATAATCCGCCACTGAAAGGTGAAAATCAAAAATATATACATAAGTAAGACGTTAATATTCAAAATAACTATTCATTATGTAATTGATAAAATTAGTAAAATATACTAATTTACTTAAATAGTAGGTACTAGATAGGTACCCAGGGGCGAATTCGGAGAGGTGCTAAAAAATGTAAAATGTACATAAATTTCATACAGTATAATCCTTTACACTTCATTTTATTATATCACTCAAAACTGGGGTAGTGTTTTTATTTACTGGTTTAATACATTTTAAAATTTAACTCATTTTTTATTAGATTCTGAATGGAGCAAAAAGTTTATGGTTTTACAATATTAATTCATTTTTTTTTATCTGTGGACAACTTTTTTACCAGAAATTTTACTGAGATTTTAAAGTGTAGCACATTTTCTGTAAGGAAATCAGTGTAGGGAGGCATTTTAAAAAAGTTATTTTTCGATTTTCCCAAGAGTTTTCTCAACAAATGGGAAAAACCAGTAAAAACATGGGAAAACCAGGAAAAATGGTACAATATTAAACAAATATTATTAAAGAAAATATATTATATATTATAAAACTTGAATGACGGATTTTCAAATTTTAAAAATCAATTTACAATTATTTGCAAAATATTGGCATACTTTTCGAATAGATCAGATAAATTCGGGAGGGGGTTGCAACTTTACGGTCTATTTAATTATTTTACCATAATATAACATATATATATATATTGTTGACAAAGCATCAATATCAACTGAACTGTGCTCAGAATTGTTTTTTGTTAGCAATCGTTTATCATTGCTTACAGATACACATTAAATTCCCTTCTGTCTCCTTTCTTTCCAACTTCCTATTTATAACAGTAGTTGTACCCGTCCCCATTATCCTAGGACAACTTTATTAAATGTTTATATTTGCGTATAATATTAATATCAATATGCCTTGATACCTGGCGATTTGGCTTACATTGAACAATGAACTCTCCCTTGAGTTTGCCTCTGTAGGTACCTATTTAAAATATAATTTTATCAATTATTATCAGGAACGAGAATTTTAAAAATTAAAACTCCTAAATACCTATTTTGATTCAAAATCACTTTGATGGTTTTATACTTTTTGATATTCTGTAGTTATTATAATTCACAGTTTTAAAAATTGGTACATATTTAAATTCAGTAATGTTTTACATAAATGATCATAATTGGTGAACAAACGAGCCGCCTCATTATCTTAATATAATCTGTCTAAATAGAAAATTGTAGGTCACTATAGTCTTTTCACCACTTGTTCAATAGCTATAATCTGAACAAAAAATAAATATAAGTTTCATATTCCAATAATCTGACTTTTTTTTGTCTAGGTATTTCAATGACGAATCAAAAATGTTCATGCTACTTCAATACTACTTAGTTTATAATATGTATTATATACGTACCTATGTTTTTTTATGTTAATACCCCCGTGGTTCTATTAATCCCAATAATGTTTCATACACATGAATGCATGATAACTTATCCTTATTACTTATTCTTATCTTTGAGGCTTGAAGTATTAACACATATAATAATATAGAAACCTATCATAAAAGTCATTCAATGGTTTTAAAATAAGTAGGTAAGTACATAGGTAGTAGGTACCAAGTAGGTAATTGTATGTTTATGATTACTGTTCACATTTGACAAAATAAATTCATTAGTACGAATTCTACTACGGATCTCGTAAGGCTATAACAGTTAGTGGGGTTTTTTTTTTTATTATTATCAGGCTTCCAATATTTTTTGATCAAGCAATACAATTTTTTTTTTTTTTTACAATGATAACTCAAATATTAGTTTTCTCACCCTTGATTATGCTTTGTGTCTACCAAACAGAACAAACATATTTCTTACAAACAGATTTTATTAATAAAATCAATGAAGAAGCTACAACGTGGAAGGTAACTTATTCTTAATATTTGTATTTTATATCACTACAATATAACTATGTATAATAAGCTATAGAAAAAATCTGTAAGTTATTAGGAAAGGACATGAAACCAGAATTTATTTTCGGATAGAGAGGGTATTATAGATTTCAAAAAGTTGATACTACTTACGGGTAGGCTACTGATGTGAGTAATTGGAAAGGTAGATCTATACTCTCAAAATATACAAGGTCATTTTGTTTTACATGCAACTATAAATCATTACGAAAGAACCCATAGGGGAAGGGGGATACAATAGAAGAAAATGGGAAAATGTATAAAATGTAGGTATTAGTAAATAAATATTACGGACTTTTTTTCAACAACTTTTTACCAGCAATTTTGTTCCGATTTACAATTATAACACTTTCTTAAAGGAAATCTGACTAAGGTGGTACTTTAAGAAGGTGATTTTTTGATTTTTCCAATAAATGGGAGAAACCGAGAAAACAGGTAAAATATTAAACAAATATTATTAAAGAAAATGTTTAATGCGTATGAGTAGATTAAAATAGGGGGTTCTGCCTCAGGTTGCCCCATATATATCTAATACATGTCCACCCGAATTGTCTACCTCTTCATCGACATATATTTTTCTTTTTCATATTTTCTACATGTGCCACGTACTCTATCTAGACCACACTTACCCAAATATTTTTTTCACATAATCGACTACTTACTAAATACTTTCCTATGTGATGGGGCATAATAAAAGAAATCTTATCTTCGACTATTATGGGAACCCCTATTTTATCCTACTCGTATGCAATTATTTTACCATACTATGACATTATGTATTGTTGATAAAGCAACAATATCAACCAAACTCCACTCAGAATCGTTTTTTTCTTTAGTAATGGTTAATTGTTGTGTACAGATGAATATTAAATTTCCTCTACTACGTTCTCAACTTTTTTTCTTCTAGTTTTTCTTATTATTTTAAAAACCACTAAGAAAATCAAAAAATGACATCCTAAATGCAACAATTAGAGCTAAAATTCTACAAAAAAAATCCTTCATCGTCCTTCATCCATCATTTGTGCGTCGTCCAGTGTTATTTTTGTATCAGTCTGCTCAATATTTTTTCTTTTAAGGATAGTTTTTATGATTTTCTGTTTGAAATATGAATTCGCGCGCCGCCATGTATTTCTGGAATTTTTTGCTATTACCGTCATAAACGTAAGTTATCGTAATCTTATGTTGGCTCAAAGGTCGTAACGTCCGCGCGTCGTCTAGTCGTTATCTTAATTGTGCGATAAACCCTGCATCGTGCTATACGCACCATATACAATGTGTGTTCAGTAATTCCATACTTTTCGACACATATACACAGTGTGCTAAGTTATTACTATTTTTTTTTCAATATGCCACCCAAATTAGTTAATCCTAATAATACTAATACTACTTCTGTATCTTGTAATATTGTCACAAGGTCTTCTTCGTCTTCTAATCCTTCTAATAGTGACATAATGGCAACTCTCCAAACTATCCGTAATGAGTTTTCATCTGCAAATAAAAACCTTTCGAACACCTAAACCTCTCAAATTCAAGAATTTAAAAATGACCTTTAGCAACTATCAACGCAAATAATTTAACTAAAGGCTGAAAATATAAATTTACGTAGTGAAATTGAAATTCTAAAGAATAAAGTTGCGTTTTCGGATGATACTAATTCACCTAACAACCACTCTCATGTACTTCATGAAAGCTTTATACGTGAAAGGTGCTCTGTAAATGTAATAGCTTATGGTATACCTGAGTTCTGTTTGTCTGAATCAACTCACTGGATTTCAGATGACAGCTCCACCATTCGCTCATTACTTGAACCTCTTAGTATTCAAATTAATGATAACATTAAAATTATACGTCTTGGTAAAGTTAGTCCTAACAAAACTCGTCCAATTAAACTCCTCTGTGGAAGCAAGGAGTCTATAAATAAATTGGTTTTTGACTTCAAAACTTCTCCAACAAGTTAAACTTAATGGTTATATATCATCTAAATGCAAAGTAACTTATGGTGTCCCACAAGGTAGATATTTATCCCCTTGGCTATTTTTAATATTTTTATTGGATATCGGTTCGTGTTTTAAATCTTTTTAATTTAAATTCTTTGCCGATGACCTTAAACTGTATCATAATATTTCCTGTGTAAATGATTGTTTGACTCTTCAAGAAGACTTGAATAAACTTATTGTTTGGTGTATGGTAAATAAATTAAAGCTAAATGTCTCTAAATGTTTAAAAATTACGTTTTGTCGTACGAAAAATATGATCAACTTTAATTATTTAATAAATAACTTTATATTACCTAATTTTATTATTATTCGTGAACTTACATTCCAATCCGATAATTATTTTTCATTCATATTAATCAAATTTGTTCAAAAGCTCTAAAAATTCAAGGATTTTTAATTAAATCTACTTCATGATTTACTAATATTTATTTTCTTAACAACCTTTATTGTTTGTTAATATTTGAGTATGGGTGTATTGTATGGTGCTCATTCTGGACGTGCTATATTGAAAAAATCAAAAAGATATAAAGAAGATTTTTCGTTTTATTTGTTTAAAAAAAAAATATTAAATAATGATATCCTCTCCTAGAACGTATTTCCTTCAATGTTCCTTAATATTAGTTGCTCTACATTCATTATCAAAACCTACCATACAAATTATGGATATAATAATCGCTTCGAAAGAATTTTAAGGATGGGAAATGAATCTGGGAATCGATTTCGTTCATTTGTAAGTATCCACCGTATTTTTATGAGTCAATGGTTTTCCAAATTCTTATATATTAAAGCTTTTTAATAACAAAAATTATTGTAATTTAATACTATAGGATGTATGTCATATGTTATTTGTATTCTGTTATGTTATTATATATGTATTTAATTCTGTACTGAAGCCCTCTTTGATATCAAAGCTAATAATGCTGATGGGTGCACCCTACACTATTTTAGGTAGGAAGTTGGAGAAATATGATATACCTATAAAATTATGTAATAAATTACAATTATTAAAGTTATAAATAACTGTAAGTAACAATAAACCATTTCTAACGAAATATTATTCTAAATGATGTTCAGTTATATATATTTTGAAATTTAGTAATTTTTATGATTTTCATCAAAATTTCATTTTAAAACACATAAAAAAAACTTTTTTTTAACTTTTTAACTTTATTTTTTGAACGATAAAGGCAACTTATAATGAGTTGCATGTTTAATTTTCAATCAATTCTGTTTGTTTAAACAATTTTATTCATATATCAAAAAAAAAAAAAAAAAACTCGAAAATGTATAATTTCTATAAAAAACTCAACAATTGTCAGAATGATTTGAAAATTGTACTATGTTTAGAAAAGACCAGTAGAAGTTTGCTTTAAAATTTTCAGGTCTCTACCGACATTTGTAACTTAATTATAATCAATAAACCAAAATTTGAAATAACAAAACCATTATTTGTGTTAACTTTTCTGTTTTTTTTTCGAACTATTAAGAAAAATACATGGAAAAACTAAAAACTTACCAACTAGATCTAAAATGAAACAAAGAAGATCTGTTGTCATTTTTTCTTTTATTTTGTTTTTTGATTTTTCCCAATTATTATTATTACTACTTGGAAGAGCAAAAATGTACTGTTTAAGTTCACCTACTAGATACAAACTCCAACTCTGAGTATTTGCGGTTGGAGTAAGTTTTCTGGTAGAAAAATTGTTTACAAATAAAAACATACATCATAAAATAAAATAAATACATTCCTTACTACGCTCAGAATCTAAAATAAAATCTTTCAGTAGCCAGTAGGTGTTAATTTTAATTATATATGGTTTAGGCCGGTGTTAATTTCAATCCAAAAACAACAAAGGAGTATATATTACACCTTTTAGGATCAAAAGGAGTACAATTGCCTAATCTTTCTAATTCTAAATTGTACAAAACAAATGATGTTACTTATGAAAAGCTCATTATTCCGAAAAAATTTGACTCAAGAAAACAATGGAGTCGGTGTACAACCATTGGACGAATCCGTGATCAGGGACATTGTGGATCGTGCTGGGTAATATTGTAAAAACTATTTACTTAAAATAAAACTCTACCTAATGTTATTGTTTCTGTAGGCATTCGCTACGAGCTCAGCATTTGCGGATCGTTTATGTATAGCAACAAATGGAAATTTTAATGAACTATTATCTGCAGATGAACTAACGTTTTGCTGTCATCTGTGTGGTTTTGGATGTAGAGGAGGTTACCCGATTAGAGCTTGGAACTATTTTCATCGACATGGTTTGGTTACCGGCGGGAATTATAATACAACAGAAGTAAGTGATAATTTGAAAAATGTTAAATAATGTTTATTATGTACAATGTGTATATGCCAAGTGGTGATTTTTAACTGTAATATAGTGATTGTATAATAATATATATTATATATTATATTATATTATATATATTATATTATATTATACATCATAACCGTCAAAAACATCAATTATTATCATTTAAAATTCATCAGTAAGATTAATATATTTAGGGTTGTGAACCATACACAGTATCACCTTGCCCGTATGATAAATATGGAAATAATACATGTTATGGAAAACCAATAGAAAAAAACCATAACTGTAAGAAAATGTGTTACGGAGATAAAACCATTGATTACAAAACAGATCACAAGTATAGTATGAACCTGTATTTAACTTGAATATGAACAATTTTTTATATATATATATATATATTGCAGGATATTAACTAAGCGTGCTCACTCCATTTTTTTGGTTAAATTTTGCATATTATAATCAAATTCTGATTTTTGGAATTTTAAAGTGTAGTGGCCAATATTTTCGAATAATTAGATTTTCTACAACATTTATGGAGTATACTGTAGCGATAGCAACTTTTATTTTTCAATCGAGAATCTATATTAAAAATGTTATAAATACATGGAGGATTGAGGTGAGTAAATGGGGTAAGCACGCTTAGTGAATTACCCTGTATGTATATAGTTGCGAACCCAGGGGAAGGACTAAAGGGGCTACAGCCCCACGCCCATTGACTGAATTAAATAATATTAAAAAAAAGAGCTGATACTGGGGAGGGATGTGGCCATTGAGTTAGGTGGATAGTTGGGAAGATCTCATACATATAGTTCATACCTTTAGTTTAAAATGTATACAATTTATACTTGTAAACAACGATTAATCATTGCTAACGAAAAACGATTCTGAGTGGAGTTTGGTTATACATGTTTTAAAAGGCCGTAATATTTACGATTTTCGTCAAAATATGATATTACAATTCTTATGAAAAAAAGACAAATATAACTCGCACGTGGGTGGGCCACAGTTGTAGGTTAGAAGTTGGGAAGGTAGAAGAGATAGCTGATGTTCAATTTTAATTAATATGTCTAGAAAATGTAAATATAAGTTTTCTGCCTAAATATCGAGTCTCTACGAACATAATGTACTGAATTACAACAAAAAAGATGGGCTTACTTCGCAGGATGAGTAGGAAGATAGAATATAAATTGGAATTTAATGTATATCTGTATACAATGATTAATGCTAACGTAAATCGATTCTGAGCGGAGTTCGTTTTTAAATGTTTTAAAAGCCATCTGTGCAAGAACCAGACAGCTGTATTTTAGTATATTTTTCAGGAATCAATGTATTAATTTTTAAAAATAGGATTGATTAAAAAAATATTATAAACATTACTTATAAATCTATAAAACGAGCCTAAATATATGATGTAAAACAGAAGCCTTTACATTTTTTATTGATATCATATTTTAATTATTTATTATAAAAATATGGAGTTGTGTTAATTTATGCTCAGAATTCCGTAGTTGACTTTTATTTTTATTAATTAAAATTAATTCTGTTTTGAAAAAACTTTTTTAAATAGCATAATACATCATAATATATTTTATTTATTTATTAAATTATTGCACAGGTGTATCAAGTATTGTTTAATAAAAATAAATCATAAAAAATTTTAAAAATTAAAAATTATGAAAATATTATATAACTGTTAGTTTATACCTACACAGAATGTCAAATATATTTTTTTAATAATCAGGTATTAAAATTATAATTAATTTAGTTTAAGAGAATATTTTTTAAATAGCATAATACAAAATATTTAAAAAAAATATGTAATTAAATAAAAACCTGAGAGTAAAACTTGAAAAATTAAAAGATATGAAAAAGGACATTTTTTTATACACATAGGTAATCATTAGTACCCCAATGCCGGGTTGCACCAACTATTTATACAGAAATAAACTTGTTTATTTGTAGTTAAACTAAATTCTGTTGTACAAACCACGTTTTAAATTTTATCTATTGATAAAAATGTAGTTTATCAAGAGTTAAATTAAAGGCCCATTTATCGCTGTGTAAATATTTATCTATAGTTAAATTTCGTTATCAATGTTTTGCGTTATTGTGGTGACTAGTAATAATCGAAAACATTAGATGATATTTTTGTATTATTAAATCATATTAACTTCTATAGCCGCTACTTATTGATAACTAGTATTCTGGTAATAACCTGAGTATAAAAATATGATTGAGTAACACTTATAAATTTATGATAAAACTTTAATTTATCAACTGTTAGTTTATCATCATGTAAATATTTAATACTAGATAACTACGGGTTTGATGCGACCGGGCATAAACGTTCAAATAAAATATTCTGAAAAACAGACTTACTTTTGGAATACAGGTTAAAGATAATAAGTTAAGTTACAATAAACGCGTCATTCTTTACTTCCTAAGTTGATAATAAAATACGTTTTAACTCAAACTACAACATTAATATTTAGGAAAATAAAAAAGTGAACTAGAATGAATTTTCAAATATTTTGTTAAATGTAAATAATTGTATTAAATATACAATCGAAATATTTATTTAGTTTTAATAACTACTGAAATCGGTATTTTCTAACTACTTTGATGGGATGATGCAACATGCATATGAAAAACAAAAATAAAAGGTCACTTTTTGTCGCAATTTGGGTTACAAGGTCTAGCTTTCTTAAATTACTTAAATAAATTTATAAGTTTGTATAAGCTTTAATATTAATGAAACCAGAAAAATATAACCTATTTAGGGATACGCGATAAACTATAATGAATATATTGTTATCTGTTTAATAGCTAGAGATTATTATTACCTTACATATACAAGTATCCAAAAAGATGTTTTGGTATACGGACCGATAGAGGCTTCATTTAACGTTTATGATGATTTTCTGAACTACAAGTCAGGTAAGTCACACAGGTTTTTTCTATCCTAAATTGAGTAAGTGTACAAGATTTTGGTGTTTTTACTGTATTAGGTATACAATGTATATACAGTAGAATCTGCTTAATTGGGACACCTTATAAAGGGGACAACCGCTTAATGGGGACAAATTGGCATAGTCCCGAACGAATGTATTCGTTTAAGGCAATTTAACTTTGTTTATCTTAGACAAACGATAGGTTATAAGGGACAAAAATAAAAGCGTCTAATTAGACATTCTGACCTAAATTATCTATCTACTTCTTATCGAAACTGTAATTATCTAACCTTTATAGCTCTATTATATAGGTAATCATTTATTTTTATTCTACTACCACGATAAGAGTCAACTAGCCTACGTACAAAATTGAAAAACTTTAGTTCGCGTTTTTTCGTCTCTGCGTATTAACGTATGTGTGTTTTTATTGATCTCAGTTTGTGTTAATACGTAACAATTATGTCTCGTAAAGATTTAACGTTGATTGAAAAAATGTCTAATGAAATATCATCAATAACTTGGGGACGTTCACTGTCTGCATTCAATATAAAAATATAAAGTACAAAGTAAAGTATTTGTAATTAAAAACCTAGAAAATGTGTCATGTTGTTTTTGAGAGATTAGAGCTCATCAAGTGGCTCCATAAAGTGAAAATGAGGAAGAAATAGAACTGAAGTATTCTAAGCTTTTTAAAGGTCTTGGCTCATGAATACTGAAACGTATGTTATCAAAATAAAATAGGACGTACAACCATTTGTATTAAGTGCACCCAGGCAAGTACCTTTACCATTAATAAACAAAGTAAAACAAGAGCTGCAGGTAATGAAAGAAAAACAAGTGATTGTTCTGGTAATTAAACCAACACAGTGATGTGCCCTAAATGGATGTTATTCTTATATATAGAACCTCTATCAAAAAACATGAGCGATTAGAAGATTACTCAAAGGTTAATCTTTAGATCCGAAATTGGAAGAAATTAGTAAACAAAAATAAAGAGATTACCAACAGAACTTTTTCCTTACTGGGACCATAGATTTGAAACCTCTATTACAAAAATAATTTAATGTTGATTGGACTGACTATAATAGTTCCATTAAAAATGTAAAAAGAAGTATTAAACAAAATCCATGAAGGTCATCAGAGGATAAAAAAATGTAGGGCTAAAGCAAGTCAATTAGTATGGTGGCCTAAAATGTCTCAACATATCCAACAGACAGTAAGGATGTGCCATAAGTGTATAGGTAAGTGACAAAACAGAAATAAACCATTGATTACATCACATTTTCCGGAGGGACCCTGGCAAGTAGTAGCTATAGATTTGTTTAAACTAAATGGTAACTGGTACTTATTAATATCTGATTATTATTCTGTAGAGATGTTAAAACTAAATTGCTTAATAGCTGAAAACGTTATTAAACATCCTAAGTATATTTTTGCAAGACATGATTGCCCAGAGATTGTTAGAACAGATTTTGGACCACAGTTTCAGGTACTAAATGGGTTTTCACACATTTTTATTAAATTTGCTAAAAACTATGGGCTTCAACACATTACATCAAGCTCAAAAAATTCACAAAGTAACAGATTTAAAGAAGCAGCAGTAAAAATAGTAAAAATGACATTAAAGAAGTCAAGCAATCCATACTTAGCACTATTGAATTACCTGTTTAATGGTTTCAGTCCAGCCAAACTACTGATGGGAAGAAAACTTAAAAGTATGGTACCTACGATACCAGAGAATTTGGAACTATTTACACCAAATAAGAACCAAGTAGTTTAACAAGAAAAAGAAGGAAGGCCACAATGGAGAAGAATTATAATAGACATTATGGAGTGAGAGAGTTGCCAGAACTCAACATTGTAATACATGTATGGGTAATGGATTCGAAGGGGAGAGCTGTTGTCAAAGAAATAGCAGATACATCTAGATCATATACAGTTAAAAATGAGAAAGGTAGCATAATTAGGAGAAATAGAAAAAACCTTATTATTATAAAGAATACAGAAGATGACCAAGAGACAGAGTAAAGTATAAATGGTAAAGAGGAAATTGTTGATATTCCAACAGCTGAACCACAAAAAAGGAATTTAAGAAACTAATAGGCCCAGACAGGCTCAATTTGTAAATAATTACATTATTAAAAAAAAACGTATTTATTGTCTATTTTATTTATTTATACCTATGTAATAGTTGTTAACTTTCACTATAGAGGAGATATTGAGGTTAAGTTAACATTAATTATGTTATCATATATCTCTTATCTTAAAAGTTATACTAATAAAGTATTGTAACAGGTTAGTTATTATAATTTAATTATTAATTCAACGTCTATTATAATTAATACATCAAAAACATATGCCGTACAATTTTAAAATAAAGGAATTTGTGTTTTCATATTTCGTATTTTTCAATTATTGTGAAATTCACTAAGAGAATTAAAAAACAAATTACTTACTCATTAATTAGATCCAAAATTCAATAAAAAAAGGTCTCTCTTGGTATTTAGCAATATTTCTGATAGGAAACATAGTTGCAAATATTTTGAAATCAATAAAATCGATAACACCGCACTTCGTAAATATTTGCCGTTTTATCTATAATTGTCTTTACAATTATTCCTAATTATTTTAAAAACCCCTTAGAATATTAAAAAAATGACTTTTCTAATGCAATAACTAGATAAAATTATCTATATATAAAAAAATTAATTTTATTTTTAAAAAGTAGTTTATAGACAGAAAAAAAATGCATATATCATAATAAAACCAATAGATCCCTTGCCGAATATAAAAATAACTATTAGTCGTATCTCTCATAATTTACACCTATGGCTATATATTAGGTAATAATATTTAATATTTATCACTTTCAGGTATTTATGTAAAAACTGAAAATGCAACATATTTAGGAGGTCATGCTGTAAAATTGATTGGATGGGGAGAAGATAAAGGAATACCGTACTGGTTGATGGTCAACTCGTGGAATGAAGATTGGGGAGAAAAAGGGCTATTCAAAATTCGGCGCGGCACAAATGAATGTGGAATTGATAATTCAACTACTGGTGGGGTACCAGTTGTTTTCTAACATAATAAATAAGAATATTAAAAAATATCCAAATAAAACAAATGTATTTTATGTTTTAATAAAATCTTTATAATCAATAATTTAATATGTTTTTGAACTAATTATAAATAAACAGATAACACACATTTAGTATATATTAATCAAAATGAAATATAGATTGACCTTTTTTGTGAACTTTATAAATCATAGTAAATCTTCTAGTGCAAAAACGTACAGTAGTTTGTAGTTAAAGCTTAAACATTATAATCATTAATTTAATAATTTAAAATAAATATTATTGATATTAAATCATTCAGAAAGTAACACCTGTTCACTATTATAGATTAGAGGGAAATAACAGTGATAAAGTTGATAGTTCTTTTCTGGAAAAGAACATCTTATAAAAAAAATGCTCTAGTACCAGATAGTAAAAAAAAAAATGATTTATATCATTAATGAAATAAACGGTTCTTATCAGTCCTTACCTGCCTACTTAGAATAAACGAAAACGATAAAGTTACCTTACCTTATTCATGATATAAAGCAAATAAAGGGGCGCTGTAGATACTTTTACTAACAAGGCCACTGTCTATGATGATAACTGATAGTAATCAATTTGAAAATGTCAATTATTAATTTAATTTGTTTTTTATGAATAATTTAATTAATTTAATTCGATTTCATAATATCTAATCAAATAGAAAAAAAATATTTACTTCGGTTGTTGAGCTAACTGACATTTTAAGTTGTATTGGTGAGTTTAAGCGACCATTGATTGAGGATACGGTTAGGTTATGAACTGAAATATAACCACGTCGTTGAATTTGGATGTATGGAAAATAATAACAAAATATTAAGGACCGTTGCTATGTCTTAAAACTAGAGATTTCAGTGGAAAACATATGTTTCCATGAAGTCTATAAAATTTTTAACTCCATATTAATTTAACAGTTAGTAAATATTATATATAATTTGAGCATTAATTCTAAATTTTAATAATAACTTGTTGTAAATTGTAAGAAATCGTCTTTAATAAAATGTTTGCTGCACACATTAATATTATGTGTAGGAGAATTAGTAATATTAATTTTTAGAGCATGCTCCCATTCCTTTTTTTAGGAAAAATGTGGTAAGTCTAATCTTCTTGGTATTGATTGTTGAATGAAAATCAAATAATTATTTTAAATATGTAACACAGAGAATATAATTTATAAATTTAGTAAAAATAAGTTAATATTTTAAATTGTGGAACATGACAATATTTATGTTTTTTGCAAATTTTTGGTGTTATGGTACAATAAGCATGATGCATAATTATGGACTAGCAGCTACTAAACGTGAAAGTATAATCAAAATTAAAACACGACGTGTGATTAATAAATTATGACAAATCGGGTATACTCGATTATTCTCAATGTTTTTAATTTTGTATTTCATCAATAATTCAGTTTTCTTTTCAGATAGACAATGGCTAACAGTGATTCATACAGCCAAACCGTATTTTAGACAAAAATAATTCAACCAACCGTATTTAAGCCAAACATGAAATAATCAGAAAATATTTTCACCGAAAATAAAACAACAGAATCTCCCGAAACTCTACTAATAATTATCAACTTGTACATTTCTTATCATTGTTTTTAATCAGAAAGTGTTGAATTAGAAAACTTTGAAGTTTGAACGTCTATATTCTTAACAAAATTTGGAAGAATATCCAAATTTTGAGTTATAATTTCTATACAATTTTGAACAAATAAAAAATAATAAAATAACATTTCAAATATTTTCTATGATAAAAATATGTAATTATTATTTTCTTATTAATTAATTATTTAATTTATTTTTAATTTCAACCATTTAATAAATTATTCAAGTGTAAGTAAATATCCACTTAGACATGCTGGATTTATTATTTAAACTAAGCCAATATATTTTCCAATGAACTTCATTGATTACAAATTCAAATATAGAAGTGGGTTATTTGAGGCATCTGGTTAACTCGTTTTTCATTTTAAAATAATATACATGAAATTTTTCTTAATTTTATTTATTTCATATCACTTATCGGATTTTTGGAAATTTGACATTACCTCATTATTACATTCGACTATAATATTTTCAGATAATATACTAATAATATACTATCGGTTCGGACGAAATACTCTCTAGCTAATTTATTTTCGATTTTTTACGCGCTCTCCTGGTAACTACAGCTATTATTGATTAGGCATCAATGCTGCTACTGTGACTGATGACTACTATCAATTTGAGAAAATGTTGAAACATAATATATTATATTATGTCCACATTCAATTATTAAAACTTTATAAAACCTTATATATTATAAAACAGCCATCTCTATATAGTAAGGTAACTGTGTCGTTTATTTAGGTATCATCACAACTTCGTGGTCGCCACTGGCAGTGATTTACATTTTATTTCAATCTAGCTAGTAAATAAATATCACTGCCAGCTGAGTTTTCTCTCCATGAAAAGCTATAGAATAAACAGTTGTGATTATACCTATATATTTTGTTAAGGTTTATTCCAGGTAGGCAGGGTACTAATAAGAACCGTTAATGTTCACAATATAAACAGTTTCTTTTAACTGCCTGGTGATCCAGTGTCTCCTCCTACTTAGGTGCGCAGCTGCAAGCGCTCTTGCTACACTAGGAATCTAAAATTAAGGAAAGCGATATAAAAAAAAAGTAATGTTTATGTAAAAATGTTTGACTTCTCAATCACTATGTTTCTCTCCATAATACTACTCACAAGTTACAACAGACTGTTATTCAACAGTTTGTGTGGTATGTTCAAAACCATTATCCTCATAGTACTGGGATCAAAAATATCAACAAAAAGTTTGTTTTCTGATCATTTTTTTTTTTTTTTTAGAACCATTGTCTTAAATTTGTTAAGTTTGTGGGGTAGTGATAGTAGTAGGTGTGGCCTTTATTTTTAAATGCCACTGATTAGTCAGTTTTGATGTTACTGAGTTATGGTATCAAGTATTATATATTATGCATTATTATTATTATTATTGTAATATTTGCAAGATCTTACCCTCTAATGTAGAACTGCCAACTTGCTACAATTTTTTTCTTATAATAATCATGGACAAGTATTAATTTCTTAATGATCTTCATATGTAACAATGAATGAATAAATTATAAAATAAACTAACCCATTTGAAAATAACATTTTATAAAAATTAAAATATAGAATAGGTATCCACATTTGAAATTATGCAATTACATTAAATTTCAATTCAACAAAACAAAACTGAAGCAATTACAAAACATTAAATGATTATATTAAATTCAAAAATTATGTTGATTTAACTTTCCATTTGTTATTCCATTGGACAATTTTACCATCATTCATTAATTTTACAAGATGCTGTTGGACAATATAAAATGCGACCTTCCTATAATTATCAGGGATTGTCTGCAAACAAAATAAATATTGAAAAATAATAAAATTGATTATTTCATTGTAGTCAATTACCACATGTATTATGCATACTCTTCCATTTTAATTTTAAACTGATATCTATATACAGTTTGGAAACATTAAATATTCTTGCACAGAGCCAACAATTTGAATTTTGTGTTTTTAATTTGTTGTTATACTTAGTAATACATATTAAATTGGAATTTTTTACTATTGATTAATTATAGGCATACACAATACAAATTTTTTATTCTTTTGAGACAACTCCTTTATTTAACCACTAGTTATTTTTCTTTATTTCATGAATTTAATGGTCAAATCACAATTTGAAGTTCAAAATTAGCTGAGATACTTTAGATTTAATAGTATTTTTTATAATGTATTTACTCAAATTGTAATAAGAATATGAACAACCTGGACTTCATTAATCTCTACCATTTATCATATTTTATATTTTATTATCATTAAGATAAACTATTAAGTATAATAACCTCATATATAAAAATATTGAATACATTTAAATTTTAGTATTTCAACTAATTTTGGACAAAAAAAGGAGGAGGGGCAGTTGTCCGAAAATAATAAGAGCTGAACATCAAGGAAAAGTAGCATCAAACATGTTGTGAAACCTAAATTTATTTAATATTTTATGAAAATAGTTTATTTTTATTAATGTATTTATTGTATACTTATATTAAGATATCAATGATTTTAATGTTTTAATGACAATTTTTGATTCTGAACTAATAAATTTTTGGAGTTTGGACAATATTGAAATTTACACCTTAATTTTAAACAAATATACATTCATTTTTTTAAGTCTAGAATAATATTCATTCAAATTTTCTTTCAAACTCCATTATATGTAATTTATTTCCACCCAATAGCCAACAAGGTCTAGTTATTTCAAGTTGAATACTAACATTTAAGTGCTGATATTATCTAATAAGTAGTTCTGCAAATTTAATGTAGTCAAAAATCTTAGAAATGAAATATAAAACAGACTTAAAATAGTTTTTAATTTAATTTTGATATTACTGATATAAGTATATTATATACATTTAAATTTTTTTTTTTTAATAAAAGTCTTTAAAAATGTTGAATAAGTTGATTTCAATAATATTGTCTTATTTTATCAAATCCATATCTTAACTCAACTCATATGTAGATTGTCTAAAATATAAATTTGTATATAGCCTGTGTAAAACAAAGAATATGTGTGTAAGGATGTTAATTGACAAATATTATTAAAAATATAAAAAAATATAATTTGAAAAGACAGACATACTTTGCAAAATGGATGCAGCCACTGTTGTTGGAATGAAGTTGGGAAAGTAGGATATAAAGGAAAAAATAATTTGTATCTGTAAGCAAGGATAAACCACTGCTTACTAAAAATGATTCTAAGGGGAGTTAAGTTGATAGTGATGCTTTGTCAACAATATACAAGATAAAATAATTAAATAGGCATAATATATCATTAAACTGACAAAACTTAATGTAATCAACAACAACAAAAAAATTTAATACTAGGCTATGGATATTTTGGTTAATAATATTTATTTAATATTGTACATTCGATATTTCACAATAATTCACATTTGCTGGGATAGATCTTAGGAAAATTGAAAAATTATCTACCTAAAGTACCACAACAAAAAAATTTTCTTTCAGAAAAGGGTCTACATCTTATATATCAAATTAAGCTTTCTGGTAGAAAGTGTTCAAATAAAAATAAAAAACCATCTTTGTAAAACCAATACATTCTTCGCTATAGTTAGAATTTACATCAAAAAATGACCTTAAAAATTTAAAATGTCAAAAAATACAATAATATGCAAAATGAAAGTTTCATAAATGAAATTTTTGCTACTTAATTCAAATTACGTACTTAAAAATTGACTTTCCCAATCACCTGAAAAATGCACTTTCCTACAAGTTCACAGTCCTACATAAAAGCAATAATTTTTTAACATCTACATTGTGATATTGTTGACAATACATTTTTGTTTCCCATTGTTATCATTACACAGATTCATATAATTTTTCGGATAATTATTAATGGCCCTCAAAAAATTGGTTTAATCATTAAAATCCAAGTAAAAATAAAAAAAATGATGCACTTTGCAAAATGGGTGGGCTACTGTTATAGGTGAGAAGTTGGAAGTTTAGGGAAAATTGAATGTATATCTGTATGCAAAGATTAACTATTTATATTGAAAAATGATTCTGGTTAAAAGTAATATAAGTTAATATTGTATATAATATATATGTATATTATACATATCATATTATAGTAAAATAATTACATATGCATTATATATTTTCTTTAATAATATGTGTTTAATATTGAATTTATTTTCCTATGTTTTTTCCCATTAATTAGGAAAACTTCTGGGAAAATCAAAAAAATGGCATCCATTAAGTACCTTTTTAGTCAGATTTCCTTTCAGAAAAAGTGCTATAGTTGAAAATCTGAGCAAAATTGCTAATAAAAAAGTTATCCACCATAAAACAATAAATATCATTGTAAAATGAATACATTCCTCTCTCCACTCAGAATCTAAAACAAAAAATAACTAATTGCCCTGGGGCAAGGACATTGAGCATTTTATGCAATATACAATGTAAAGTATACATGGTAATGGTTTATAGACTTAAAAATAGTTAACCCACTTTGTTGAAAATAATATCATTGTTTGTTTTTAAAGTTCTAGGAGTGTTTAGAGAATGAAAGAGAAACTAAGGTTTAACACAGACAATTTGTCCTTAAAATACAAAAATTGCACTTTCATTTTTTTTATTTATAGTATCCATTAGAAAAACTTTTATTTTTATTTAAATTATTTGTTTTCATGGGAAAACTAATTTTTATTTTATTTCAATCAAAGTATACTACTAAAACCAGCTAATAATTCATAAACAATAAATCCAAAATTAATGTTAATTTTTTTAAAAATAATGTCTTTCGATCCAAATTTGAGAGATAAGTGAGTTTTGAAAATTAAAAGTTAATACTCATTCAAGATAACACAGTGACTGTGAACATTTTAAAATAATATTAAAATAAAAGAATTTCATAATACTGTTACGATTTATAATTTATGAATTCCATAATAATAAATAAAATAATTAAATAGCACCATGAAAATTTAGTAGTTACCAAATATGGTTTTATGAAACATTTTCAATTCCTAAATTATAAAAGTGTAAAATAAACTCAAATCTATAATTTCATAATGATTGAAATAAGCAAAAATAAATTTACTTCATATCATCTGAGAAAATTATTGGATCATCATAAAAAAATTACCCTGTATCAGAGGTAATAATTTAATTCTTAAAAACAATTATACACATATCTCAATAAAATATTTGTTTTAGTTCATTTTTTTCTGAATTGGTTGTACTTATTAGTTATACATAGGTACAATTTGTTTAATGTGCATCACCAAAGGACTACTTAGCACTGCCCTGTATATACATGTAGGTACTTAAAAATAACTTAAACATTAAAAATAAAATCATGTACACATAATTATATTCAACTTAAGTGATATTTAATATCCATTTAATGGATAACAATTTAAAACGCTTATCTTACCTTATACATTGAATTTACAATATCTTCTTCAGACAATGATGTATTAGGACTTTTATTAATTAAGTTATACATTTCAATTTCTCTTTCTAATCTATGCTTAATATATTTATTGACACGAACAATCGGATCCTGGAAAACATAAGTTATTTTGATTTTAGTATTGATTTTTAACTGGGGTTGACAATATATAACTTCTGTTACTTTTTTACAGTACATGCTAAATCACTAAAAAAAAATTAAAAACCTGTTAATCATTTTATTGTATATCACTAGATGTCTCCCACAGATGGGGCATTATTGAAAGAAAATATAAAATACTAGATAGATACATAGATAAATAAAATATTCAACACAGAATTATACTATTATAATTAAGAATAATACTTTAATAAATGTTCAAATATTATTAAAATATTCTTCTATTTTTAGTACTATACAAGCCATAAAGGACGTTCATCACATTTTTCTTTTTAAGATGTTGGTGGGTAAAATAATCAACACATACTAATATAATATTTTTGAAACTCCAGATTTTTGTTTCAGTTGGGACAGTAATGCAATTGAATCTAATTTTTTATCTAACTTCTATAGTTAAAACAAATTCACTAAATTTCACAAATAAGAGGCTTTTTTTAAAAGAGTATAATATGATAAGTATCCATTTTATATTCTAAGTTAGTTGGGGATAAAGTTGATAGTATAATACTGATCACAAATTTGTAAGCTTATAATCAATAAAAAAAATTAAAATATTATATACTATTACATTTGTTATGTTGTCAATAATAATTCTATATAATAGTGTACTCATCATAAAGATTTAATGATTTTATATCAAAATTTATCAAATCTTTATCATAGACTTTATATTAATTATTACTTTTATAACAGATCCATGGCCAGGAAATATAACACTCGGCTTCAATTCTAATAACAAATTTAGAGAATTCAAATATTTTTTTAAATTATCAAATACAGTCGTCCCTTCCCCTAGTACACAATCTGCTGAAAATAAAGAATTATCCTCCTCCAAAGTAATAATAATATGATCCTCTGTATGCCCTGGTGCATGATGAATCCTATACAAATTAAATACATAATAATGAATAACACTAGTGATTAAAAAAAAAAAAAAAAAAAAAAAAAAAAAAAAAATAGTAAAACAAATTAACAGTAATTATATACTTTAATGTAGCTCCATCAACATGAAACTCTTGATTATTTACTAAAGAATTTAATAAACATCTATATTCTCTTTTTTTATCATCTTTAGGAATAAACTTCCAAACTTTACAGTCTGAAACAAAATGATATGGATTTATTATAAGAAATAATTATTTTTTTAAAACAATGTAAATAAATGTCACATCATGTTTCGAAGAGACCTGGCCGTTTTTGAGAGTTTTGTCAAATTGTCATAGAATTCATAATATTTTTTAAGACAAGCTACAGCGGTGTCCACGAAAATAATTAGAAGCAAATTATTCAAAAATTCTTATGTAAGCATATAAATAATATCATTTACTAACTAGAAAAATAATTTAGAAAAGAGATTCCCACACCACAAAATCTTGTAATTTATAAATGAAGCAAAAAAGTTTTGGTGGAAAATGGAAATGTCATTTTTAGCAGAAACCCATGTTGTATATTATAGTATAATAACGAGCACAAAACATTAAAGGTTTTAATCATACACAATATATGCATAATAATGTGGTGTATACCAGTGGATGTCAACCTTTTTGGATCAACAGCTCCTTTTGATTTTGAAATAAAATATACGACTTCCATACGAATATTTAAAATAAACAAATTTACATTATTTAATCATTTTTATTTAACTTTATTTAATGATAAACATGTAATTATTTAATAATAGAAAAATTAAAAAATTAATACAATAATAATAATAATAATTTTAATATTTAATGGAATGGCTGTGCTTTTTTTTTTCTTTGTATAATATTATCAAATCGTGGCGTAAATTTTAAAAGTGCGATTCTCATTTAGTTTTAATAACTGCTAAGACCGAAAAACCCATTTCATATAAGTATGAAGAAGTAAATGGAATCAAAGTCCTGATAGATCTTATTGGCTACGATTGGATACTGCTTCTTCATAGCTATCCAAAATTTTGGTAAAGATGATGATTTTTGGATTTGGATTTTGATGCTGAATTTGAGGATAAGTCTATTAGTTGTTCTTGTTCAGAAAATGTTAATTCTGAGGGTAGGTCAGTAATAAAAGGATCTTCAATCCAATTTTATTGTTGATCGTCCTCGGGAAAATAATTTTGGAAGTGAACAATAAGTTGTGATAAGTGTTCCATGAATAATAATTTGAAAAATTGTATAAAGTTTAAATTATTTTCATGAAGGAACATATACAATGTGGGGAAACAGTCATTTAAAGCACTTTCATCAATTTTAGTATTCCACAGACTAATTTCCTTTTAAAAGAAGTAATTTTTTCAGTTAATTGCAAAATGTAGGTCTCATTACCTTGTAGAAATACATTTAATACATTGAGTTTTTCAAAGAGCGGTATGTTCAGCCCCCATATCTTCACACATATTTTCAAAACACCGGGACTTTATAGGGCAAGTTTTGATGAAATTAACTTTTTCAATAACAGACAGCAAGACTTCATTAAGACTTAGACTAATTATTAAATATTAATCGAAGTATGCCATTACTCGATATCGCAAACACATAAATAGACTTAATTTACTATTATCGCTACACACGCGCGCGCACAACATGTACTGATGCGCGGACTTAATGGCCTCAAAAAAAAGATAACAAAAACTATATTATACTACATTTTCATTTTTAGTTTCTACTGAGAATGCGCCTCCCTTGATAATAACATATGACACCCCTGGGAGCCTAAAGACTTCAAAAAATGTGTAATGATACCTATATCAAAAAAGCAAAAAGCAGAGAGATGCAAAGAATATAGAACATTAAACCTAATATTCCATGCGTCGAAAATGTTAACAAAAATAGTACATAAACGGATAGAAAAGAAAATAGAGGATATTCTAACAGAAGATCAATTTGGGTTTAGAAAAAATAGAAGAATAAGAGAAGCAATTTTATGTCTTAGACTAATTATAGACAAAATGTTCAGAATAAATAAACCCATATATATAACCTTTATAGATTTGGAAAAGGCATTCGACAATGTTAGATGGGAAAATTGTTTTCATATTATGGATAAGATAAGTATTGACTTTAAAGACAAATAATTAATGCAAACATTATATATAAATGAAAAGACTGTGATAAAAAGCGAATACGATACATACAAAGAGACGAAAGTGCAAAAAGGGGTAAGACAAGGGTGTTATTTATCACCTACTTTATTTAACTTATACATTGAGGAAGCGCTAAAAGATCTGAGAGGAAGATTATAGGAGGGATGAAGATTGATGGGATGCTGGTTCAGATGCTTCGATTCATAGATGATATTGCTATGGTAGCAGACAGTGAAGAAAATCTAGAAAGAATGCTTCAAAAAATGAATAACATGCTTAAACAAGAATACAATATGAATATTAATAAGACGAAGACTAAGATTCTAGTTGGTAACAGACAACAAGTTGACACCAATGGATGGTATCAAGTTAATTATACATAGCATATATAGTACATAGCATAGTTAGACATACCGGAAGCAGAGTGGCAAGTGATGGGAAAAGTGCCACAGATATAAGATGTAGAATAACACAAGCTAAACAAGCTTTTTTTAAAAAGAAGAAACTCCTAACCACAAATGTAATAAATATAAACATTAGAAAAACACTAATAAAAACACTTGTATGGAGTGTGGTCTTATATGGAGCTGAATCGTGGACAATATTGAAAGATGACCGAAGAAAAATAGAAACATGGCTTTCGAAACATGGTGCTGGCAAAGGATCTTAAAAATTCTTTGGACAGATAGAGTGACAAATGAAGAACTGTATAAGAGAATAAATGAAAAAAGATCAATATGGATGACAATCGTGGAGAGATGGAAAAAATGGATAGGACATCTCATAAGGAATAACACATGGATAACATGGACTATAATTGAGGGAAAAACCGAAGGGAAGCCAGGAAGAGGAAGACCTAGGCAGACATATATGAAACAAATTTTGATGGATATAGGAAGAGAGTTATATAAAGAATTAAAGAGTCCCAATAAATAGAGAAGAGTGGAAAAATATTTCATCATTCAACCAATCTACGAATTGAAAAAAATAAATAAAAATATTGTTGACAAAACATCACCATCAACTGAACTATGGGAGCGGCCAATGTTGTAGGTGAGAAGTTGGGAAGATAGGATATATAAGGTTATTTCATTTATATCTGTAAACAATAATAAACCATTGCTTGACAAAAGACGATTCAAAGCGCAGTTCGGTTATAAATAATTTTTGCGATTTTAGTTTAAATTTGATTTCAAAAAGCTTATTATAAGGAAGTCGTTTGATGATTTTGGAAATTTTACCACGCCTAGGTAAATTCAATACAAGTATTATTACCAAGTTTCAAGTCTCTACATTTATTTATAATCGAATTACAGCAAAAAAACTCCCAAAAATTAAAATTCCTTAAAAGTTCAAAAGTTTTGGCGATGATACCGTTATAAATTAAATAAAAAAAGGCAACAAAAAAAAATATCTAGTGATTTTTCGATCAAATCATTTTTTCTAGTAGAAAATTGTTTTTATATAATAATGAAATTGTGAAATTGTATGTTTTCCTACGTTTTTCCTTACTTAAGTGCTTTTATTTAAAAAATGACCTCTCTAAAGTACAATCTAGACAACTTGAGCTTTCAGAAATGTGCTACACTTACAGATTGGAGCATGTTTACTAGAAAAAACGTGTCCACAGACTAGAAGAAAGAAAAAATAAACACCTTAGTAAAACCAATATCTCCCTCCCTTGGAATCAAATAATAAAAACTTACATACCTAAATTTAAAATAACAAATTAATATATATCATGTTTGTATGTCAAAAAACCTATTCATTATACACCCTATTTTATGATACCTAGTTTTTAATGTTAGCTAGTAAGACATTTTCATTAAATACTCATATTATATAAATTAGTAATGATAATATTACAAATATACACCATGGGTATATTAGAATATTATATTATATATAGAACATCTTATATACCTATAAGGTGTTCTAAACTTATGTTTAGAAATTTAATAAAATAAATATTTTACCATCTTTATTAGATATTATATCTAATACATTATTCACTCCGCCAAAGTGATCTGAATGCCAATGAGTTATTATAATATGGTCAATTTGAAAATTATAATTATTAATAGTCTCTTGGAGATTTTTTATATATTCTGGAAAATTTGGTTCTCCTGTATCAATCAATATACGCCTATAACAAAATTGAGTAATATTATATGATAGTAACTATACTGTATAAAATATATATCAATAATAATTTAAATACTAAAATATTATAGACAAATAAGTACAACTCAATCATAAAGTACATTTAATAAAATTTTGTGAAACAGTTAATATATTATAAAGTTTTTTTTAGAAAGTTATCTCACAATAAACATAAAATTAAGAATTAAAAATTTATTATCAAGTATATCGAAGTAAAAATATAAAACACGAATGAATATAAAAATTTAATGAAGGAATACAATATATATAAAAAAAAAAACTATACAAATTAGTCATTTTACAAAGAATATAGAAATAATTTATTTTAATAGAAGAGATTATTTAATTATTATTATATAGTTATTATTAGACATATATATGTTAAGAAATATAAATTATTTGGTTAGTATTTATTATCTAAAATGTATTGATACAAGATATTATTTTTAAAATCAGTTTGTACATTTAAAATATTATTAAAATTATTTTCTTTATTTCATTGTGTATGTGTAATTCTTCTAAAACTGAATTAATGTAAATGTGATTTTGGGTATTTAATATTTCTAAGTCACTATTAATATTAACACTTATATTATGGTTATTTTCAAAACATGTTTAGCAAAATTTGAATGGCAATCTTTTTATTTTATTTCAGAAATGTATTCTTTAGGTCAATCTTCATTCATTCGTTTATTTATTTTTATTTTTATATATTTATTTAGGAGTATTAACCATTTTAATAATTTCGATTTTACTTTATTATTTTATTATAAAATATACATAGGTAAACATAATTTTTAAATAAAAAGCTACAAATGATAAAAATGAATACAAAGATGATAAAATATATTTTGCTGTAGGCACAGACTAGTTCATGATTAAATACCTAAATATAGCCAAGTACTAGATATTGTGTGACGAGATAGTCTCTATTTGGGATTTGGGAAACACTGGACAAGACAGTATAAATGTAGTTTATCTCTCAAGCGATTTTATGGAATATTTTTCCAAAAGGTATGTTATTGCATGCTTAATTTGATCGTACTTATATGCTTAACATTATGGTAAAATAAGAATTCACCTATCATACATACTTTTTATTGCATAATATATATGTATCAATATGCATCCTATGCATATTAAAGTAACTCAAAATTGAGTTTTTGAACTTTTTTTTTCATTAGGTATGTAATAAAATAAAGTTTTCAATGAAATCAGAACTATATTTGTTCAATATTTATGAGCTATTTAAGTGAAAATGTCAAGGGGTGTTTCTTTAGCAGTAATTGAAAAATTGCAGTCTAGTACACTAATTACGAAATATAACACATTAAAATGCGTTCATGGATATCCTCTCAAGTTATATTTGAAAGTTAATTGCATTAACAGATATGTATAGCGATGTCAAGATTATTCCATATTTGAGTGACTTTTTTTAAAAATACTATCAAATTAATCATGTAAAAACACATATTTTGGAAAAAAAAAAATTCAAAAAATCGCTTGGTATGTAAACTGCATTCGTTCTGATAATACAACAGTGTAAAACTAAATTATTTTGAATATTGATTGTAAGACTTAAATATTATGAATATGGTACCTATAATAACTTACCGCGGACCAGTGCCAACTACATAAGTATTAGTGCCTTGTAAAGTCATAAAACCAGGATTGCATCCCAAAATGCGAATCACTCTGGATGAAACATTGCTAACAATCGGTAAGCTAGGCAAGGCCATTTTCGAACGAGTCCTATACCTATTTTTTGATGAGCTGTATTTGAACGACAAAGATGTATTATGTGTAAAAAGAGATAACAGTCTTCCGCACGATTTTCGAATTAGAAACATTGATAATTAATTTAGATAATCAATATTAGCTATAATAAGTAATATAAAAAAAACTAACTATATTATTAAAATTGGGTATAAATATACGTATTTAATTAAAATTTATAAATTATAATAATTTGAATGGCCTTTTTTTATTTAACAAGATTGAAGATAATGCATCCAAACAAATCTAACCAATGGGAATCGACAAAATGTATAGTGATAAACAACATTTAAATTGTGATGTACTTGTATTATACCGACTATCAGGTTGAGTTTGTGTTAGTAATACTATTGTTTTATATTTTGTGCACGCTTCGAGAAACCACAAGTTGCAATTAATGTAAGTATTAAAATTATTTTACCAAAGTAAAAGTCTAATTATTTAGTTATTCTATGACGTTATACATTTACAATAATCAAGAAATACAAATTCTGTGTATTTCATAACGTTTCTACATGTAATATGTAAACAACTAATGATGCCTTTGTTATGTCAAACTTTCGAAAAAAATACTATTATTTTCACTATTTTAACATTATAAAAATTCTAATTTATATTTTTTATTATGATTATAGATTTGAATATACCATTTTTCTCAGAAATTAGGTAAGTATTTAAATTTTAGATAATATATGTATATACATACACACATACTTTTATTATCCTGGAAATACACCCTGTGGTGTATGTGTGTAAATGTAATATATTATATAATATATCTTCATAGAGTTCTTGTATATTTCTGATGTTGGAAATTATATAGATAAGTATATAATTGTTTTGTTGAACAACGCTCAAAATAAATAATTTAATTTTTTTTAATGATGTCGCATCAAATGACTGCAAAGGTTTTTAACCACAATATTCTTTTTCCTTAAATTTTCTTGTTGCAGATTTGTCATAGTTTTTTTTATTAATTTTATCGTTATTTCTCATGATGTGTAGGTTACGAGTTTTTATCGTTCAGAATATTACTTATTTCTTCCCTATTATTTTAGGTTACTTAGCTTAAATAAACGATCGTGGATAGGTATACTTTCAATTGAGTTGAAAGAAAAATCAATGCTATTTTTATTTTTATTTATTTAAAACTGAAAAGTAATGAGTTACTGTTTTAAATTACTGTTTGCCTTATGTACTAAATATTTCTGGTTACACCACGTTAAGTGTCTCACTTTCTGGGGCCAGCACAAATACATTTTTTTTGCATGTGACATGTGACAGGGCTACGAAAAATTGACCATAAGAAAAACATTAAATGATTAGGTCTACCTGCAACATTTAATATTTTACCTTGTGCCTTATTCATGGTCTTTGAAAAACATATTTTCACGGGAAATTTGAGCTATTTAAACTGGAATGGTAGATTAGTTGATATCATTGATAAGACCATTTCTCCTGCTCCACAGCTAGTAAGTAATGTATGGTTATACATTCATGCAAACAGTTTTTTATAGATTTTATTTGCTATCTTGTGCGTTATTAATTACCATAAATATGTTTTAATCAACCTTTTACATTTTTGTCTATAGAGTATATAAAGACAACATTTATAATATTAGTGCAATGGCATCAAATTCAAATCTCAGTCATCATTACAATTATTACTAAATATATTATTGAAAACAAATAATACAAATCAAAAAACATGTCTGATTATTCAATAGTAACCAATATACTATTAATTTAATCTGNAATAAAAAAAAAATATTATCATTTAGCATTTATTTAATCACCACCACACATTCCTCTCAAATCGCAACCACTGGTTGGTACGTCTAATTGGTGGTATTTTGATGAACTTAATTGCACTGAACTAACAGCAATGACAAACTTCTCAAAAAACTCACTCAACATAATCAAAACTGGATAAATGTTCAGATAGAATAGATTGTACATTAAAAATGAATAAATATATTTTTTCATAGATACCCCCACACCATTACATGGATTCCATTTTTTTGTTATCTATGTTACTACAGAAACCTCTAATTAAAAAAAAAAGAAATTTAATTTCTGAACTAAAATTGCTTATAACCTGAATTTAGGGAATGGTATTCAATATAGGGTGAATTTTAATAGCTATTAACCTTTTAAAACTGTGTTCGGCAAAGCCATTCTCACGTGATGCGATGACCAAGGAAAATAGGGATTCATTTTTATAACAGTTTTATACTATTATGTATGTATATAAAACATAATTTATCTTTATAGGTGTATCATTTTAAATACATTTTTACAATAAATAAATAGAAAATGTACATAATTTGAGTCATTTCCTTATTAAAATAAATACTAATAATACAGTTTCTGATCCTCTATTTGGTTAGGCAGTGAACCTAGTGCAATTTTAACTGCAAATTGCAGTTATGTTTTCAATCAACTGATAAGCCAAGTGTTGCCACCAAGGTGGATTACTAAAGTGTGAGTTCAGCATAGTAACCAATTTTTTTTGTGTACATCATTTGCCATTTGGTATCTTGTAGTTAAATTCTACAACAGTGTATGAACACCACAGGAATTTAGAATAAGAAAATTTTTGTTAGTCATTAATTCTTATTATAGAACATTTGATATACTTAGGCTTTTCTACAATTTATATCCATATACTTTTTCACTTTTTATGATATTATTTATTAATTTATGGGCATAACTATTTAGTTTTGTGTTAAATGATTTGTTAAGTTTATTTAGTTAAATAATCATCAATTATAACAATTTAATTATTGATATTACAGTTCATCAAGAGATTTTGAGAATGTCTAGCGAAGAAGAAGCATCTGCAAGACCATCTACTTCTGAAACAAATGTCCCACCCCACAAAGAGCCAAATGAACAAGGTGCTGTTGCTCATGGAATAGGTGAAGCTAGTTCTAGTGCTCTGCAAGTATTTGAAGAAAAAACTCCAGTTGATGACTACATTCGTCTGCGTGTAATTACTAGTGATATGACAAATGAAGTACATTTTCGTGTTAAGGCTGGTACAGCATTGGGCCGTTTGAAGCGTTCATACTGTACCAGACTTGGTTTTCAGCATGAAGAATTACGTTTTGTCTTTGATGGCCATCGAATCATTGATGAAGACACTCCAAAATCATTGAATATGGTCAATGATGATGTAATTGAAATATATCAAGAAAGAACTGGTGGTATGTAATGCAAACCTGTAAAATTAATTTAATTTTTAATATAAATTTTTGTTTTATACTAAAGTTTTTTACTTAATTTCATATCCAATAAAGTAATAAGTTTATTTTATAATTTGCTATGTTTCAAAGGTTTTCATAAGTTTAAAAAAAAAGGATCAAACATTAAACTTTCAATTTCATTTATTCATATCTAGGGCTCATATTTTTGTTATATACCTTTATATCATTTTCTGTTAAAAAAAATTTTTATTTGAATAAATAACATGCTCTAATTATGAATTGTAATATCTTATGAAAAATATGGAATACTTTAATGTTTGTACAGTATACACATTGATGACTTTATAAGTAAATTAATTCTTTGCAATTTCTTTTAAATATTACCTCTGCCCCTCCCCCTATTTTATAAAAATACAAGCTCTCCTGCCAGTTTCAATTTTTTACTATTTATTTTACCTCCGTATTAATTTTTGGTATTGAGTAAAAACACAAAAGTGGAAATTGGGTAGTCTACCTAAAATACTAAAAGACTAAAAGTATTTTGTTATTTAAATTACTATTTTCCTGAAGCATTATATTTTTCTGGATACACCACGTTAAATGCCTCATCTTCTGGAGTCTACAAATTTTTTTTGCATGTGACACATGACAAAGCCATGTACAATTGACCTTTTAACATTGGACAGATAGGTCTAGATTCTAAACCAGCAACATTTAATATTTTACCTTGTGCCTTATTTATGGTCTTTGAAAAACATATTTTCACGGGAAATTTGAGCTATTTAAACTGGAATGGTAGATTAGTTGATATCATTGATAAGACCATTTCTCCTGCTCCACAGCTAGTAAGTAATGTATGGTTATACATTCATGCAAACAGTTTTTTATAGATTTTATTTGCTATCTTGTGCGTTATTAATTACCATAAATATGTTTTAATCAACCTTTTACATTTTTGTCTATAGAGTATATAAAGACAACATTTATAATATTAGTGCAATGGCATCAAATTCAAATCTCAGTCATCATTACAATTATTACTAAATATATTATTGAAAACAAATAATACAAATCAAAAAACATGTCTGATTATTCAATAGTANATTTAATCACCACCACACATTCCTCTCAAATCGCAACCACTGGTTGGTACGTCTAATTGGTGGTATTTTGATGAACTTAATTGCACTGAACTAACAGCAATGACAAACTTCTCAAAAAACTCACTCAACATAATCAAAACTGGATAAATGTTCAGATAGAATAGATTGTACATTAAAAATGAATAAATATATTTTTTCATAGATACCCCCACACCATTACATGGATTCCATTTTTTTGTTATCTATGTTACTACAGAAACCTCTAATTAAAAAAAAAAGAAATTTAATTTCTGAACTAAAATTGCTTATAACCTGAATTTAGGGAATGGTATTCAATATAGGGTGAATTTTAATAGCTATTAACCTTTTCCGGATGATGCGGAACATTTTGCAAAAAACTGCGTTAAAATCGACTAAGCCGTTCTCACGTGATGCGATGACCAAGGAAAATAGGGATTCATTTTTATATAGATATGAACTCATATTAAACTGCTGCAAATATATATTTATGTTTTAATAATGTTTATTTTTTATGTTTACATTTATTGGTAGATACTTTTAAAAACTATTACATTATTCTAAATTTATAAACAATTTAATGTCATTAAAAGAAAAATACAATTTTTACTGAATATCTTCTTTTCTATTTTAAAAATATATTGTATAAGTAAAAGGAAGAAACTAATAAACTTATATTGTGATGCTGAAAATCCATTGATGAATTGTGTGTTGTAATAGTTTGCTAATGCAAAAATTTACTTTAATACTATACATTAATATTAATTATGAATGTTAGAGTATTAGATGGTATAAGCCCAGTCATAGATCTAGAGCAAAGATGTGCGTGGGAGGAAATGGAGGGCAACAATTTTTTAACCAAGTACAATTAAAATATAATATAATACATTATGTACATTATTTTCTTATACAATTCACATACAAAAATCAGAGATAATATGTCGGGGAGGTTTGGGCCCCTAGTCCCCTCTGCATCTGTCCCTGTATAAGCCTGGAATCTGATTGTGTTCCATTTTAACCGTTTTAACATTTCTCGAGTTTCCATTGTATCCAGATTTTTTAAGGGGTTACAAGCAGTATATTAGACTGGGAAAGTAAGAACTAATGGTTTTTATCATTATACAAATAACAATAAATCAGAAATAAATTTAAAATTATAACAAAAAATAAGAATTTTTATTTCTATTTGGCAGTCACCAAATGTAATAGTCTCAGGTATATCTAGCTATCAATAATAATAATAAAATATTGTTAAATAATGTCAACTTAATAATATATGTTGCGTAGATGACAGCAGTTAATAAAAAGATTATTTAAATATTTACATCACTTGTATGTGGGGCTTCAGGTAGATGGTCATACACTGATTGGAGACCAGTTAAAATAAAGTATTATGTTATATTTTGGAAGACCCAGTTATCTAATTCTATAGTACTTACCGGGGAAATTGATACCTATGCAGGGTGATTCAATCAATTGGAAACACTCATTATCTCGGAAAGTATTAACTTTTTTCGAAATTTTTTTTTTGTACCCTTAATTTTTGGGTTGAAACAACTACCTACTTTTGATTTTTAGATGAAAACCTATTTTGAAAATGCCTTAAATAGATGGCGTATTATTTAAAATAAATTTTAGTGTTGAAATTATCGATTTCCGTCGACTCAATGACGAGATATTTCACTTTTAAGTTTTGAGTAGGGGAGAGTAATGATGTAAAATTAAAACTCCTCGCGCAGTTCGTTACACCAACATTTTTAAGTAATAATCAGTTTACAAGTCTCCAATGTCTAAAGATGATAACTGATAATTTCGACTACATACGAACGACGTCATTATCTGATTTCGCCGACTCGCGATAGGTACAACCCATTGATTACCTACCATTACTCAATGGTGCAACCTTGATTCAAAATGCTATCTTAAGATTTGTAAATTGTAATGATAACACATTGACACGCCGAAACCATAAATTCAAGACCGCGGTTACATATGGTTGTAACTACATCCATGATTGTTATTACTTTAATATTGTGTTCTACTATTCTATCTATGGCACAATAAATTTATTGTACATATCTATTATTTAATATTGTTTAATTATTATCCATTATTGTGATATATTTATATTATGTTTTACGGTATAGATTTAAAATATGTCCGAGACAGAAAAATCATAAAATGCATTATTTCAATGGTTGGTATTATAATTAGGAACTACTAATAAATCTTAAGTTTCTAGTGTTTCTATTAGGTATACGGAAACAAATTTCAGCCAATAGCTCAGAACAGTCAATGAGATTATTTAAAATATTGTATATTAACATAACATCTGTTAATTTATGTCTTGTACTTGGTGAGTGTAGGCTCAAGAAGTTTTCAATAAAATTAATGGAAATATCTAGTGATATATATATCGGAGATATAAGTAATTCTCATTAAAAAATATATGTTAGATATTATCAAGATCATTCAAAATATATTTATTTTAAATAATTGCAATACCAAATAAGTAAATCAAATTCGAGGTTACATCTTACCAATGACATATATAGTGTTTTTAAACTTTCATATTTTTATTGATAAAACTTAGCATTTTATATGATTGGTATATTATTCTATTGTTTAATTTGAATAATAAATCATTTTAAAAGTTTACATCCAAGTTTTGAATCAAATTTACTCTATCAAGATAATAGTAATTAATTTAATACTAAAATATTATTAGATTTTTACCATGTGTTAAAGACATAACTTGACATTTGTTAATATTTAGAGGAAGAAGATTTTGTTCACTCCTTTGGAAAAATAATAGGGAGTAATACAATACTAAACTAGTACAATTATTACAATAGTAAATTGTAGAATGGAAACTAAATGTTGTAGTTATACTTGATATTAAATAAATACAAACAAATTAAAATAAGTTAAATATTTAGTTAACACACTTGACATAATAAAGTTTGAGATAAATCCTTGCAATAATGAAATGTCATAAAAAAAAAAAAATAATAAACATAGTAAAACCAATACATTACTTCATATGTTCAAAATCTAAAATATATATCTTGTAAAATTTCAATGTCATAAGGTTCCGGTTTTTTTTTCATGTATATATATTATATTTTTTGCTTATTCTAGTAAAAATTACCATGCTCCATTTCTAAATAGTTACAGTGTTGTATATACATAAATCATTTATAAAAAAAAAATCTAAATTTTGCTCAGTTATATAATCATACATTTATAATTTGATATATTAATGTCATTTCAATTGTTTCTTAATAAACTCATTATCACATAATCAAAATATTTGTATGCACAAACATATTCTCATATAATACATTTTTTCATGCATATGTAAATATGGTTACATTCTTCAATAATTTTGCATAAAAACCGGGCCCTAGTTTTTATATTGATTTTACTATGAACAATTGAAATTTCACTATCATTTTAAGTGAAGACTATGAAACATGTATTTCAAATTTAATGATACAGTATAATCAAAATTTTCAACCTGCAGTTATGCAAAATATGAGTAAAGTTCGAACACTTCAATAACCAAACACTTTTAACAATAGTAAAATTTAAAAAAGTGCTAATAATATCACATTGATTACTTTAGTAGTACAGTAAAAACTTGATTATTGTCACTTTTTGTTATCCGTCATTGGCCACCATCTTCTTTGTGAAAATGCAGAATATTGTTGCTCAAAAAACTCATGCCTCACAAAAATAGAAGATGATGGATTATTTTGCTTAGTATTTTTAGTATGCTATTATTTTTGTCTGCAAATACATGTCAAATATATACATTTATTATAAAATGTCTGTTAACTATTTATTCAATTAACGGTTACAATCCCAGTCCCGTGACTGACGGTTAATTCAATTTCTACTGTAATTAATATTTAATAATGAAAAGGTTAGAAAACAAAACATCTAAAGAAGGACTGTCAGTATTAAGCATTATAGGTATAATGTAATACAATAGGTAGGTATAATTTTAAGTAAAAATATGTAATAAATAGCATATAGTTTACATGAGTAGTGTTAATTTAAAAATAATATTAGTTAAACATTAATATGGTAATATTAATAACTACATAGTTATATGTTAATATATTTTTATTAATTGTTTTTTTTATTAAATTAATTTTTATTGTATACTGATAAACATTATTTATTAAATTATTGTATTTGTTTAAGTAAAATTATAAATTCACAGATTATAATAAAAAAAGTATTATAACCTATCATCCAAAAAATGATCTATATTTTTCAATGTGGAAGGTTATAATTTAATTATTAATAAAAGCAATTACTAGATAAAAAAAAAACAAATGATGTCTCTCCACTGCCAAAAATTGATTCAATTACATATACAAAACCGGTATAGTATATACAGGCAGTTTATTGTATTTGTAAGCCCACCCAGCTACAAATAATTGTAATTATTGAATATTATTTTAGTATGGATGAAATAATTTCACATGTTACACATTTGATAATGAAAAAATAAACAATGCGTGATTCAATTATTATCATCTGCCTCTAACTCACTTCAGATTAATAATCAAATACTCAACAAACATGATCATATATGGTAGGTAAAATTTAAAATTGATAAAGTACTTAAATGAATCAATAACATAGATAATTTATGTATTATGTGTATTATCTATGATCAAAAAACACCAAATAATTAATAATAAATGATAATAGTTTCCAAAAAATAAAAATTATGCATTATATAATTAAGTATATATTAATATTAATCTAATTATTCGCAAACGTGTGAACAATTGCTTTATTATTGATTGTTAAACTGTTAATAGTTATTGTCATATTAAGAAAATATTAAAATTACATGCTATTTTGTGTTATAAAACAACATATACACACATAACCTAGTTTTAACTATGTTATGTGTTTATGTAGTAGTTATTAATGTACCTATTCACTACTTGAATTGAGTACATAATTGAATAGAGCCCCTACTATTTTAATTTAATTTTAACTGTATGTTGTACCCATGAACAATAGTTGTACCAGTTTCTCTTGAAATAAGTTATTCATTAAACGGGATGGTACATTTTATTGTCTCATAATCTCCCTTCTTTTATTTTTTCAATTCGAGCACTGTACTTATTACTTAAATATAGTCGCTATATCTAGGTACCCACAAATACTGTAGAGTATTGATAACAACACAGGTAGGAAGCTCTGAGGTTTTCTAGGGGCACTGTAGTGCTCGAGAATGTGCATATTGCTTATATTAACTAATATATTATATTATTAGGAACTGCGTTCATTCCCCCACTTTTTTCAAAATGTATTATGTGTTACACAGCAAATCAAGAGTTTTTTCGTTTAAAACAGTTCGAATGAATGTAGCAGTGAAAAAGAAAATTGAAAATTCGAAGTTTTTTGCAGTAACTTCTTTAATAATGTTTCTAACAAAAGAATTTAATTATTTTTAAAATCAGTTTGGTTCCAAAAACACATCTTTTAAGGAAAATAATTTTCAAAATTCAAAGTATTTAATTTCTTTGTCATAACTGTTTTAATAGGTTTTTGTAGAAAAATTCTAACAGTTTCAAAAACATGTCATTTAAACAAAAACAAATTCAAATTTGTAAAGTGCATTGTTCCAAAAAAAATGGAGGGGGACACCGATCACAAGTTCTGAATTTCTCTTGAACATCGACTACTTAACTATTAATCTGTTAACTGTTTATCGTTCACCGTTAAAACTGTTAAGGTGTCCACGAAAAAGTGCTATCATTGTAAATCAGTGCAAAATTTTCGGTAGAAAAGTTGTCCTCAGAAAACAAGTGCTTGAACGTATTCTATTAAATAAACATAATTATGAACACGAACTCAATATTATCTATAATATAACCCATTGAAATAATTTTAATTTAAATACTATTAAAAAAATGCATAAATGTATTAAAGAAAAAATAAAATACAATTCACCAGATAATGTTGTTATCTATTGTATTATGAAACATAATAATATGTCTAACAATTTCGCTAAAATTCTGAACAATAATACAAATAGGTAATGTAAAAATCGTTTAAGACTAATAATAATTTAATCAAACCTTTATATAAACAATAGAACTAAAAACTTCACAAAAAATCACATTCTTTTGGAAATGCCAGTATATATATATATATATAAACTTTAAATAAAATAAAATATAAAAAGACTGTCCCTAATACAAATTTCGTTAAATGTTTTAGAAAATAACCATAATATAATTTTTGATATTAATACAGACTCAGAGATATTAAAAACCCAAAATAACATTTACATTACTTCAGTTTTGGAAGAATTACATATATACAATGAAATAAAGAAAAATAATTGTAATAATATTTTAAATGTTCAAACCGATTTTAAAAATGATATCTTATATCAATACATTTTAGATAATAAATAATTACCAAATAATTTATATTTCTTAATTTATATCTATGACTTATAACAACTCATTTTAAATAATCTCTCCTGTCAAAATAAATTATTTCCATGTAAAACGACTAATTTGTATAATTCGTTCGCTATGTATTCCTTCATTTATTTGTTCGTATTTAGTCGCGTTTGACTTTTTGATTTTACCTGACGATAAATTTTTAATTCAAAACCGGTCGTACAATACACATTTCATAATAGTCCAGGCGACGCACTTATTTATTTACGAGTATTAACCGTTTAATAATTTGTTTTTCTTTAAAAAAGAAAATCGTTATTCTTGTTATGTACTTAATTATTTATACGTCTTATATTACGTATTTGTATATTGTTATCATATCTGTACCTTATTATATTACTTAAGTTATTTAAACAAACCTAACTAAATTTAAAAATTATTTATTTACTACTTGTAAAGTTAGGTAAGTGTAACACCCACTTAGATAATCTAATCTAAATATATATTTCTGTGAATTATATTGGGCCCACTGCCCGTAAATAAATAAATAATTATTTTATCAAATAAACATCATTGTAAAATCGCTCTACTCAGAATCTAAAACGATTTATTAAACAATGACCGAAATCAAATGCTGTTATTATTGATAAATGTGATTGATTATTTTGCTATTTTACATTTGGTATAATTTGATTTATGGCGTCAAATAATTTGAAAGTAGTTATCAAGCATTCAAACACCATTAAAGCAATAAGGAGGAAGGGGCTGGAATAGGCAACTACACAAATTGTCGAGTGCTATGTCGCCGGTGGCCGGCGACGCGTAAAACAGCTGAAAATGTTTGGAGCCGATCCGTAATTCAACCGAATTTGAATTAAACCTAAATAATAACGACTAATAGGTGGTCTTAAATAAACAAACTCACACCGGCATGTGAACGACGTGTGTTACGATAGCCGATATAAATTATTTGTTATAATAGGTACTGTTTAGGTATTCTAATTAATATTGTAGCGAGTAGAGTTCTTGTCGTTGGCCGTGGCTGGCATCAAAACTAGAATACCCAAATCAAGGTCGCACTCTGCGCGATTTGTTTTCTTCACTACGCAGTCACCACCGCTACTATAATATTATACTGCACACTATACAGTGTATAGTATAATAATGCCATACCACACACACTCGACCCGTGCGTGGCATACTGGCATTATCATACGCACGCGCGGATAATATTACCTACACTTACTGCTGACTCGCGCGCATAAAAACACAAATGTATTTTACGTTGGCTTTGGCAATATTATTATAATTGTATATTTACGCGCAATGTTATACAATTTCGTTTCGCATCTCACGAAATTCAAGTCGTACGTCAACATAATAAGACCGTGCGAATAATACGATAAATACGCTGTTTATTTCTGTTCGTGGGGGGTGGCCTCTGAGCGTATAATATATCAGTATATAAGTACACTACACACAATATTTAGTAAGGTAGGTACTTGTGTGCGCGCGCGCACTCGGCGCGTGCCTGCAAATCCGCTCAATTACAGAATTACAAACGCCAAACCATTTCGCCGCGACATCACTTGCCTTGCCCAATGTTATAATAACCTGCGCGCGTGCACAATGTCATGTTAAAACCGCGCCGTTAGCCGTCAAAACCGCCGCCGCTCAACGTCTACTGCAACCGCGGTAGCTAAAAACGTTTTTTTTTTTTTTATCCGCACAGTCCGCTCAGTCGTTCGTCGACTATACGGTTACGTTTTTCCGCCGTTCGCTGTTTGGAAAAAAAAAAAAATCACCCAACCGTCAACAAAGTTCAACATCGACAGTTAGACATTTGCTCAGTGGCAGAAGTGGGGTGAGTATTTACTATGTAGCGTTACATGTTTTTATTATTTTCCCCGAAATCTCCGTTTATCGTTTATGTGGGTCATCATCACTTATCACCGCACAATGTCAACGACATGACCCTATCCACCTCCCGGTCCTCCACAACATCTACTTACGACTGTCCCTCTATTTTTGACGGACGAATGACATTCCAGGTGATAGTATTAACGCCAACACGTTTTTTTCTTGTTAACGCCCAGGCAACTCGCAGCCGATTTCGCCCATATTACTATCTTTATCACTGAGCTAAAAGTGTGTGCCATCCGCGGCACATGTTCTCCGAAATTGACCTCTTGTCCGATCGATAGTAATAAAGCAAAATGAATAATTTTTTTTATTTATTCTTTCATAAAGATAACGGGTCCCATTGAACATGCTCTTGTGGATGCCCATGAGATCTATAATAATTGTAGTCCATAATAAAATAATAATAGATAATTTATTAATGTAATTATTTTTACCATTTCATGTATTTTTATTGATAAGGAATATTATTTGTACGTTTACCTACAGTATATTACGTCAATTGATTTCCTTACTGGAAAAATAAAAATATCGTCAATTCTCGTTGAAGAATTGATTATACTGCAGTAATTTCCAGTCACTTTTCTTAATTTTAAACAATTCATCATTCACTAGTCACGTATTGGTATTTTATACATTAATCACAGATTACGTATTTTGATAAAATTTTTCTTGATTCATCTATTATCTACAATAAGTATCAATATCTACACCTACTACAGTACTACGTAATATATTAGTTTATAAATTATGCATAATATACTTATTGCTCAGTAATTTTGTAAAGAGTAACCACTAACTACGCATTTGTGTTTATTTTTATAATATATTATTTAAATAAATTATATACATTTTTATAATTTATATTTTAATATTTATTTCTATATTATATTATTATGGCTAAAATATTACCTTATCACCTGCAACTGAAATTTAATATTATGTTATGCTTTAGAACTTACTGAGGTACTTAAGAGAAAAAAATTTCCTATTTATCTATTTGTTGTGTACAATTTTAAAAAATAATATGCCGCTAGACATTAATCAACTGAAATTATTTTATTTTATATTTTTAGATTCAAGTGTTTTTTTTATTATCTACCATGCCTATTAATTATTATTTACTATTATAACCATATATAATATAGTATAAGCAGGGTTAGGCAAAATCATGTACCTATACAAGTTTTATACATCAAAACATATTCAACTATATGTAAGTTTTTATTTTTATTATCATTAGTTAACATAAACAAGAAATGATAATTAATAGTACACAGTACAATACTATAGTAATCTGTAGTAATTATAACCACTAATAAAAATACATTTATCACAGTGAAAAAAAACAAAACAACTTACTCTGAATATTAATTATTTATTTATATTATGAAGTGTAATATTTTTTATTTTTTATTAAAATGATAACTTTTTCCTTATTATAAATTAAATATTAATATAATATAGATTAATTATGATTAGTACGTATTTGGTTGAGTTGGACATTGTTTTCATCAATTTTAAGTTTACAATAGATACTTAGGTGTATAACGTATGTGTAAGAATTTATTGATAAGTTGACACTTAAAATTTTATACTACTCGACTGCTGTCTTAATTTGGCACGCTGATAATATCACACAAAATCAAAGTTTATCCTCTGTATATAATAACTTTCTAAGATATTTATTTTATAAATGCCTTATAGAAAGAGTTCCTAATTCAGGATATTATATTACTTGTAGTTTTTCTAAGATAATGTCTTTAGATAAAATAATTAATTTGTTGAACTGTAAATTGCTTTATAAATTATTATATAATATTATTAACCAAGTTATTAACTGTCCTGAACTTCTTGAGCGTTTAAATTTTAGATTAAACCAATCATGTTCAAGAAATAAATCATTATTTTATCCTTTACCAATTAATAAAAAAATGTTATACACCCTTGCAAATGTTTTTATAAACTGTCACTTTATTATTTTCAAATTACAAATAAAATTATTATTATTAAGAATTTTGTGAATCATTCTCCCTCCAGTCCATTTATTAAGGTATTTTGGACATGCTATCCAATTTGAATATATTGTTTCCAATTGTGCTGTGAGTACTGGTAGATTAAAACATTTTACTGTTATGCTTGCTTAATCATAATGCTTATTATTTGATGGAGACTATTTGGCAGACTGTCTACTCCAACATTTTTCCTCACTTTAAATAGATTATATCAACAAACAATATGTTTATACTAAGAATAGGTTTTATAAATATAAAACATATAATTCCAAATATATATACATCAATTATTATTATATTGTATTATTAGTCCGAACCTAGGTTTAAATATGTTGATATTACTATTCAGAATGTATGAATAATATCAGTGTTATATCAATTTTAAAATAACTTTTTTCCTTATATTATGTAAAACATATGAATACATTTTGTGTTCTATGAAATATATTATTATTAATCACTATATGGAGTTTAATTAATATCTACCAACTTTGTTTATAACTTTTTTTCATATAACATTGTATTAGTTTTATCAATTTTGTATTAGTATTAAAGTACTTATTGTCTACACATTTTTACTTTTTTGTACCAAATAGATTATTGCTTAAAGGGAAACTTTCTTGAAACAAATTATAATATTTCAGTTCAACCGGAAAATACCAAATTTAATATTAAAATAAAACAAATGTCTGTTTGTTATTGTTTAAAAATTAAAAATATCAATGAAAAGATGAACTTATTAAACTAATAAACTATGTAAAATTCACATAATAAACTTATTAACAATTAATGTATCAAATTATATCCTTTAGGGCTATAGCTGATGTTCAGTGCAGCCATAATAAAACAAATTTAAAAACTTGCATGCAACCCAGTAGTTTTATGTGTACATATTATAATACCTACTTGTTTATACATAGTGGAATTTGAATTCTAACCCTGAAACTAGTTATACATAAAACTATTTTGTGTTTTGATAATTTATTTAAATTGTGGAATATTAATATAATTGTATATTATTTAATTAGTATTGGTAACTGTCATCTATATTATTATAATATATCTGTATTGGAATATGCAATGATATAATTAACTAGCTAATTACTAATCTATAATTTGTAATTAAATCCATTATACACAATTATGGGTCTCATTAAATACTAATATAATATTTTATAGTTTATTTTATATTTCATCACGGCTTTAATCTAATTTGTACACAATTACATATTTATGGAGAGTCGTGTTAAATGTTGTATTTTTACCTAATTATAAACACAATGTGTAGTTGTATCATAATAATATCTTAATACATGTACAATATACATTGCGACTAGGTGCATATTCTCATATATGTTAATAGCAAAGTGTATAATGTTAGTGTTATACTGGGTGTTATATATATAATATATAATGCTTAGGTATTTTATATAACTCCTGGACTTTTTTGACTTTTTAAAGTATTAGTATAGAATATTATTTAATTAAATAAAAAGCTTAAGAATTAATGCACATCAATAGGAATTAAATGCAATTTGTAAATCTAAAAAATTAATCTACACAATATAGAGTATTATTTATTATACAACTTTATGGGCTTCTCAAACATTTCATATCCATACAAATGTTGATAATGAAGTGTTTTAAAATAATTAAATTCTTATGCCTACTACACCCCAGTTTAAGATAATATTATAAGCTATACTTTGTACCTCTAAAATATATAATCGTAAAATGTGGTTATAATTTACGTAATGAAAATTGTTTATGAACATTTTCACGACCAAGATAATGATCAAATTATCACATACTTCAATACAACTTATGTTAACAGTCATAACCTAACATTCTATTTAGAACATATTTGGGTTATAATTATGTTGGTATAGGTAGAACAAGTAATATTTTAGAAGGGTAGAATTATAAAATTTTAACACAAGTTCGTATTACGCCTAATATTTGGGTTTTTATTGAAGCTCTACAGATGATCAACTCAAGTATATCAATATAAAATTTTAATTATAGAATAGGAGATTTCTGTAATAATTTGGGTTATGATGATAGATATAAACGTTATATGAACGTTTTTTAAATGAAGCTATTTTGAATTTCGATAAGCATCTTACCAGAATAAAAAAACCATAAGTTTTTTTTTAAATTTTGATTTTTTATTAAAAATGTTTTAACGTATATTTTAGTGAATTTTGTATTGGCAATAGTGTTATGTCGGATTATTAAATTATACAGGGTGATATACAGGATATATAAGATTATTTCATTTATACCTGTAAGCAATGATAAATCATTGTTTGACGAAAGACAAGCGTAGTTCGGTTATACATATTTTTTTCGTTTAAATTTAATTTCAAATTGCTTATTAAAAAAAAAAGTTGTCTGATGATTTTGGAAATTTTATTATGTAAGTTCAATATAAGTATTATTACCAAGTTCTCTGAGTCTATTTATAACTGAATTATAGCAAAAAACCTACCAAAAATAAAATTCCTTTTGGTGGTATTTTGGTGTATACATTTTTATTTTCAATAATAATTTGATCACTAGTTCAAACTTATAATATTTGTGATTATATTGTTATAAATATTTTTCTTCTTGATTTTATATTTTTCATATGTTTCTATTTTATGAGCTAATTGAAAATTGGCTTTTAAAAAATAATTGACCTTAATAATTGTGTTTCCAATAAAATTAATTTTTATCAAATAATTTTTAATTCTTCATTATTCATTTATAAAATTGCCTAATATTACTGTTGTACATCACAAATATAACACTTAAGTATATGATTTAAGTAGATAGGTCAAAATGGGGAGTAGCAAAGAGATACATTTTAATTTTTTAATTAATTTAATACTATGCACGGAAAACCTAGACTCAGTCTAACCAATAAATAATACAACAGAATAGGTTAGAAACTATTATGTGTATTAATAATATAATATTCTATGATATGGTTAATAATATATTATCTTATATTACTTAAAACAACGTAAATAATTTTTACTTAGGTATTTACCTTAAATTATATATTTAAGTAAATAGTACTAGATTATAATATCTTGACAATTCTACAATTATAAATAAGATATATCATGTATCAATATTAATTAATTCTATTATTATATTTTTTTTTTTTCATCAATGATCAAATAAAATTGCACACTAATGATTAATTATGACTATCTTCAAATAAGTTTAAGTATGTAATTAAATTACTACATAACTAAATTAGTAATGATTTTGTAATATCTACTTGCATTTAATTATGAGATGATAGAGGTAATAGGTAAAAAGTATTACCATTAACTTTCCTACGGCTTGTACCACAAATTATATTATTAGTAATTATTCATGTTGGTTAATATTGATTTTTAAATTTAATAAATAACAATAATTAAATAAATTATTTAGTAAAGTATTTATATAGATAGGTAAGTGGCTGTTTTATATATTTTTTATTACTTCCAATTCACACTATAATATTAAACCTTAAGAATTATGATTACATTTAATATAAAAATGTAAAATTTTACTTATTTTAAAAATAATAATTGATTTAATACATTGTTATTTTAAGTTTAAATTAATTATCAGGTACTTCAATATTTTTTTATAAATGAAAAATAAATCAAATACATACCATAATGCAGTAACTATATTATTTAAAAAATATATATAATTATAAGTAAGAAGTTTTCATTTAACTATAATTTGTTATTTAGATTATTATTGTACCAATGATAAACACAAACAATTATAACACATTACATATTTTTTATTTTTGGCAGTTAATCTGTTAATCTAAAGGTGTGTAAAATAAATTTTTGGCATAGTTTAAATTGTAAATCTGTCTAAACAATTTTAAATAATATATTATTTGTATTTATTTAATTTAAATATTTAGGTAGGTTTTGTTATATTTGTTTAAATATTTTTAAACAAATATAAATTGTTATATTATTATTGGTAATATATTATCTATTTGTATGTAGAGCATTATTACTAATGTTTGTTGAGTAGAATGTTAATCTTATTTCTTAAACTATGAATGTTATAGTTCATTTTATTATGCTATAAAGTTTGAATTAATTATTTAATTTATGTTTTAGGATTTACAATGACTTCAAAACTGTATAATTTAATAATTGGTAGTGCATCAGTTGGAGCAAGCACTTATCTAACAACATGGTTATTAAATGGAGAAAATCCAATAGTATGAACTATTTTTATTTTATATTATAGTCTTTAGTTAGCTACCTACAATAGAATATGAATTGAATATATCTCATGACATTTATAATATTTTTATATTAAAGCAATTTCAATCAGTGCAAGCAGAGGTTGTTAAAAAAACTGGTAGACAACGTACTTTACCACCAAGAAATGCTCAAATTCAGTCTTTACAATCAGAAAGTTTTGATGTAATTATAATTGGTGGTGGTGCTACTGGTGCTGGTTGTGCAATTGATTCTGTAACACGAGGTTAGATATATTTTAGAAAAATGACTAAGCACATTTTAAATTTGGTTTATGCTATTCATGTTTAAATTGGGAAAATATTTAATTTTTGGTCAATTGTTAAATTAGGGTTGAAAACTGCCTTAGTTGAGTCAGATGATTTTGCATCTGGCACTTCGAGTCGCAGTACGAAACTTATCCATGGTGGTGTACGATATTTGCAAAAGGCAATACTTAACTTGGATTGGGAACAGTATAAAATGGTCAAAGAGGCATTGCATGAAAGATCATCAATGCTTAAAACTGCACCTCACCTAACACATGCTATCCCCATAATGTTACCAGTTTATGAGTATGTTCTTAATATGTTCAAAATTGTTTGTTTTTATCTTATTTTGTGTTTTTTTTTTTATATATATATATATATAGATGGTGGAAGGTCCCTTACTACTGGATTGGCATCAAAGCTTATGATCTTGTAGCTGGTTCTAAAACAGTAAAAAGTTCATATTATTTGTCCAAAAATGAAGCATTAGAAATATTTCCAATGCTTAAGAAAGATAAACTTGTTGGCGCTATTGTTTATCATGATGGTAATAAGTATTTTTTTTTGTTAAGTTAAGTACTAGTGTTGTTTTAATAATCAATGATATAAGAGAGAATAGACTGATGAGGTAATTTAAATATATAATGTAAAAGATAAGTGAGAGGCTACATGTTCTGTAAGGGTAGTAAGGCTGTAAGAATAGTTTTATAAATTAATGCAATTGAAAGTAGAAGAGGAATACTAGACTAAAAATTGTTAGACATAATTGAGAGTGAGGACCGTAGGAGCTAGGGGATGTACAGGATTTATCAAATTTTATGTTACTGCCAAATTGTTCATAAGGTATTTATTTTTTCAAAAAATACCTTGTGTAAAAACTTTTGGAAATTACATATTCTAAAATGTCACATTGTTCTTTTTTATGGAGATGATGCAACTATCTACTTTTGATTTACAAACAGCCATGTATATTAAAAATATAGTTTTCTATTTCTTTCCCCCTATTCAAACTTACATGTAGAATATCTCATCAACGGGTTAATGGAAATTATAAATATTAATGCCAACATATTTTTAAACTAAAAAATCATCTATTTAAGGGACTTTGAATATAATTTAATATTTGAAAATTAAAAGTAGCTACTTGTTTAACCTCCAAAATGTTTTTTGCATTAAATTATTTTTAAAAAGTCATTGAAAACTTGACTTGAACATGAAATTTGTTACACCTTGTATAGATGATATGAGAGACCTAGTTAGGTGGAAATGACCAAGGGGAGCAATCCCCTCATTGATTAAATATGTTAGGAATGAAAAGAAGTTTATATTCTACTTATTAATATTATAGTTTTTATACTTTAGGCCAACAAGACGATGCAAGAATGTGTCTTGCCTTAGCGCTCACAGCTACTCGGTATGGAGCAACTGTAGCTAACCATGTAAAAGCTGTGCGCCTCATAAAAGACAGTGATGGAAAAATATGTGGTGTGCATCTTAGAGATGAACTAACAGGAACAGAATGGGATGTTAAAACTAAGTGTGTGATTAATGCAGCTGGGCCCTTCACAGATTCTGTACGCCAAATGGATGATGAAAAAATCAAGGAAATTTGTACACCTAGTAAAGGTGTACACATTGTATTACCTGGTTATTATAGGTGATTAAAATGTTGTACCCACAATATAATTGAATTAATATCAATAATAGTATATATATTGAATTATATTAATTGTTGTAAATTAAACATTCAATTTAAATGCATACTTTGTGACATTTTAATTTGAAATATTCTAATGCTCTTAATAGCCCGGAACAAATGGGACTTTTGGATCCAGAAACATCTGATGGACGTGTTATATTCTTTTTACCTTGGCAAAAACATACGCTTTCAGGAACTACAGATAGCCCATGTGATGTCACATATCACCCAACACCGACAGAAGAAGAAATTGAATTTATATTGGATGAAATAAAGAATTATCTGAACTCTGATGTTGAAGGTTCCTTGTCTAATCTACAATTTCAAGAATAAATACAAATAGCTTATTTTATTTTTAGTAAGACGAGGTGATGTATTGAGTGCTTGGGCAGGTATTCGTCCATTAGTATCAGATCCAAACAAAGGAGATACTCAATCACTAGCCCGTAACCATATTGTACATGTAAGCAAGTCTAATTTAGTTACAATTGCTGGGGGTAAATGGACAACATATAGAGCCATGGCTCAAGAAACAATTGATGCTGCAATTAAAGGTAATATTATTACATAATTTTTTTTTAAAACTTATTTGAATACTTATATTTGTAATTTATTTAGTTTGCTTTTACAGCTGTTTCAGAATTAAAACCAACCAAACCACAATGTCAAACAGATGGTCTTCAACTTGAAGGGTCTCACGGATGGACTCCAACAATGTATATACGATTAGTTCAAGATTTTGGGTTAGAGAGTGAAATAGCTCAGCATTTAGCTACATCTTATGGTGACAGAGCATTTGCTGTTGCTAAGCTGGCAAATCTCACTGGAAAAAGATGGCCAGTCATTGGTAATAAAATTCACCCTGAATTTCCATATATTGATGCTGAGGTAATATAAATTCTAAAAATTTTTGCGGCTTCCTAATTTCTAAGAAAATACTTTATTGTTTTTTTTTTGTTTTTAAGATACGTTATGGAGTCAGAGAATACGCTGTTACTGCTGTAGATATGATTGCAAGACGTTTACGATTAGCATTTTTGAATACTCAAGCTGCATTAGAAGCTCTCCCGAATATTATTAATATTATGGCTGAAGAATTGAATTGGAGTGCTGATGAAAAAGAGGTTTAATTAAATAATTTTAGATATTTTGATTAAAAGTTTATTAATTTGTATAATATAACAATATGTAGAAACAATTTAAATTGGCCAGTAACTTTTTGGCTACAGAAATGGGCTTGAGTGTTAACAGAGCATCTCGAGATAAAATTCCAATCACTTTATCTAAAGATGAAATTAAAATGTATGTTACAAGATTCCAACTTATTGACCGTGACCATAAAGGGTATGTTTCCATAAATGATATTCGTCGAAGTATGAAGGTATGGTATCAAAAACTAATTTACATGTTCTTTTAACATACTATAAAATTAATATTGTAACAGAATTCAGGTGAAGATGTTAGTGGTACAGAACTCCATGAAATTTTGAGAGAAATTGATACCAATATGAATGGGCAGGTTGAGCTTGATGAATACTTACAGGTAAAAGATTTATATTAAGTCTATACTATTAGTAATACCTAATATTTTTCAATGTAGAGAAATATTTGTAGACAATTTTTTATATATGCATTTTATTTTAGATGATGTCTGCAATTAAAGCTGGTCACATATCTCACTCTCGATTTGCCAGAATGGCTGAATTAGAAGAGGAAGCACATAAAAATGTTAAAAGCAAAATAAGTGTGGAACGCTCAGGAGGAGGCTTGTAATTGAAAATAGGAATATTCTATTCGCTAGAGATTTGGTTTTAGTATCTGTGAACAACTCAGTAGATGATATAAATCAAAACCATAATCAAAATATTTTTTCCTGTTCTAAGTACATATTGAACTATTTGTTGAACAAAAAAATACTGTTGTTACCAATGTTAATAAAAATTAAAATCATATACACAATTTATTAAGTTTTATATTTTGATTCATACTGTAGTATATAAATACACTCGAGGAAGATTTACAATCTAGAGAAACTATAGTCTGTCCCAGGAGAGAACGGTCCACTTGTGCGCATGTTTTCCCCCTCCACATAACTTAATTTCAGCGAAGGAAGCCGATTGTCATTTCTTCCGTCTTTCTTTCTTTTTGACTATACACCGCTAGGATATTTTGTAGAAATTCAATTGTTATTATTAGCAGACATCGCGCATCGCACGTTTATTTACCTTTGCTGTTTTATAACCTCTTGATAATTTTTCAAATCGTAAACTATCGTATATACAAGCACCTTCTATAATAATCCAGACTTTGTTTTTTTTGTATACATATTTATTTATTTAATATCTTATTGAAGACTGTAGGTATAATACAGATATATATATATATACTCGCCATCATTCATTTTAAAATAATTAAAAAACCGGAGAAAAAATAAAAATTACCAAATTGTACAAAAAAGTAAACGCTGTAAAAATGACGTGTGCGTACACCACGGCAATTGGCGATAAACAGTGGACTATCGACAGTCAACAGTGCATTATTTGAAACGCAGTGTACAAAACCTGCACCACTTCTGCGGTCGCCGTTGCTGCGCTGTTGATAGATCCGGGAGGGGATAAATGGATAGTGTTGCAGCGTGGGGATGCGCAGTAGCACTTCGATTTGGTCGGAGAGCGGGACAGACTATAGATGAATATCTATTATCTAGTACTGTATAGAGTAGTAGGTTTTTTTAACTGTGTCTCATGAGCATTCTCTAGATGTACTATAATCTCTTGAAAGTTTTAGTAGCCTTATCCATCAAAAATCCTTTCTTGGTGAAATGAGCAATATAAAAAAAAAATGTATTTTTTACTTTAATTAGTAATCAGGTCTTATTGGTATAAACTTGATTTTGATGCTGAAATAAACAAAACAAGTTTAACAAACCATTTTATGTGTTTTTTTCAAACAGATTTTATTTCTATTTTAAATTTTCCTTTTTTTAAATTAGTAAAAAAAAAAATCATTTATATCTAATACATTTTAAATAATCAAATATTAAGAGAATATTTTGAATATTTTACTACATTGAGAAAAAAATTAACAAAAGTAGTATATAAAAATTGTAGGTTTCTACAATTATGTTTTAAACAAATTACAATAAAAAAATAACACTGTTATTCTGTAAATATACCAGTTTTTTCAATGGTTTTCTTAATTATTAAGAATAAATAATTATTGTTACTGTGTAAGTATCGCTTAGATTTAGAAGATAAAAAAAAAAATTAAAAATTAAAAAATATATCATTAAAATATTATACCATACTACAGTGGTATATGACCTAAACGGACCAAAATTTTGGGTTAAATGACCCCATTATAGCTCCGATAACTATAGGAAATTCGAAAACTACTTTAAGTTACTAACCTTAGTTTAAGCAACATTTAACCAAAAGAAAATGTTGGTATGGATATGCCTATCCATACCACTATAAACAGGTTCTATAGGGCCCTAGTATGGGTAGACACTATATCTATACTTCTCATGGGTGCCGCCACTGTTGTAGTTGGGAAGTTGGGAAGTTGGGAAAGTAGGATACAAACAATAAGTTAATGTTTATCTGTAAGTACCGATAAACCATTGCTAATAAAAAAAAATTCTGAACTGAATTCAGTTGATAGTGTTACTTTGTCAACAATATATATGCCATATTATGATAAAATAATTAAACAATGAGCATTTCCATGATAATAATAATTGCTTAAAAAATATTAAAATAATAATAACAAAAAATAAATAAAAACTGTTGCCAATATTAGCCAATTTCCTTATTTTCTATGTTATATTTATTTACGAGTATTAACCATTTTAATAATTTTGTTTTTACTAAAGTAAAATTATTTTATTATATATTCCATATTCCATATTCAATATTATATTTTGTTATATATTTTACTTATCTTGGAGAGTAGGTATGCCAGCAAAAGGAGAAGAAGAATGTTAATTTAATGAAATTGGTATGGTGTGAATATAATATTGTTCGAGAAAATTTAAAAAATGTATTCATACAATGATTTAATTATTATTACATAGATACCTACTGGATTTTCGAAAATGTTATCTACCCTTAACCATATTACTATATTCTGTTAACTTCATGAGTCATGACATAATATAATAAATTGTAGCACTTTAATAAAATTGAGTTTGTGGTTCTGGCGAGTGCGAGGTTCATATTATTAAGGGGTAACTATATTATTTGAGTTTAAAAAAATATTTACACAGATGAAAAGCTAGCAATATTTGATAAGAGAGCCCAGTGGTTCTTAAAAATCTTTACACCTATATACTTACGACATACCAGATATTATGATAATTATTAAAAGTATGGTTGGGATGTAAATGACCCGGGTCCTATTTGTTCATTTACCAAAATAAATAATAGTTATTAATATTATTTCTTAAGTAATTTAGAAAAATATTTAAAAAATGTTGTTATCAATTGATAACCATAGATAATCTATATTACCATAAACCACTACTTTAACTACAAGTATTTTCTTCGGAAACATAACCTAATCTTATACCGTGTTTATTAGGTATAGAGATGTCCTATGAATATTATTTATGGTGTTGACTTTTTATTACTCCCAGGTGGAATGACACTATTACAGTATACAATCGTCAAACACATGTTTATCATGTTTCCAAAATACAAAATCATTAGTTTTTATTAGTGTTTTTGATTATAACTTTTCTATTTACTAATTAATTTTTAGTTAGTAATATTAATTTATAAATTGTTTAAGGTATATTTAAGTTTTAATTCGGAAATCATTATCAGTTTAAAATGGGTATTACAAAACAATATTTACGTTATGTGCCATTGAGTAATTTTAACATTATTTCCCATCCTGATTGTAACATAGTATTTGTTACATTGAATGGTATTTCTGACCGTTTCATCGCTGTTGGGGCCTGTGAAAATGTAATTATTTGGGATTTGCGTTTGTCAAAATTGGTAAGTACCTACATTAAAAGCATCATGTTATTCATATCTATCAGGCAGTTATTGTTATAAAACATCTAATAACCTCACATCAGGTAATGACAATTGAAGATGAAGACATGAAAAATAATACATTAAGGAAAGCAAATGTCGTTAAATTAACTACAACTTCAGAAAGTAACCATATTGCTGTTGGGTATTCTGATGGATTAGTGAATACGTTTAATTTAAAAACTGGTGAACTTATTGGAACATTTCAAGGTCATCGTTCTGCTATTTCTGCATTAAATTATAACACCCAGGGATATTTGTTGGCATCAGGTTCTAAAGTAAATATTATTTTTATTATTAATTTTATAAAAAGTTAAAGCTTAATTATTTAATTTTCAGGATACAGAAGTGGTAATCTGGGATGTTATAGCAGAAAAAGGTTTACACAGGTTATCTGGCCATAAAGGTACTGTGACTGCAGTTCAATTTATAAATAAGCTAAATATTGTAGTGACATCTTCAAAAGATACCTATATCAAATTTTGGGATTTGACTACAGGACATTGTTTTAAAACTTTGGCTGGTCACATAACTGAAGTAAGAACATTTTTAAGCATAGATTTTCAAAAAAAAAAAATATATTTTAAGAATACCTAGTTATTTTTTGTATTTTTTAACATAATCCAAATTTGTTGTTTAATTATATAAAAATAATATTTTTCCAAATTTTGAAGAATGCCAATTAGAAATTTGTTTCAATGTATTTAAACTTCAGCCTACAATAGAAGGAACTGTGTCTCGACCAAAACTCGTCTGAGTTTGTGCAGCACTGCTAAATATCTCACTAACTGTATACATGTGGCACGTTTGAGTAGGGAAAATAGTTCCCCTGAGACATTGCATGTACAAAAAGAGTTCCTTCTCTTGTGGGCTGCAGCTCAAAGTATTTGTAGTGCTAATTATTACCTAACAAAAATGGGTCTTTTGTTCCTTTAAAAATTAAAATTAACTCTAGTAAAATAAAAAAAAAAATTTACCACGTCTAGAAATCGCAAATATATAAAGGTTTAGTGAACATTTCAGGTCAAAATTTAAAATCAAAAAATGACAGCCTTAAAGTACTGTGTCTAGAAAATTTCCATTCAGAATAAAGTCTACATCCTATACATTGAAGTAAGCTTTCTAGTAGAAAGTGTTCACATAAAAAAAAATAAAGAGTTTTGTAAAACGAAACATTCTTTGCTATACTGAGAATCTAAAATTTCATATTTTATGAAATAAACTAGATTTTAAGTTTTTATTTCAAATATTCTGTTATATTTTATAGATACATGATAGAAACATTTTTAATTAAAATAATAACACAATATTCAGATTTATACCTAACAAACTATTATTCATTAATTGTTAAATGATTTCTACACGACTTTCAATGTGGTATTTTCAGGATAATATTAATTTAATATTGACCAGTCTGTAATAAAACTATTACTACGGTTTTATTTACATATTATTTATTTGGAAAATATTTACTATTTTTTAGTTTCATATTTTGTAATCTTATCATTCAACTCTTTCATTAAATTTATGTATCTCAGGAGAATTGTTTATGATTATTGAGTATTTTATGACAGAAACTTCTTTCTTAAATAAATTTATCTTATTTCATATTTAAGAATGATTTTAAAAATTCTTTTAAAATTTTAAAGTTTTCTATTAGCTTCATTGATTATTCACAAATAAACTTAACTTAGTATTCCTAAAATTGTTCCAAGTTCTCTTTTTATTATTAATTCTTTTAGTATTTTCTTTTCAGTTTGTTCAGATTCTTTGTCTTTTATCTTGATTAAACATTTTTTTTTTTTGTCATTATTAATTTTGGTTTTATTATTTACGTCTACCATCAGATAATGAAAAAACAAAATAAATCATTTAAAAAATGGCTAACATCTCAGAAAATTTTTTATTAATCGTTTTATAATTTTATGATTTTCTCAAAAATTTAATATCATGTGAAGAAAACCAATACCTACTTAAAGTTATATTTCACAATAAAATTAATTGTAACAGAGGTTTCACCCTTTCTTTTTTTCAAACAAAATAAATATATATTAATTGAATAAATTGTTTTAGATATCCATCTTGCCAAGTGATAAATTGATACTATATTTTATTTAGTAATTAAATAACTTACTGTTTACAAAAAATCATGACAAATATTTAATTAAAAAAAAAAAAACCATCCATAGATATCTCTTTTGATGTTTTGAGATAAGACCATTAGACCATAGAGAAAACACTTCACTACCAAATGGTGGTCGTAACTTGGAAATTGAAAAAAAATTGAGATACTACTGTTTTGGTTGGGTCTATATAGGCAATATTTTGCTTTAAATTAGTTTTTTAATCTTCCTATTTATTGTAAATTTCTATAAGCTATATAATTTATAAAAACATTTTCATCTATATAAATTTTTATGATAATATATTTTATTTAGGTTTGGACTTTATCTGTTTTACGAAATGAGGATTATCTTGTTTCTGGCAGTAATGATGCAGAACTACGAACTTGGAAAATATCAAAAACAAATTTTGAAAATTCTGAAATAAAAATATCAGAACTTTTAACTTCAGAATCCTTACCAAATTTTGATGTTAGTACTTATTTATATTATATTGTATAATAAAAATATGTTAATTATATTTTATTATTTCTGTGTAATTTTCAGTCTGTTATCAAATGTGAAAAAGCGGGTTCTCTAATAAAAGAAAATCCTGGACGTGTAGTGTATTCTGCCACAGACAAAACTAATCATATTTTATGTTGCCATGGAAATGGAAAATTATTAGAATTGTTTCATTTTACCGGAGACTTCCAGGCATTAGAACGGTTTCGTAATCGGCAACGCAAATTTAGAAAAAAAGCGTCCAAGTATATTGAACATCATTTTTATTAAAATTTTATTTAAATATTTTAATTTTTTTTATTTTGTAGACTTGGTGAAAATATTGAGAATAAAGAATTTTTAAATGAAAATACTCCAACTTTGAAAGATGTAGTAAGACGATTACCATCCATTTTAACAGATTTCAAAATTAAATCTGTTGATTTGGTTTTAAATCAAACTCATGTTAAAGTAATAATCATTTAATTCATTTACAATTGTATGATTCAATTATATATTTGATTCATATTTTTAAACAGGTTATTGTGAGTTTGGCAAATAACTCTTTAGCATTATATCATATATCCTTAACAGATAGTAAAGATGTAAAACTAATTGGAAAAATATCCCAAAATGGCCATAGATTCAATGTTAAAGTTGTATCATTTTGCTCAGATAATTTGATTATATTTACTGGTGGTATGGAATCTGTTAAAATGTGGAACAGGAAAACTCTTAATTGTATACGAACTGTGAATACATTAAGTCCAGTTTTATGTTTATGTGTTGTACCAGGAGATAAACATATTTTAGCTGGACTAGAGAATGGCCAATTATTAGTTATTGATGTATCAGCTGGAGAAATATTAGAAAGCATAATTGCTTCTCAAACAGATTTGAGATCAATTTATATGTTACCTGACAATGTCAGTCATAGTTTTTATCGTATTAAATTATTATTTTGTGAATGATAGTACATTTTTATTCTATTGTTTTTAGATAAATTGTGTTTCTGCTAGTGATTCCAGTGTTAAATTGTGGCAATTAGAACTGATAACTTTACCAGATTCAAGTAAAAAAGTGTTGTCGTTATTACATTTGAAGACCTTGAAGTTAGATGAGAATATAAAATGTATTAAAATTAGTCCAGATAACAAATTACTTGCTATTGCTCTTTTTGATAACAATGTCAAAATATTTTTTATGGACTCATTCAAGGTATGTTATAATTTTGGATACAAATATTGGTTTTATATATTTAATGCATTTACAAATTTAATTTTACGAACTATTATCATAATTAAACTTATAATATTAACTATTTAAAATTCTTTTAGCATTTTATAGATTTATATGGTCATTCACTTCCAGTAAATAGTTTGGATATATCTTATGATTCTTCTATAATTATAACTGCCAGTGCTGATAAAACTATCAGAATTTGGGGATTAGATTATGGAGACTGCCACAAGCGCTTAATGACTGATTCTGCTTTAAACTGCATACAATTTATACCTAAAACTCATCAATTTTTCACTGCTGACAATAATGGAAATATTAAACTCTGGGATGCTGACATTTTTGAAAGAGTTTTAACTATTCAAGTAAATGAATGTTTTTTCTTTTTTTATAATATGACTGTTGTGTTGCTTCCACTTCATGAAAAGTTATTCAGTTCATAAAATGAAAATCATTTTGTTTCGCTTAGTGAACTATTTAACTTCTAGAGCATGTTTGATTTTATTCAAAAGCAAACATTTTGTATTATAGTTCTAACAATTCATCCATTTATATTTATTGTCTGATGTCAGGAAATCTTGTAAATCTTGTTTATTGAAAGTGTTCATAGGTCTAGACTAGTTTTCAATTTGCACCATTTTTAGAATTAAAAATTAAATTTATTAATAAAAAAAAATACTAGATTTAGTCTGTTGATATTAGGAGTTATAGGAGTTATTTAAATATTTTTTTCACAAAAGTAAAATTTAATTAATTTAAGAGGATACTACACATGCATTTGTTTTTTCTAATAGTTTTATAGAGCACTATATAGTAAAAGCATCTATTATGAAATTGATCGAGAACAATATTCTCGAGGGATATTTTTTCTTGTTATAAAAGTAGTTTTCATTATAATTGGGAAAAACCAAAAAATTAAAATTGATCAATATTTACAGCGTCCCTGTTTAATTATTTATGTCCATTTATGTGGATATTATATGTTATGCTAAATAATTCTATATTTTGTATAATATAATATGTATATTATATTTCTTTACAGTATGTTTGTCTTAGTTGAATGTATAACCATACATACCTATTTTCATACTAAAGTTCACATGAGTTCGAACCCGTGCTCACAAATAAAATGTTTTACATTTTTTCCCCTTTTACCTGTACAGGGAAAAACAAATGTATTTTAGGTGTACTAGAGACCAACGATTGCTCAGACTATTTTAATCGGCAAATCCTGCTCAATTTTTTGTGCAAACTTTTTTTCTAGAAATCTTGCTCCGATTTTTAAGTGTAGCAATTTTTCTAAAATAAATCAGACTGTGGAGATACTTTAAGGAGATCTATTTTTTGATTTTTCCAGCAAATGTAAAAACTGACAAAAACTTAGAAAAAATGGGAAAATTGGTACAATATTAAACAAATATTATTAAAGCAAATATATTATGCCTTTTTAATTATTTTACCATATGACATATATATTGTTGACAAAGCATGACTATCAACTGAACTCTGCTAAGAATCGTTGTTTATTAATGTTTTATTGTTGCTTACAGATAATTTATATCTGTCCCTTTATATTAGTGGTTTTCAAACTTTTATTATACACGGCACACCATACACTTCAAACAATTTTCACGGCACTAACCTTTTTTTTTAAATGAACAAAATTATTTTGAATTAGTTATTGTAAATGCATTTAATTAGAAAGTGTAATTAATGGACTAACAAATATTTATTAATTCTAATTACATTGTATTAGGAATTAATTAGTTATTAAATTTATTTACAAAAAAAAAAAAACGTAGTTTATACATAGGTACATTTAATGAGAAATGTGTGCCTGATGGGCGTTACAAATATTTTTAATTCTCGTAGGAATAGTTGACAGACATATTTCTTCCTCCTCTGAATTTATTTTTATTTATAAGCGCTGAAAACCCTTGTTCGCAAAAATATGAGATTGAGAACGGCAAAAGAATAGTCAGTGCTTTTATAGATATCTCTGGATATTCTTCAGAAATATATATCCAGAATTTATTGAGAGTGATCTGTTTGAATTTCAACTGCAATGTTTGATCATTTTTAATTGAACAGAGATCTTCTTCTTCGAAACATAATTAGATTTAACTTGATTAACTTTAGTTTTCCATAAATTCAATTTTTTAATGAAAGCCATAATTTTGTCTGACGATGTTATTATTATTATTGAAATGCTCAAACAAATCAGTTAAGAAGGATAAGTTTGTCCATCACTCTTCATCCACAAGAAAGTTGAATTCAAATTCTTCCATAGTTAAAAATACAAGTAACTCCTTTCACAAATTGTAAAATCGTGATAAAATATTTCCCCTTGAAAGCCATCATACTGTACTATATAAAATCAATCTTGAATAATCTGCATCCATCTCTTCACATATTTTTTCGAATAGTCTTGATTTAAGAAGTCAGCTCTTAATAAAATGTATGAATTTTACAACTTGATCAAGTATATTTTCTAAATCACTTACTAAGGATTTTGCCATTAGAGCCTCTCTATGAAGGAAGCAATGAGTAAAAATTATTTTTTTTGTGATTAAAGAAATTAAACCTCTAATTGAGCCAGTCATTGAAGGTGCTCCACTAGTGCATATTCCAATACAATTGTTCCATGATAAATTTACTGAAGATAAATGATCGTCCAAAACTTTAAAAACATCTTCATCTCTCCTTGTTTCGGGCAATGTTTTACAACAAAAAAAATGTTCGCTAATATCGTCATCAACTACCATATGTATAAAAACTAAAAGCTGTGCTTTTTCACTTATATCTGTAGATTCGTCAACTTGTAGCACGAACATTGGAGAATCACGCAACTTATTTAATACTTGCTGCTCAGTATCTTAGGACATATCCTTTATGCGCCTACTAATTGTATTATCAGATATATGGAATTTTCAATATTTCTTGTTCAGCTTCTACTCCAAAGAATATTTTCACAATTTCACGGCAGGCGGGTAAAATGAACTATTTACCTATTGTATGTGGTTTCATTGTTTTAGCCACAAGCTCTACTACTACATAGCTCACTTCTTGAGATTTATCAGAAATCTTTACATTTTTTTTCATACTTTTACTTTGTTGAGTTTGTGATTTTAATAAACGTTGAAAATATGTTATATTTTTATTGAACAAATGATGTTTAAGTTTACTGGGCACCATTGCCTCATTTGATAATTTTCACCATATACAACCACGGAGGAGGATCATCCTTATCACCAATACAAGAAAATCCCATTTTTAAGTAATCTTCATGATACTGACGAATATTACTGTATTTTGTTTTTTTTTTTCTTGGTGGTTGACTTACTGATGCATTGTTTTCAATAGAACGAGTAATACATTTATCCATGATTATAATTTATAATTATAAGTATATGTAAATGTATATCACAAATGTATTTTTCTAAATACTCGTATGCTATTACAATAGAATTAGGAGACAAACTACTCTACGAATACACTGCCCGGATATACTGCCTGGGGTCTAATAATATCATCTATACATTTTATAGTTCAATAGTTATCTGAGATTACTTATCTTAATCACTTTATTCTAACTGTCGATTTATTAATATATAAATATATAGCAAATACATAACGATAAGGATTGAACCCATTTTTTTTCTTATATCACAATTTATGGAAAAACCGCTGCACACTTAGTGGATACTTGCAACACCCAGTATGAAAACTACTCCTCTATATCATACATTCCCAACTTTTTACTAACAACAGTGGCTGCATTTATTGTGCGAAGTATATCCATTTTTTTCCAATTTAATTATAACACAGCAACTATAGTGTTATAATCTGATGAAATGTCAGCTCCAGGATCTGTTTTATAACATGTACAAACACCTTTTAGGCTTTTTAAATGTTATATTGGTTACAATCATTTTTTCATTTTGACAAAACTGAATCAATCAGTCACCCAACACAAATAATCCTGTACATCTATCTACTACAACATTCCCAACTTTTGCATTAAAGTATCCCAAAATCATAGTCTTTGTTACTTTGAGGCATAAATGTCTACATATACATTTTCTATTTCTTTGTCTGACTTATCTGCATTTGAGGCATAGACTTAGATCAGATTTTGTTTGTACCAATTTGTACAACATATGATATATATTTTGTTAAATATTTAAACTTTTTTGTTTGGCCAAACAATTTTATTTACATTAAACCAAAATAATTAGAAAATTTAATAATGCTTATAAATAGCTCAAGTATTGCAGAATAGTTTGAAAACTTAATCACTCTAAAAACTGGTTATATAAGTATTCTGTGAATATTTCTGGTTTCTATGATGAATAAAAGCTGTCCTAAGATAATGGGGATGGGTGCAGCCACTGGTGTAGGTGGGAAGTTAGGAATGTAGGATACGGATAGGAATTTGATGTATATCTGTAAGCAACTATAAAACATCGCTAAAGAAAAAACAATTCTGTGTAGAGTTCAGTTAATACTGTTGCTTTGTCAACAATATATATGTCATATTTAGGTAAAATAATCAAATATATATTAAACATTTTTTTTTAATAATATTTGTTTAATAATTTAACTATATTTTTTTATTCTCCCAGTTTTTTGTTTTTCATGTTGTTTCCCATTTAAAAGGAAAATTAAAAAATGACTTAAAGAAGTACCTTCCCAGTCTGATTTACTTTCAGAAAAAGTGCTATCATTGAAAATTGGAGTAAAATGTCTGATAGAAAAGTTGTCCACAAAAAAAATTAAAAATCATAAGCTTCTTTGCTCCACTTAGAATGTAAAACTAAAAATTATGAAACCATTAATGTCATAAACTTTCTTGTTTTCCTAACTATAAAGAAAACTATTTAGAAAATAAAATAAATGACCCCTTTAATCCAATCAACCAATTAAATTTAGAATGCTACAAAAAAAGCATTATTGTCAGATTTGGATGGGTGCATGATTTTTGGTAGAAAAATTGTTGACACAAATAAAAACACACTACAGTAACTACTTTTATATTCGTGGCTGTATTTAAAATTTAAAAGTATTGTGAAATAATGGTTTCCATTTTATAAAATTAAATTAAATGAACCTAAATTTAGTTTACACTTTCTAATCAAATTTCATTAATAACTTAATTACACTGTATATATGTGACTTATGTATATTGCCATATTATACATTATCAGTTTTGTTTTACTATATTTTATTTAGGGTCATAGAGGATTGTGTCAAAATTTATCTGTTAGTGAAAGTGGTAATTATGTTGTAAGTTGTGGTCAAGATAATGTATTACGTTTGTTTGAGAAGACTGAAGAAATTTTAGTTCTTGATGATGAAAGAGAAAATGAAAGAACACAAGAAAATGATAAAGAATTAGCTACAGGTGATGATACTAATATTCAGGGTGGAACTGTTTTAGCCTTAACTTCAAAAAAAACCATTTCATCAGAACAATCGGTACAAAAATACATATTCTATATCACATTTATGTAAAATTATTTTAATTAAAATTAACTTTTAGGCGGAATTACTATTAGAATGTTTGAATGTGATTAAAGAGTATAAAAATACTCTTTTAAACAATGAAAATATTAACAGTAATAATTTATCTTTACCTTTAATAATGGAAGCATTTAATGTTAAAACTACAGATGATTATTTATTAGAAATAATCAAAAGAATACGCTTAAGGTGGGTTTTTTTAATAATAATTAAGTTTTAATGTGCAAATATATTAATTTGAATTATTATAAATACTAAAATTTAATTTTTTTTATAATATTCAGTGAGTTAGAAGAAGTATTGTTACTTATTCCATTTCCAACTGTATGTTATTTTATGGAATCAATAATACCACTATTAAATCAAGTATATCATGAAATAGAGGTAGTTGTACGATCAATGGTATTCTTAATACAAGTCTTGCATAAGCCAATCTCATCTGTTAAAAATATGATGCCTATATTAATGCAATTGAACTCTCTTGCTACTAAACAAACAAACACTTATAGAGTATGTATTATTATATAAGTATTGTTAATAATAATTGTAATATATTTGTATTATTAATTGCATTAATCATTTTGTCAAAAGGATTTGGTTGGTGAAAATTTGCACTCCTTAAAGTTTTTAAATGATGTTCAAAAAGAAGAGAAATTAATAAACAGTATTACACAAAATCTTGGTAAGAAAAGAAAACGTCAAAAACAAAAATTATTGAAAACAGTTATAGTGAATATTTAATATTTTTGACAAATAAATTGTGTAACTTATTATTTAAAAATATAAACCTTTAAACTATCATTTCTTGACCATACATATTTGATAAAATCAAAATGGAATTTAACTCTAAATGTAACATAAATTACAAAAATTCCTAGTTAGGCAAGTTATTTAACAAGACATTAATTAATTTATTTATATTTAAAATAAATAATAAATTGGACATAGAAAACTAAGATTAATACTATAGATTACATAAACTAAACTAGGTACATAAATGCATAAATTAAATACATATTATAATATACTTATATACTTATATACAGTTACTACCTAGTGTTGATTTTGTGTGAATTCACCTAGGGAATATCATCGAAGTATATTATGTAATCTTACTTTTCCTTATCTTTATAAAAATTAGTACTATATTGTCATAAATAATATTTGTAAAACAAATTGAATATAGTTTGTTCATCAATGGTTTGATACTATGCACAGCTATTAAAAATAATAATAAATAATTTTAAAAATATATAATATCATATATAGGTATAACCATTAAAACATATTTATTTTTTCCTCGTGTGGATTTAATTATGTCCATAGTTGCACAGTCGCACAGTTTGAAATTACTTAACAGGAACTGAAGAAGTACTAACCATAATATCTATGTAATAATACCAAATACCAAATATGTATGTCCAGGTATGTGCCCAGAGGTGGTTTTAGGGATTCAAATCACCCCCAAACTGACTTTCTTAATTATTTTTTTTATAAAATAAAATACATAATATATTATATTATATTACCCAGTCACTGTAAAATATAATTTAGTTCATCAATATTTAACTAAACTATTTATAGTTTTTATATTATTTTTTTTATAATTATTAAGTGACAGGGTTCTGAGAATCTGTCTAATCTATACGCGATAATAATGCATTTTCCGTTTAAAAACATATTTTATTTCAGTGTTGCTATTTGATCAATTGACTATCGTTTGCATTTATCAGTTGCTCACAAAAACTCAGTGTGATTCTACTATCGTTATTAGTGTATAGTATGTACTATGTCAATATTAGAGTAATAGTGTTTACATTGTAAGCAATGTGAAAGTGTTCTACAATTTCAAAAAGAAAAAACATTAATTCACGTCAACTGCGTAACGCTGTGTCATAATCGTACCTTAAACTTACGTTTAAAAGAAAATTGTATTCGTATATATTTCCAGAGCAATATGGAACGAATGGGTACTATGTTTGATTTCTTTATTAAGGCGAAAAAATCCCAATTAAATACAGAACTAAATGTTTCAACTAGTAACTCAGAATTACCCCATAAAAATTTTTTGTAAAATCAACTGATCAAATTTCGACTGAATTTAGTAGTATTGCTGAAACTGAAATACCAGCTGCTTCATAGGACACTTTAAATACTGTATATTCTCTAAACATTATCTATAATGAAAAAACAAATTTTTGCACTACGTATAATCGAGATTTGGGTTTATACTTGATTAAAACTCTAACTGACAATAATCGGGTAATGTTTTTTTTAAATGGTGTCCTTCAAAAGAATTTAAATTCCCCGTTAATCCTAAACATCATCATAATTTACGTTTTCAAATATGCATGGCTTACATATTATGTGCAAGAAAAAGGTGTATTAAGCTTATATTGGGTTTTATTTTCAAATAATCAAGTTGGTGGTCACTCAAGTCATGAACATGTAGGTTGAGTTGTTTGGTTTCAAAAGCTTTTAATCGGTGGAAAGACGTTAAACAAAAGTTTAATTCTCATCTAAGTAAAAAATATCATAAATTATGTAAAGAACAGATGGTTTTCTTTCAGTTATTTTAAAAAACAAAAAAATGTAATCCAACAATTAAATTCAGAATATACACAACAAATAATTTAAAATTATTCTAAGCTATGTTCTTTAGTAAAAACAATTATTCTATGTGGTCGTTTAGAACTACAAACAAGTGGAAAATTTGATTCAGGTAAAATTATTACTGCTGAGGAAAATAAATCTGAAGGAGTTTCGCACTCTATTAAAATTTAGAGCAAATGCCGGCGATGAAATTTTAAAAAATTATTTGGAAGGGGGGCAGCAAATGCTCAATAAACAAGCACAAAAACACAAAATATGCTAATTGAAATTTTTGGGCAAGTAATCACTGAACAAACAATAAATAAAATAAACCGTGCAAGTTTTTTTCCGTTATGGCCGATGAAACGATTGATATTCAGACGAGAACAAATATCGTTATGTATTCGATATATTGATTCTGACATCTTACGATTTGGGAAGATTTTTTAAATTTATAGTCTTCTCAGATTTAAGTATCTCTGGTTTTGAATATTAATTATACACGAGGTGATAAATGCAATTTACAGCTTTACTGTCACTAGTAGCAATGTAATATACAGCTATTCCTTATAATAGTAATAGCTGCTATTTTAACTGTTATTTTGGAGAACAATAACAGTAGTCTGCCATTGTTATTTATTTTATTAGTAGTTTACCGACTGTACATATCTGTAGTCTGTTAATAAGTTTAATTTTTAGTTTTAAAAAATTTGCTGAGAAGAAAAAGAAAAAAAATGTTTAACCATACCTGTAATTAATAAGTTACAGACAGTCCAAAGTCTGTTAAAATTGGAAAGAAAATGTTTTTTTTTAATTGCAATCAATTGTCATGTGGTAAATTTCCATTGTGATCAATTGACGTATATTCAACATTAATACATACATCAGGTAACTAAATAGGTACCTTCCTAACTCTGTACTTAACTGCCAATAATATTAAATAATATATGATTGGTTACTATTTTAATTTGTCAAACTCATTGAAAAAAATGAAAACAGTATAATTCAGCAGCTATCTATGGTGGTAATATTAAAATTAATAAAATAATAATACTTTAAGTATGTTAAAGTACAGATATTATGATGTGCAATTTATAAAATTAAAAATACTTTTTTTTTTAATCCGTTGAACAGTTATTGGTAACACCAACAACTAAGCAGTAAACACGAATCTCTAATTCAACATCCACAAATAATTTCCCAAGCTGGTTAGATTAAGTTAGGTTAGGTAAAATAGGATAATATTTAAGAATTCAATAATATTCTAATTTTAGGAAAATATTTAATGCATACTTATGTAATTATTTTACCATAATATGATATTTATATTATTGATGAAGCAACACTATCAACTGAATTCTGATTAATCATTGTGTACAGATATACATTAAATTTCAATCTACTACCTTCCCAACTTCTCACTCACCTACAACAGTGGCCCACTCCAGTGCAAATGTTGGTTTTTTTAAACATTGTATTATGATTATTAACTCACTTATTGCACTATAGAATCAATGATATTTTTATACTTAAACATAAATTAACAAACATGTTGCATTTAAGTTATTAAAACTATAGTCTTTGTAGATATTATTTGGGTGTAATCTTGGCTTGAAAATAATGAATTTGAAAAGGGAAACTAATAGTAATAATTTATTTATTTATATGTATTATGTACTTCCTTAGAAAGGTAAACCATAAGTAATAATATACTGAATCAAGCTTATATATGTTATAATTAAATACTAGATTTAAATGCTCTATAAATGCCTAAATATTTTATGGAATTGACTTAATTTTTTTTTTTTAAACTTGTTATTATTAATATTAGTTAATGAATTATCAACTAAAAAAATGTTATTTCTAAAATTAGATAGTTAATACTAAAATAAATATAACAGCATTTTTTAATATTTCATTGCAATCACTAAAGAGTTATTATCCAACCAATTTTTGACTGATGATAAACCTACATTTGCTTTGTCAAAACGATTATATATTGAATACTCATTAAATAATAAGACAGTATCATCAGCAAAGTAAGAAATTATATCATCAATGTTAAGATAAACCATTATATAATAATCCATTTGTATTCATCTATATGTATATAGAAGAAATAAAACTGGACCTAATAATGTCCCTTGTGGAGTTTGTTGAAAAGTTTCATTGCAACATTTTTGTTATATTATCATTTTATCAATATATGTTATCACTTGTATACATTTTAATGTTGAAAAAATAAAACACTTTTTCTGTTTTCACTTTAGAAATCAATAATAAAATAAATAAACAGTTCAAGTATGAGTTTTAGTGACTCAATTATTTGTGCGAGCATACAATTTATAATGAGTTTAAGACGAGTAAATATTGAGTGTGAGATACTAAAAAGAGTTGAAAGAAGTTGATGAATTACCTATTTTAAACTGTGTCTCAGATTTTCATATGACTAGAACACTCAGTGATTTAATTTGAATTAAATAACAAAACAAATAAAAAGAATCAATCTAAATCGAGATCGACTGAGAAAAAAATTCTGTTATCATAATACTGACTAAATATCAATCGGAAAAATCGATAAAATAAACGTTGGATTCCATTGAAATTTAGTCGGTAACGCTGAGTTTTGAAACAAGATTCAACAGTAAAACATTTCCTATTTGTTGAGTTTTGGAATACATATTATTATTTTGATTGAACAACGCTGAGTTTTGGAATGTGTTTAATATTTTTGGGCAACGTCATGATAAGGATACCATTGTGGTCGCGTTGATAAGAGGGCCCTGTTGATCGTTTTTATTGAGTCGAACGGTGACTAGCGGCAGCTCAGCGGCTGTGTCTTTTGTTTGTGTAGTGTTTTTTTCGGGGAATTCCAACGTCTCCTCGAGTGGATAGTGAGCGGACATGAGTATTACTATTCTCCCTGCTAGCTGTCTCCTATAATTCTGATCGTTACGCCCCTGATCGCATTTGCCCCGTATTCTCCGACACTCTTAGTAGTAGTATGGTAGTAATCCGATCGATTGTTCGTTCGTGTTGAAGTTTATTGTTAGCGTTTTTGCAAGACCCGGCCGCGACATATTACGCGAGTACGTATTAAAGTGCTATTCGATTTTTTAGTGGTTTGTCGCCGTTTATAAAAATGGAAAACGAGGCTGGTGCTTCCTCTTCGAGTACTGATTTTTCGGCACCTCTGTCTATCATGCCACCGCCTCCGACATCGTCTGTTACAAACTTGATCGAGAACGATGGTACACAAGCGTCAGGTGGCATTGACGTCCCTTCGAATGTACGCAACTTAAGGGATATAATGAAGTACAGCACAGAGATGACCAACGTTTCTGATGACAGTGTCATTGACTTGACTTTGTGTGATGAGGTTTTATTATTAATTATTATGTATTTATTTTTACATTTGAGCTTTATTAATTAATTTGATATTGTGTACTCACAAATAACCATATTTCCACACATACACATTTCATTAACCGGTTATGGAACTATTAACCATTTTACCGCCTACAAAAAATATTACGTTGATAATCTCATTAAAATACTGAGGATTTAGGAAATAATATCCAGATAGATATCAACTTTTATGTAAATATTTTCCGAATATACTTCGGTAGATAATTTATTTAAAATAACAATATTTTATTGATTTTATAGTTATTATCTACTAAGAAATATTTACAATAATCGTGATATAAAGAGTATTTTGTAAAATTTAATTTGGTTTTTTAAATTAATTATATAATTTTAATTGTAGTAATTTATTGTAGAGAATGGCGATACCTACTAAAAATGAACAATTTGATACCTACTCAACATATGATTCTTGATACTTTTGTTTAAAAATATAAATATAAATTACCAAACATTAAAATTATAAAGTACCTGATATAACAATTGAATTTGACTGCAGGGAATTAAAAATTGCGAGGAACATCCTCGCAGCTCATACAAATTTGAAAATGCTTTTATACCAAAATAAATACTTATTTTACTATTGAGTATCATAAATTAAAAAAACAAAATTATTATTAATAACAAGTATTGTACAAATGTCTATTTACTTAAATTTTTTTTTTGAAATGGTGCCCTTATTTAATAGTCCACGGACATCAACTAATATTTTTTGATGGAACCACATTTTACTCATTATAAAATATAGCTTTATCATTTTTACTTCTTGCGCAACAAAAACTACAAGCTGCATATACAAATGTATGTAATATGTACAATTGTATTAAATTTATTTAATCAAATTTACTTTATATAATAAAATATTAAAATTACTTAAAATTATTTCAACTTTGATATTTTATGATACATTCTTAATTCTTAAGCTAAGATATTGAATTATCAAATCGCCCATCTTCAATATCTACCTACCAAACCTACCTACTTATTATAATTTTTGTATGATTTTAGAAAAAAAATTTTTTCACAAATGTTTTGTCAAGTATGACAGTAAATGTCCAGGAGGAAATGCACAATTCAATTAACATTTTATTGGATTCTAACAAAACTGCCAATGAACTTGAATATGCATTTGATGTACTTGCAGAGTATATTGATAATATTGATTATGCTAATGGTACTATTATATTATGATATTACTTTTTATGTATCTATTGACACATTATTATTGTAACAATAAGAATGTTTTAGATTTTCAGAAGCTTGGTGGTTTCCAGATCTTTATTCCTGGTTTAAAATCTGAGCATAAATCTGTAAGATGCAAAACAGCTGAAGTAATTGCTACACTGGTTCAAAATAATCCATATTGTCAGGATAAATTCATTGAACATCCAAGTTATATTCGTTTGTTGATAAGTTTAATAGAAAAAGATACAATAGATGAAGTGCGTGTTAAGGGTTTGCATGCAATTTCTTGTAAGTTATAAATATATTGTAATAAATTAGCTTTTAGTTTTTTTTTCAAATTATAATTTTTAAAATAATTTTGAATTAGCTCTAGTACGAGATAATGTAGCTGTGTTTTGGAAATTTATTGGTTTCAGTGGAAACGATTTAGTTGTTAACGCATTAAAATCATCAAATGAGAAATTAATGATTAAAGCTGCATTTTTAATTTATTCTACTTGTCTTATGGGTAATGATATTGCAAGTAAGTCATTATTTTTGCTCTATCGTATTAAAAACAGCTCCTGTATTATGTATCTGTAATTATTCAGGATTTGAAAGATAAAATTTTATTATTAGGCAGTTTAAGATATTAAACAATTTAAGTTATTTTAAAATTTTTAGAATTTCTCATGTATAGATGGATTATAATATTGATTTTAATTAGAATTATTACAAACCCTGATAATTAAGGACGAACTAAATTTTCCTTAAAATTTGTCGCATCTCTAATTTTAATATTGTTTTTTGTTCTCTTTACTTGTTTTCAACAATGTATTTCAGTTAAAAGTACTAGGATGTATATACAGGCTGTCTCCTGAAAATGTACGCCTTGAATATCTTTAAAAATAATAACGATAATCAAATTCTGTTTTATTTTACATTACTCATAGGGATGAGGACTAAACATATTTATATTTGAATTCAATTTTTTTTTTTTAGTAAATAAATTTTGAAAATAACTTTATTTTATTATTTTTGAAAAATTTTAAGGTAGCCATTCTGTAGAGTTTGTTTTTCTAAAGATTTGAATGTATCACACATTTATATCCGATGAATAGTTTATAAGTAACAGCCAGTTTAAATTCTACTAATCTGTGTAAAAACTGATGTTATCGTATAATGTTGTTAGTTTATTCCCTAGATAACATCAGCTTTCATATGGATTAGTAGAATTTAAACCGGCTGTTACTTAGAAACTATTCATCGGATATAAATGTATGATACATTCATATTTTCAGAAAAATAAACTAGATAATTTTAAAAATCTAAAAACAATTCTGAGAGAAGTTCAAATATACATATTTTGAAATGCTATAATATTTATGATTTTTACAAAAACTATATTTTAAATTATCAAGTATTTATATTTGGTTAAAACAATTTTATCTACATAAAATTAAATTAAAATTATTATTGAGTAGTTAATATTCCATTTTTCCAGTTTTTCTTATTATTGAGATAATTACAAGATGACCTATATAATACTGCACCAACTTGATAAAATGCTATTAGAACTACCCCTGGAGTTAATGGTTGGAGTAAGATTTCTGGTCTAAAAGTTGTTCACAGTCTTACCTGTGCATTTAAATCCCTCCTGGTATCTTTTCCTGGATTCAACTTTGATCTGCACAATAGAAATGTTTTCATTTTTACAATTTTACAAATGTATACCTAATATTTTGTATAAAATCTACAGACATGTATGTTGATAATGGTGTGGTTGAAATCATCTGCTCTATAATTATGAACATGAAGAATTCATTAGAAGATTATCATCATGAATTGTTGTTGTCCACATTGAATCAGCTGCTTCAGATGTCTCCAATAAGAGTTAAAGAAATATGCTTCAAGGTGGAAGACTTTAAGCCAGCATTATTAGCTTTGCATGATTCATATCCAAATGATTCTAATTATCAGGCAAGATATCATATCAACTTTATTTCAACATATTTTGGTATTGGTTTGTTATTGTCCAACCTTGCCACTTGAAAAATTCATTTGTTTTTTTATCTGATATTTGAGCCTCATTTAGAGGCCTAGGATTATCTTTTATTAATGATAACAAACATTTTATAATATAATGGAGATAGATATATAAATATATAGTAAAATAATAAAGTAAAAACAAAATTATTAAATAGTAAATACTAAATAAATATATAAATGTAATTTATTTGAATTTTTAAGTGTAGTAAAAGCCGATATTTTTGAATGCTTAGATTTTTCACACAACATTTAAACAGTATCCTGTGGTGATACTAACTTTGGTTTTTCAAATGAGAACCTATATTAAAAATTCCATAAATTAGACAAAGTATTACTTTAAATATATATTTTGTTTGTTTATTTACATGCAAATTAACGTGTTATATACTCCTTAGGCTTTTTTATAAATATAAATATGTAGAAATTACAAAAATTATACAAAAAAAAAAAAAAGTAATAATAATAAATCTTAACATAAACTATGGGAATACTGTATTAAGGGGGAAGGTTTAGAAAAGTTACTCCAGATAGTACGCGGACAGAATTGACTGTGAGACCTGGTGGGACCTGGAACCCGGAAGCTCAGCCAATAGGCATGGTGCGTCAAAGATACCTTCTAAAATGCCTCTGGTAAATCTTTGGTTAGAACTTATATGCCTCTGCTCTAATGACTCGAGTCAAATCACTCTTTTCTCTAAAAATATAATTTTTTAATTCAATATTATATTGGCTTGAATATATTCCATTAAATAAACATAATTATCAACACAGTTCAATATTATATTATATAATATAACCCATAGAAATAATTTAAAATTAAATACTATTAAAAAAATTGTAAACGTATTAAAGAAAAATTAATACATAACTCACCAAATAATGTTGTTAACTATTTTAGTATGAAATATCAAAATAATATATCTAACAAATTCGTTAAAATTCTGAACAATAATACAAATAATGTAAAAATCACTTTTAAGATTAATAATAATTTAATCAAACTATTGGTAAGACAAATAGAAATTTTGAAATAGATATAAAGAACCCATTTCTGAAATAAAATTAAAAAAGACTGCTCTTAATTTAAATTTTGCTAAACATGTTTTAGAAAATAACCATAACATAAGCTTTGATATTAATACAGACTTGGATATATAAAAATACTCAAAATAACATTTATATTAATTCAGTTTTAGAAAAATTACATATATAAAATGAAATAAAGAAAAATAATTGTAATATTTTAAATGTTCAAACTAGTTTTAAAAATAATATCTTATATCAATACATATTTTTAGATAATAAATAATAACCAAATAATTTATACTTATTTACATATCTCTGTCTAATAATAACTCATTTTAAATAATCTCTCCTATTAAAAAAAAATTATTTTCATATAAAATGACCAATTTGTAAAATATTTTCTCTGTGTTCCTTCATTTATTTTATCATATTCAGTTGCCTTTTACTTATTGACTTTGTGATTTAACCTCATGATGAATTTTGAATTCAAAACTGGTACTAAACACATATCATAATACTACAGGTATCGCATTTATTTATTTATATATTTATATAAATTTAAATTGATGATAATTTAATTACTTAATATTACATACATCTACTGATATTTAAACATGGTATATATTTATTTACGAGTATTAACCATTTTAATAATTTAGTTTTTATTTTATTATTTTATTATATATTTTAAGTTTTATGTATATCATAATTTATATTTATATTGGCGCCTACAAGAAATGTTCTTTTTGAATAAGAGTAATAGCTTACAAAATCCTTAGGCACTATATTGTAAATCTGTAAACCAGTCTATGGAAAAATTAAGTGCCTACATAGTGTTGTATGGGTTGTGTGATATATCCCATATATTATTATAAAATTGATTATTTTTTTTAGATTTACAGGTTGATTCACTAAGCCTGCTCGTCTCATTTTTTTGGTTAAATTTTGCATGCATTCAAATTCTAATTTTTGGAAATTTTTAAGTTCAGTTAAAGCCGATATTTTAAAATGCTTAGATTTTTCACAACATTTAAAGAGTATCCTGAAGTAATACTAACTTTAATTTTTCAAATGATAATCTATAATAAAAATTCTATACAAATGAGACTTTTACTTATGTCTTTTTATTAGTATTCCACTTCTCTCCTTCTATCTAAACTTAAAAGTGAAATATCTTTTTAATGAGTTGATCGAAATCAAAAATTTTAGCACCGAAATGTATTTAAAGTAATATTTTATCTATTTATGGAATTTTTAATACAGGTTCTCATTTGAGAAACGAAAATTAGTAGAACGACAGGATACTGTTAAAATGTTGTATGAAAAATCTAAGTATTCAAAAATATCGGCCTTTACTATACTAATAAAAATTCTAAGTCAGAATTTGAATACATGCAAAATTTAATCAAAAAAATAGGGATGAGTAAGCTTAGTGAATCACTCTGTATATAGTAATTATTTTCAAATATAGATTATTGATATTTAGGGCATTGAATTTTTCATATAGTTTTTGGTTGGATAAACTCCAATCTTTTTTGTAAGGGGGATCCTATTTGAAATTTAAAAGTATGTACTTATTTAAGGTATTTAGAGTAGGAAAAAATATCAAAAATGGTTTTAAATTAAAGTTTAACCAATTCCATAATTATTTAAGTGAAACATTTATATTAAAAATAAAAAAATACATAAATTAATACCTGGAGTATTATAATAAGTGTATTATAAGGTTTCAAATTAAAAATTCATCATTAGATATATCATAGTCAAAATGTAAACCACAACAGAATATAAAAAATTGAATGAAGAAATATATAGAAAAAAATTATACAAATTAGTCTTTTTTACATAGAAATAATTTATTTTAATAGGAGAGATTATTTAAAATAAGTTGATATTAGCTATAGATATGTTAAGAAATATTATTTATTTTTCAAGAAAACTTGAACTTATCCATCACTATTTGATATTCATCTTTTATTTTTGATAAGTTTAGTACAAGGGTGTCCATAAGCTCACTTAATATGGCTCTCAATTCATTTCAAATCATTAATTAATTATATATAATATCATAAGAAAAATGTATTTCAAAAATTTATTTAAGAATATTAAGTACAAAATTATAAAAATTAAAAAAAACTTTAAATATTACTTAACCCTTAAATGTCCAATTTTTTTTTTACATAAAAAATATCCTATTTTTTGATGTACTGAATTTGGGAAAAATAATTTTAAAAATCCTGTTTGAGTTTGTATTAGAAAATTGTATTTTTATAATTAAACTACTGAAATAAACTTAAGTAAAATTACTGAGTTATAATTATTTATGTGTTATGAATGTTCATATAAACTTTATAATAATTTTAAGTTTCATCTCCAATGATTTAAAATATTATTTTTTACTCAAAGTACATTTTGTAAATTAAGAAAATAAAAAACCATTAAATTACGTAATCAAGCTTGAAACACATTACAAAACAGGAATTGATAAAGTTTACATAAGTGTATTAATAAAAAACATAGATTAGGGCTTAAACTATACATTAGATGGTGCGATACATTTTTTGTAATCCAGTGTAGTATGGAAACATAATATTTTTATATGTTGCATATTTACTACAATGGGCATTGAAGGGTTAATAGTATATACTATTTTATGAAAATTTTATCTTTATTGGGATTTTATTTGACAAATTTTTAATTCAAAACTGGTTGTACAATTCACATATCATAATACTCCAGGTAATGCATTTATTTATTTATACATTTATAAATAAATATATTTTTTTCTTGTAATTTTAAATAAAATGTAAAAATGTAAGCTCATTAAAATGTTTGTGGCCCACAACAACTTCTACTTACATGAGCCCTTCACAAGAGGTTGAATACCCCTGTTGTAAAGCAAAGATGATTGATTATTTCTTTTAGATTTTAGATGACACATAATGATAAAACTAAATTTCTTATTGTGTGTTAATAAGTAGTATTTTATTTATTATTCTTAAAAAAATTTTGGTTGTTAAGAATTTTTTGGTGCATGGTATAAAAATCTTAAGTTAAAAATTAACATTTTTAGTTTATAACATTTTATTAGAATCTAATTTTTTTTAACTTATATTTTGTTGGTATCAATCACTAAAGTTAAAATTATAACTCATTATTAATGCAATTTATTTTGGTTTAAACATTTTAAGTCACATTATATTATTATTAGGAACAAACCATGTATGTTTATTTAAAAGTTGAGGAATAAGTTAAGATTTTGAGTTAAAATATAGTTATCATTTTAAAGGCCTTGTTGAAACTTAATGATGCAAATAGAATATGTTATATAAAATAAAAATCCAATTATCTAAGACACTTAAAACTATGAAGAATTGATTTTAAATTTCTATATAATAGTTAATATTAAAGTATGTATGTTAAATTTTAAATTAAAATAATTATCAGCCAAGACATTACCAACGATTTTGAATGATTTTTCAAAGTTTTATTTTATTTTCTTGAAAACTTAAGACCATTTTATATCATTTATACTTTATACCTTTCACCAAAGAACAGAAGAGTCTTTTTTCTATGTTCAATCATATGCACTTTAACAGATTTACCAAAGATAAGTTAAGATATAATATCTTATCATATCTATTGCCAAGGAAGTAACATCGAAAACATGTCACCTAGACATAAAAAAATTTACCAAGTAAAATGATTCAAAAGGTTCCTTAAAAACAATAAAAGTTTGTTTTTGAAGTGAAACGCTGAGAGTAAAATTTCAAGGCAGTAATGAAAATCACAGTTAACCGACACATGCTGTGATCATGTCATCAATTGTTAACACATTCACACACACTAGTAACACTGCGAGTGAATACAATCAGAAAACCATTCTCAGAAACTTTTAATATATAGTGCAGATTATCAATATAAATGCTAACTTACTTACTTATTCATTCTTACTTACTTACGTAATACTTAAGACTTAATAATAATAATAAAGAGCATATGACAAAATGTGTAAATAGTGTTAGTGTAAGGTTTTGTGTAAAATAAAAGTAGGTGATAAAAATTGCAGTAAAAGAGAAAAATATAAATAATTATTTTTATAGTACTGTGGACAGTAAAATATTTGAAGTAAAAATATTTTTAGTTTGTTATGTTTAACTAATTGCTATTTGACTTTAGTTTTGAATTACCCCTTTACTGACCATTCTATTCATTTTTGAGTGGGAAGATGATGCCATTTTTTGTCTTGAGGTTGTATACCTATACATTATTTTAGAAAAATTTCTTATAATCTGGTTATAATTAAGCATTTCAACTTTGTTTTGGTGATTCACTATTTTTTTAAACATTTTCTTGGACATATTGTTATGGTTAAAACCAGTTCTATGAAAATTGTTTATCATTGAATCAGTTAAATTTATTTTCAACTCTTTACTGATTGGTTGCACTATTCTTGTATAATTTTAGTTTTATTTTCAGGTAATGCATCAATGATATCATTGGAAATTTGATGACAGCCCATGGGTTCAATTTGGGTTATCTGATTTTCAAAAAATTGTTTTTGGTTACTATTTTAACAATAACACTAAATTTAGTGTTTAGATTATTACAATTGCTACTAATATCCTCTTTGAAGTTTTGAAAACTATCTTTAAGTAGCAGAATAATTTCTTTCAGCTCACATAATTCAACATTTTCTGAATTAATATGATTTTCATGCCAAAGAAAAGCTCTTCTAACAGCAGAAAATTTACTACATCTCTAAATAAAGTCTACTTCTTTTAAATAATCTACAGCCTCCTTAAATAGATTTGGCACTTAGCATGCCATATTAGGTTGTAGTTGGCTGAATTATCGGAAATGGAAAGTGTTTTTGTTATATTAGTGGATCAACTGTTGAATACAGTTGATAAATTGTTATAAATTGTCCACTAAAAAAATAACTTTATTTGTTCACTTTTAAAAACTTTAAAAATAGCCATTTTGTAAAGTATATTCTGAAAATGTGAATGTATCATACTTATGATATCTGATTATCGATCAATAGTTATATAGTAATAGCCATTTTAATTTCTAGAAAATTGGTATGAAAACAATTAATATTTAATAAAGGATGAGGGATAACCAAACTTTACTGATTGTAATTCTTTATAGCATAATGTGTTATTTCTGCAGTTCTCAAACTGTTGGTGGTGATCCACTGGTGAGTTCCTAATAAATTTTAGGTGGGTCGCAAAAATTGTTTTGAATTATATAGATTCCAAGAAATTTATGTTTTTAAATTCTAAACTGAGCATTGGAGTATGTATTGGTTTCATAATGTTTTTTTTATTTTATCTGTAAACAACTTTCCTTCCAGAAATTTTCAAATTTAGCACTTTTTCTGAAAGAAAATTTGACTATGGAGGTAATTTAAATATTTTCCCTACTCTTTGCATAAACTACTTTTTAAAAAGTGAAACCATGTCGACCCTGATAGATTTTCAGGGAAAGGGGGAAATTTGGGTTGCAGTCCTTGTTTTCACACCAATTTTCTATAAATTATATGAAATAATATAATTGTACCAAAAAATTCGTACAAATTGCATAATAAATGATGATTTTTAACAAATTTACAAAAATATACAAAACAGACAATAACGAAACCATTGTTACTGTGAACCTTCTGTATTTTCTAAGTTTTTTCCAGATTTCTCCAATTATTATGGAAATTTGTTGGAATATTTAACACGATTTCCTCATTAACAAATTAAATCTAAATTAAAATAAAAAAAGTCTTAGGGATATTTTGATTGGAGCAAGATTTCTGTATAAAGTATAAAAGTTGTCTAATAGTTTCATAATTGGTGGATTCTAGTTCTTAACGTGCAACTAAATATGATTTACTAGGCGTCCCATCTAATTTATTAATTAATAAATTTGCAATAGTCAAACCTAAACGAAAATATTATATTTTATTATATGAGAAATTAAAAACATTATTTATACAAACCGCTTGGATCGGTTGTTTCGTTAACAATTATGGAAACATAATTATTTCCAATATCACTAATTATTTGGTCCATAACGCTTTTATAAATATTTGGAATGTAATTTTTTTTTAAAGTGCTTTAAATAAAATTTAATTACCACCATACATATATGTATATATATATATAGACGCTTATCACTCGCTGGGCTCTCTAAGCTTCTAGAAAATTCCAGATGAACACCTATAATTTAAAAATGTGGGAAAATTGCAAAAATTTGCATTATAAAATAAAATTTGCAGAATATTTTTAGTATACATGGGCTATATATTTAATCAAATCTGATTTATCTTTATTGCAAAAAAAGTTGCAATATCAATTAAATCTGGTCTTTAGTAATAACAAACTAGTATGTTAATATACTATGTATCTATGTATTTTATACAATTAAATTATACATGTATATAGAAACCCAGGTAATTAAAAATAGAAAAAAATCATTAAATCAATAACTAAATTTAATTTGTTTTATATCTATGTTAATAGTTGTTAAAAACACAAAACATAATAGATATTACATTTTATTGTATTTGTATAGATTCTGAAGTAAAATATTATAAATGTACAGGATAATTTAAATTTAATATTTTTGAGATAAACTTGTTATACTCAAATGTGTTAATATAGACTGCCAGATTTGGTTTAAAATGGTTTTAGTCAGTTTTAATTTATTTACATACAAATATGTCATGCTTATAGCTAATATAGCATATACATTTAAATAGTAATGATTTATTGTGATTATTTTACAGGATGAAAAGGATGAAATTGTATGTTTGATGAAAAATCTCAACATTTAAACAGAACACATCAATAACTTTTGTATAATAATATTGTGTTTTAAACCTTTAATTGCTTTGAAAAAAAAAAAAAAAAAAAAAAAAAAAAAAAATAAAAAATAAAGAAAAATCAACCTGTAACTAGAATGCTTTTAATTTTATAATATACCAGTATTTTAAATAAATGTAAGCCATCTCTTGGTTGCGGTCAAGTTGTAGAGAAGATAAGGTGACACGAATTATACACATTTTTGTCACCAATTTTAGTGGTGGTAGTAATTTGCCCAAAGGCCAGTTTTAGTGTTACAAATACATGGTTTTAATACAAAATAATAATAATTTATATTCATTTTTGTTGTGTTTAGTTTTATTAAATACTAATACTAATGTCTGGGTAGTCCTTATTTGTTACTAAGTACCTACTATTGTTTTGAATTAATTAGTGAATTAAGTAGGTACTTAGTAAAATAGTATTAATTAAGGAAGTGTTATTATACTTAAAATATTTTGTCATATGTATTACAGTTTAAATAGTTTTGCTAAATTTCTTTTGTTTTATTTTTTTCTATTGTTGCATTCTCTGTGCAAAATACATCCTGGATTGTAAATAAAATGGTATTATATTTTTAGTTTGTATATAATTTGATACTAAATTATACTTAAATGAAGTTATTTTTTATTAAGGAATTTATGAAATTTAGTAAATATTATCATTCTCCAAGGAGGACCAAGGTAACCTTTGTTGTGTTAACACAAGACATGACATAATTCAAATAATTGGTATAATGTTATATTACTTTACAATCATACACCTTGTGGGTGTTTTGTACAGAAGTAAGTGATTGTGGCCTGTGGTATCTTTCCCATGGCTACTCTTCCCTGGGATCCTGTTATTCATTGGTACACTCTACTGCTCGACTAGTGACATTCTCTCTCTATATATAGTAAGATTAGAAGAAGGCAATGTGATTGATTTGGAGAAAGCACATTGACCAACTTATTGAGATAGGTAAAATTAATAAAAACTGTATTGTAACAGTTGAAAGGGAGAAAGGAGAAGAACAAGGCATTTTAGAGGAAAAGGAAATTATTATTAATTTGGGTGAAAAAACAATCAATATAAAAAAAGATCGACATACTTTTTAAACTGGTGCAGTCGTGTAGACCACCCAATTTAATTATTAAACTGAATTTTCATTTTTAAAGTTTGATTATCAGCAAATCATTATACCAAGTGATTCATTTAAGTGGGTACACTCATTATCTCAGAAAGTATTAATTTTTTTCAGAATTTGGTTTCTAGAACATTTATGAAACAAGCTATTCTACAATTTTATATTTATGTTATTTTTTGTCACCCTTATTTTTGTGGTAAAACCACTACCTACTTTTGATTTTCAAATGGCAACCTACATTAAAAATTCTATATATAGATGGAGTATTAGTTATTTAATAGTCAGGGCACATGACAAGGAATTTTTTTTCATGAGTTAATATGCAATAATATGACAATATTATAGTTATTAGGTAGTTTTAATTAATCAATATTGGTAATTTATGTTGATTAACAATATAATTGTTACAATTGAAAAGAAAACTATTTTTAATTTTTAAAATATCGTAGAATATAAAAGAACATACTTTAACAAAAGTTTCAACCACCAAAAATTTTCTAAAAATCTATTTTACAAATTGGCTATTTTGAATTATTTAAAAAAAATTAAAGTCAAATTTTTAGTCTCCCTCCTCCCAAAAAAAAAAAAAATGTGCATATATAAACTGTAGCGCTGAGACATACTAATTATTTAAAAAACATTTATATCAAAAATATTGAATAGAACAAAAGTTATTGCATTTATCGAATTCTCTTGGCACATTCTGTATATGTATAACAATAAATGAACTTATTTAAAAAATAACATATGGAATTATATGAGTATGAAACAATTATTCGCTTTGAAACTAATATTATTTAATATCCAGTGCGACAGTAGTGGCGTGAAGCTAAGTAAAAAGCGTAGTAACCACTATTTTTACCTTATACTACTATATGTTCAGCCGTTTGCCCTGTAGAGTTGGTCGATGGATTAACAAAATTTAACACGGTTTCCAATGATACAACTCGGTTTTCTTTTACTATACGTTAGTGGCTATTGCGCTATTTTTTTTTTTTTTTTATTTAGCTTTGCGTCACTAACGTCGCACTGGATACAGAAAGCTAAGTAAAAAAAAATAAAAAATAGCATATTGCTGAACATATAATATCGTATAAGGTATCAATCGATCAGAGATATTGTGTAGATGGGAACAAGGGAACTCGCAAGCAGATTGGTTAGATGGATTTAAAGTTACAAAAAAAAAATGTTCAAGTACTTTCAAGTCTGATTTTTCGCATTCGACGAAAATATCGTAAAATATCTACTTTCGTTGCTGCGGCGACGACAACGTAAAATATAATTGTCCCCCGATTCGCCGCTTATCTATTATTCGATTATTCCACTATTTTTGTTGCTGCGGCGACGACGACGCCGGACCCTCTGTTATTAGGTTTATATTTAATGACCAGTTTCGAATTCAGTATTCATTTTCAGGGTTAAAAAAATCAAATTACATCGCGACTTTTTTTCTTTATAAAAAATAGCTGATACCTCATCAAAAACATTTCGTTATAACTTCGAGTAAAAAAAAAAAAAATAGTAGTGATTAAACCTTTATAAGACGTGATATAATATGAAAACTAAGTAAAACGCTATTTTATAATATTATAAATACTTATGACGACAAATAAGATAAATTATAAAGTTAAATAAGTATTTAGTCTACATATTATTTAACTCGTTGGCTGGATGCATAAGTATACTAAAATAAATACAAATAAGTAACCACTATAGTAAATTTCGTAAATAAATTAATAATTTATAAACGATACGTTGACTTAGTATTTAAATTTACAATTGATCTTATTTGTCGTCATAAGTATTTTTAATATTATAAAATGGGATTTTACTTTTTTCAATATTATTTCACGTCTTTTAAAGATTTAATTATTACTAAATTTTTTTTTTTTAATATATCATTATAATAAAGTGTTTTTGGTATGATTGGATATAAAATGGGAATCTGTACTTATAATCTTTTACATTATTTTAATTATATAAGTGGACAATTGATTATAAAGAAATCAATATAATATTACAACATAATCATGCCAATTGGCTTATCGACTTACAATTATTTAGATACAATTTTAATGGATATCTTTGGTTATATGTTTTATACTTCCAATTTGTCAATACATTTCTTAAAATTAAAGGGGAATTGTTGATGGTTTTACAGAGTATCATTAATTAATATATGTACTGCCCACATAAGAAGAAAAAACGTGGAACAAGTCGATAATATTAATTGCTGAAATAATTATTTTATAATTTAATAAATTGAATTTATACACCGCGAGTGAGAAGTGGATGAGAAATGAATGGACTCGTGTGGAATGCATGGTTAAAATAATTGTTTTATATTCTAAGTGTAGTGAATAATATATTGGTTTTACAAAGATGTTTTTTTTTTATATGAACACTTTTTCTACCAGAAAGCTTACACCAATGTATATGATTCAGACCCTATTTTGAAAGAACATTTTCTTAGGGTGGTACTTTAAGGAAGTCATTTTTCGATTTTCTTAGAAGTTTTCTCATCAAATGTGATAAACCGAAAAAAAACGGAGGAAAACGGGAAAATTTATGAAATATATTAGTAAAATATTACAATTTTTTTTTCTGGGTAACTTTTATTCCAACAAATTCACTCTGATTTACAATAATAGCACTTTTTCTAAAAGGAAATCTGATTGGAGAAGTACTTTAAAGAGGTCATTTTTTGATTTCCCCGGGAGTTTTTTTAAAAAATGGGAAAAACGTAGGATTTTATTAATAGTAAAACATGACATGATCACATATTTTAGAAACCATACGTTCCTGAGCCCCACAGTAATAACACCTCGGTAGATATCAAGTAGCGTCAATTTTGAACACAGATATGGAAACTCACCAAAAACGGCTCCCGTTTTCCTTATGTGTGAGTAGCAACCACGCACCCTACCGAATAACCAATTAGGTAATAACTATACAGTTTGTAAATTTTCCAGTTTTCTCTCGGGTTTTCCATTGATTAGGAAAACTAAGAAAATTGAAAAATGACCTGCTTAAAGTACCTCCCCAGTTAGATTTTCTTTTAAAAAAGTCGCTATACTTAAAAATCAGAGCAAGATCTTTGTTAGAAAAGTTACGCATAGATAATAAATAAACATCTTTATAAAATGAAATATGCGTATTTGTTTTAATATCGGTTGGGGAATTGTGGTGGAGAGAAGAGAGAGAAAACGCGGTTTTGAATTTTTATAACTACGTAATATATACATATCTTATAACTAATACTAATTTAATAACTATTATTTTTTACACAATAGGGGGAATTATTATTTTTAAGACTATGGGGAATTGATCTTTCCCAATAGAGAAATTTGTACCAGCTAAGGTTAATAAATGAGTTCTACGTTACGAAATGTTTTACTCAGTATATAGTGTGTGCCCTCACGTCAACGATAAGATTATTTGTTCAGTCAGATATAATGGTTGCTTGGATAACGGGGTTATAAAAGATAAAACGAATGAAAATTATTTTTTGAATTAGACTGTCTTTTTATATTATACAAGTGTCATGTCCATTCTCTTCGGAGTGATGTCGATTGAAAGTGAGATGACCAAAATTAAAATTAAACTAGAATAAAGGTGGTCCGAGTTCGGAGACGGTGGAAATCGAAATTAAGTCACGTTAATTTACATTAATCATGGAGAATGAAACGAAATCGACAGCGGCGGCAATCGTAACGAGACAAACAAATGAGATAAGTGCGAAAGGCTATATGATTGGCTGCGGCATTTTCTCTGTGAGGAGTCGGGGACAATTGTACAGTAGGGAAATAATAGCTAACGTGCGCACCGTCGGTGTACGGCTCCAAGTACAGTAGACAGTAGACAAGTGGTGGGAAGTGAAGTAGTGGTTGCCGTCAGGGCGCAGCGGAGGCTCTACGAACGTTCTGTACGCGTGGGCGTGATATAATTATTTTACGGGAGAAATATTGTAATATTATTATACAGTTATTATTACACTGAACTTACGTAAAACTTCGCTCGGGCGGATAGATACCTATAATCGGTACCTATATGCGTGTAGCACCGATTTTGGACGTTACAAAATCATTATCGTAACTAATTGTTACCACTTTATCAAAACCCATCGGGTGTCTTTGTAGAAAATTGACCGCTTTTTTAAAAATACCCTATTTGCAATTATATTAAGTCCTATCATATTAATTTGATTCTTATATGATTCAATACGTATGATTCAGATTTAATTTTTTGTAAACCCACTAAATATTTATGATCGGTCCTCACCATTAATTGTTTGCAGAAAAGAAACTGTGTGAATGTTCCTGTCCTGGTCTTTCTGTTGTAATATTATATTTAAACCTAATAAAGAAGCGCCTGTTACTAAAATTGTATCTGCGTTTTCATTGTAATGCATTGCGGTGGAGTGTATTCGGTGTAGTCAATTTAGCCTTTAACTCATTAAAAGTAATGCCGTGTATATTTTCTCATTTAATTTTGTCTTTTTTGTTTTTAGAATCTTCTTTTATCAATTCTGTTAATGGGTATGTGATTTTACTAAAATTTGCATTGTACCTTCGGAAATAATAGGCCTGGTCAAGAAAACTTCGCAACTGATTTATATTTGTGGGTGATAGAAAATCTGTGATTGCTTTTAAACCCTCGTTTGTAGGACGTATGTCATCCCCGTCAATTATATTACCTAACTTATTTAGCTCAGCATAACAAAATTTACATTAGAAAATGTTTAGTTTTATATTATTTTGTTTAAATTGCTCTAATATACGTTCTAATTATTTTAAATGTTCATCGAATGCCTTTCCAAAGCACGTACTACAGTCATCAATGTAATTTATATTTCTTCTATAGTTTAGGTTAACCATAATTTTATTCACTGTCTCTTGGTATTTACTAGGGCCATAGTTGATTCCCACCGGTATTCGCTTAAACTGATATTTTCCTGACGTTGTGCAAAAGGCAGTTAATTTTTTAGTTTTGTCACTCAACTTCAACTGGTGAAATCTGGAAATTTCATCAAGACACAAAAAACATTTATTGCCAGCTAGACATTCATAAATACTTTGTATCATTGGCAACGGAAACACCTCCGTTATATTATATCATTTTCTGTAATATAATACTATCCTATATTGGGTAGGCCCTTTCTTAGTATCTTAGGACATACCCTTCGCTACTAAAAAAATTGGAAATGAATATAGCGAATTCGGAGGATCAATAATACAGGGTGAATTTTGTTTATCATGAACCAGCAATTATCTCAGAGGATTTTAAGTGAATTTGATTTCTGATTTTTCTAATCATTATGGAATCGTTAAAGCTTTATTTTAAAATCATTTTAAATTGTTTACTCTTACTTCAAATAACATAGGTACAGTACCGTGATTACCCATGGGCAACTGGGACAAGGTAATTAAAATATAGATAACAACAATAATAACAACAACCTGCATGGTGACCACTACACACACATCTCGACGTTTGAAGCGGGCGGCGGCGATAACAACCGACGGACCGCGGCACAGCTTGCTGATAGGAAGTCGGCGGCGGTGATGATGCAACAGCATAGCGGCGTCGTTGACTTTTGTTATGGCGGTGGCGGTGGCGTCACATCTGTTTGCGAAAATACGAACGTAACCCGATCTCGGGTTACGGCAAGAAGTGTGCCGATAATTGCACACGGCGGCGACGAAGGCGAAGACGGCGCGTCCACTCGCATAACCTGGACTCCACTATCGATCACTAGTCACGGAAGCACGGGCAAAGTAACTGCACCTGACGGCGAACAAATTGCGGGCGACTGGTTAGATGCACAAGTGTTGGACGGTTACGCCGTCTATAGTCCACACCCGAACACGTGGGTCACACACGACGTGACAATTGGCGAGACCGCGTGGAAAAAACAAAAAACGCGACGACACCACGGGAGTTTACATACATACACACCGAGCTCGGCAAAGGTTGTTGACAGACAAGGGAGCCCAGGCGCAGCAGCGCGGGCCAGTGCAGGCCGTCGGCGGACGCGTCAGAGAGAGGGTAGCCGCCTTTAGACTATTCGACGCTGAAATTGCCGTCGACGGACCGGTTGCCAATTCGTCCGGCGGCGTTCGAACAATGAACATACTTAAAAACAGAATATAGTTATTAGGAATATTAGGAATAGCAAAGTTTTAGGCAAAATTCGTTCCAAACATGTCGAAAGTTACAGCACCATTTGAAAGAGTTACGAGATTAAATATAGAGTGGAAGTAGGGTTTAGAAGAAGCTATAGAGCTTCTATCTTCTTCTAATCTTCTTCTTCTTAATAAAAATAAGAGCATAGAAATACAAACTGACGCATCAAAGAACGGATTGGGAGCTGTTATGTTGCAAGAACGACATCCAATAGCATTTGCATCAAGAAATTTAACAAAGACTGTGCAAAAATATGCTCAAATAGAAATAGAATTATTGGCCAAATGTTTTAGTGTAGAGATGTTTCATATTTATATTTGTGGACAAAAAGATATTACAGTGGCAACAGATCATAAACCGTTACTAATAACTTTAAGCTTTCTCGTTTGGGAAGTTTCAGATCGCAAAAACCGAGGCCTCTGAAAAAAAGTATGTCCCTACTTCATCTTTGGTATGCAGTATTAACACTTTTCAGATGTATAATTTAAATATTTACTACCAAAATGTTTGTGGTCTTAGGACTAAGTTGAATAATTTTAGGAGCTTCTTTTTCCTGTTTATCTCTTACGATATTTTAGTCCTTACGCTATAAGGTTAGGTTCCGTAAGGCTTACGGAAACATGGCTAATCCCCGACATTGCTGATTCTGAACTCGGCCTACTTGGCTTTCAAACTTTTAGGTTTGACAAGAACATTGATAACAGCCCCCATTTCAGAGGTGGTGGGGTGCTCATTGCCGTCAAATCCAAATTCAACCCCCTTCATGTAGCTTTTAACATCAATAACCTAGAGCACCTATTCGTTACGATTTCGCTTAACTCAACTTCTGTATTAATAGGATCTACGTATCTTCTCCTTTCTCCCCTCTGCCTGTTATTGAATCTCATTTATCATGCGTTGACCATCTGCTATCAATAATCAAGCCTACGTTTCATGGTCATCTGATGGTCTTGGTCTCATTGCTTTTGGTGACTTGTCTCCTTCGTCTATTGCAATCGGTTTTTCACATTTGTTGAGAAAACTCCTTAAAATATAAAAAAATGACCTCTTTAAAGTACTTCGCTAGTAAAATTTCCTTTTAAAAACATTGCTATTATTAAAAGTTGGACCAAAATTGCTGGTAGAAAATTTGTTCACAGGAAAAAAAAATAGTAATATCTTAATAATATATTTCGTACATTTTTACGTTTTTTTGTTGGTTTTTCAATTTGATGAGAAAATCGAAAAATGATCTTGAATTTCCCCACACCGATTTTATATCAGAAAAGGTGCTACACTTAGAAATCCGAGCAAGTCTTCTGTTAGAAAAGTTGTTAACAGATAAAAAAAAAAAAAGAATAAACATCTTTATAAAACAATAAGTTTCTTTGTTTCACTCAAAATCTAAAATAAACATCATAAAACCAATACATTCTTCGATCTTCTCAGAATCTAGAATTCCAAAAAAAGTTAATACTTACCGAAATACCATGGGCACATCTTCGTGGGACACCTTGTATAAAGGTATTATCGGTAAAATACTAAGCACATAAGAAGTTCGGTTAGGTTGGGTTAGTTCGATAATGTTGTATTTTGTTTTATTTTGTTGTATTATGCTGTTGTGTTTGGCCTGGCAACACTAAATTAAATGCAATATGACGGACTACGACCGTTACTGTTAAATTTTATATCTTTCTCTCTACCTATAAAGATATATATTACTAAATTAGATGATTTTATTGTTAAAGGATCCTGCGGGCAAATTTTATTTCCCTTATTTTATATTTTACGACCGCTTCCTTGACAAATATATATTACAAAGATAGGATGTAAAAACAAATGGGTCAAGAGATTACTTGTGGCCCACAAACATGTGTTGTATTATTTTAATGTAACATATAATACAATTCACTCGGCAACTCAGCACATTAATTATTTGTTTTTATACACCAAATTTAATTTGAACTTGTTCTATGTTAATTTTTCTATAAGAAATTTTACTTTGATTTCTAAGTGTAGTATATTTTTTAAAAGAAAATTATGTATTGTTTAAAGCCTACGAGATCGTTTTTTGATTTTCTTTGTGGTTGTTTAGATTAGATTAGGTTAAAAAAAGACATTATTTACTCGATGGTTTTTACTAGATCTTGATTTAAAACCATGAAATAATATTGAAGTACTTGAACACAGAGTCTGTATGCATGTAAATTTAATATCTGTGTTCGCGTGTTTTAGTATTATTCATGTCTTCACGTATTCACGGATATTAAGCCATTGTTATATAGTACCTAGGTACTACAGTGCAAATATAAATAGGGGATGTTCTGCCAATTTCGAGTTAATATAAATTAATTCTTATAAGAATATATATATAATTCTATTGTACGTGTGTATGTCACTGAACTCCTAAACGGCTGGACCGATTTGAATGAATTTTTTTGTATGCGTTTGGGTGACGCCTTGGATGGTTTAGATTTACAAATAAGCCCGGCAGATGGCACTGCAGTCGGTATCTAGGTTATTTATCTATACTGCATGTTCCGTCGGAATATTTATCTATAATGCAACTAAACGGCTGGATCGACTTGAATGAATTTATCCTAATCGCTTGAAATATCATGCAGGACAACGTCTGCCATTCATTCATTCATTTTGTGTATGTATTCATTCATATCGCATTTGCGTAAATATTGAATAGTAATCTATACTATATTATTATAAAAAGGTGAAGTGTGTGAGTTAGTGAGGTTGTAGGAGGTAATCTCTGGATCTACTGAATCGATTTTGAAAATTATTTTACCAATAGAAAGCCACATTATTTATGAGTCTCATAGGCTATATATTAACCTGAAAAATGAGAACTTTTTCGTGGTAGTCGGATATGCACAGTAAGTCGGAGAAAAACCGGTCGAATGAACGCTTCTTTCTCAGTTTCTTACGAACGCTGTCTTAACAATGAAAAATGATTTGATTTATGATTGAGTTCTAGAGAAAAGTTGTAGAGTTTGATAATACCTACAAAGAAGTCAGCGACAGCATATGTCTAACTTTTATATTTAAGTCACATAAAGTCGTTTTTTATATTAAAAAAATAATTTAAATCGTCAGGTCATGTTTATTGGTCATATTAAAAATTTTGAAATTACGAAATCATGAATTCTTATCAAAATAAATTAACTTATAGTCCAAAGTGTTTTAAACAAAAGACTTTTCCCTTTTACGGTATATGCTAAAAGAAACAATACGACATAGGTATGGAACCGCGACCGTGTCGTAATCTAGTGATGTTTCTATTAGACGGTTTTACAACATGTCAATCTATTTAGAAATAAATTGCAAGAACATTCTGGGAATTTTACCATTTTACAGATTTAATCATAGCACGTTATTCGTGCCGACCCACGATTAATAAACATAAATTATTCAATCATAATCATTTCATTCACTAATTTGAAACCCGGTAATATAGCCAAATTGGCATGCAAATACATACGTACATATGCAGTAAAAATATAACCATCCTTTTAACAGTCAGGAAATAAATCATAGCACCCAGTACTAACCGAACTATACTCATAATTTCATCATGGGCAATTTTATTTAGTTAAGAGGACGCTATACCCGTGCTGTCTCAATCAAACTAACGGACTGTACAGCAAAATCTACCTTACGCAGACTGCGTAGAACTCGTATAATTTTGGTTTTAGAGTAAAAGCAACCATTATAAAATTAAAAGAGGAAATTTTTTCGAATGGAAAACCTATGCGTTTTTTTTTTTTAAATTCATTTTTAAATATTACAGTCATTTAAATACGAAACATTAGTTTTTATTTCTAACGATTTATTGAACGTTGTATCCAGAATAATAATTAGACAATTAATAAGTAAAAGGAAACTTCTTGCCCTCTGGAATATTGTCCTCTTTTAATTTTATAATAAATAATGTTATTCTAAAACCAAAATTAAGTTGAGTTCTACACAGTTTGCTTAAGGTAGATATTTCTACATTGCTCGTTAGACTGAGACAGCACATGCAGGTATAATGTCTTTTTATACGACATTTAAACGTTATTCGATTTAAGTATTTAATGGTTATACAAATTTAAACGTTATTCGATTTAAGTATTTAATGGTTATACAAATTTAAACGTTATTTAATTTCAGTATTTAAAGATTATACACATTTAAACGTTAAACTTTTATATGATTTTTCTGTTTTCTGATTAAACATTTTAAACGTTATTCGACTTTAGTGGTTTGATTTTTTTTAAAAATTTAGCATTAAATACTATGCAAAATTAAACCTGTAGAAATTAATGTTTACTGAATATTTGCATTTAAACATTGAATTTAAAATGTAAATATTAATTTTATATTCTTTTAGACGAAATTAGTCAAACGTTATTTGTTATCCATTTCAACCGTTTACCGTTTACTGAAATGTTGTCCGTTATCTATTTTAATCATTTTTTGAATTGTTTAACGTTGTAGTAATAACGTTTTTAAAACGTTTTAAAGCCCAAGTCACTGCACACATAGTATAAAAAACAATTACGTCAATTAATCTTGTACAGTGTACAGTATACAATCTTATCGTATATTATATATTTTAATATACTACTGCAGCGTTTCTCAACCAGGGGGTCACGATCACCTTGACTAAGAATCGCGTAGGTCAAAAATAATAAAACTTTGATTTAAAAAATGAACCTTTTTATTTAAAACTTTTTATTGAACAAAAAATAATACTTAAAATAATAACAATAAAATTAGCTCAATAAGGATATACATAAAAAAAATGAAGAAACATTATAAAATAAATAATTAGTATGATCGTTAAATTTGTTTTACATTTAAAAGTTGCTTAATGTGTGGTTCAACATCTGAAACACATAAAAGTAAGTTATTTTTTCTAGTGATAACAAACGATTTCTATATTTAGTTTTTATTGCTACTATGGATGAGAATCCTTTTTCGCATAAATAAGAAGTAGCGAACGGAATCAAAATTTTCAATGCCTCTATTACCAAATTTCCATATTCATTTCTCCGAGCAAGCCAAAATTTATTCAAATCTTGAGATGAAAATTCTAGTTGTAATGTTTTATCAGCTGATAATTCTATAAGTTGGTTGTGAGTCTCAACTGGTAATTAAGAAAACAGTGTGTCCATTCAAAATGTAGTATTAATTCTTTTAATTTTACTATCAAACCACTAATTTTCCCTGTTATTACTCTTACGTATACGTTACTCTCAGAATACACTGAAATACATTTATTCCAGTCCAAATTTTCATTTTTTGTTGTTTCAATAAATAATTCAAAAAGACATTGTTCAGTAAAATATATGTTCAAATAAAACATTGTGGCATATTATCCAGTAAAATAAACCCATACTTAAAATATTCATGACCTGGACTTTTTTCGCTGGTTCACCAGAAGTAAACAGTGCGTCAATAAATTAATCGTACATACTATTGTATAGATTGTAGTTTACTTTATCAAAAAAAAAGGTACGGTGAATGATAATAAAAGTTACATGTATGTAGAGTCGGGACGACGAGCTCCTAGCGATCCGGGCTTTGGGTTTCTGGTCCTCCTGCCCCACTCTCTTCCGGCCATGCAACTACATATAATAAAATATTGTAACATATTAAATCATTATAATAATATTTTAATAGATTTATGTAATGATCAAGTTTTTAATGCATTAAATGTATTTTATGAATTTGCAATTTAAATAATTCAGGATTATAAAAAATATATTATGATGCGTTGATTTATATATTCATTATGAATTATATTCACATTCACGTAAATTTATAAACGAATAATTAAGTCTCACTTATCAATTATAGTGATCCCGCGTATCGAGAATTATTTTTTGCGAGGCAATATATCCGTAATATTATGACGTTTTATATGTGACTATTTCATCCGGTATGCAAGGGGTCAATTGGGTTTGGGCAGAGGGAAATATTAATAAAATTGCGTTACGGCAATTATTATAAAAATCGCTCTCGGGCGTCGGAAGACATAAGTCATTATAATATCAAACACTGCGGTGGCGGTGCATAGTCTATCCCGGGAGGAATAAAAAAAAAAATATATATATTTGTATGTAACAAATTAGGTGCTATTATTACTGCTACAACTATACTACCACTCAAATACTACTACTACTACTACCACTACGACTACAACCGCTACTACTATCACTACTACTATCTACTTTACACTACTATTATTACTACCGATTATGATAATAATAACAACCACGACCGATCGGTATCGACGGGCACACACGTGATGATACTTTACCCCTCGCGTACTACTATATCATTATTCACACACATATACACACACACACACGCGCGCGCTGTGGCGCGCGCGCACTCGTGTCCGCACGTATACTTACATAGATATACACGCACACACGGACCGCTAGACGACAGCGAAGGGATACGTAAAAATCGTACGGCGGCGGCGGTCACCGCGACCCGTTCCACCACCCGACGCACACGACTGACGGGCGGCGTGTTCGTCTACACCGCTATCCGCCAAACACCACGACTGGAGAAGTGTAGTGGAGTCCCCCCCCCACCACCGCCACCCGCACGTTACACAGACGAGACGGTCGGTTGACCCAGTTTTCACGGTGGCGCATATACGCGCGCGCACCCAAGGACCCCCTTCCTACAGGGGGGTCGGTGTACGGTATACGCCGCGCCCCCCCTCGAAAACGGGTGGACAAAAAACCGCACTCTCGTTCAAAAAGCGTGCTCGAAAACTTTGCGTCCTCAGTCTTTGTTTAGGTTTACGACTCCCATCACCTATCCGCTGTAGTCACACTGCGCTGCACTGTTTATTGCCGTATACTCGAATCTTTACGTAAATTTCCAACTCTCGGCATCATGACGTTATTATTGGTATACTCGTAGACCGCGGTTTTTCTCTTAATTTTTTTTTTTTACCTCTATCCAAATTTTTTTCATTTTTACTTTTATTCATCATCATTATTAGTTTTTAATTATTAAATACAAATCCTCGAGAACAATTTTTGTTCCATAAAAATTTCCACTAGACTGATCGAGAACTTTTGCGTTTTTCGAACGCGTCGATTTTCATTCGTTTTTTCTGAAATATTTTATCCAGCAACTTCTCGATTCTTTCCGATAGTCAATCAGTCGAGTGAATTTTTTGCCACGCCGACCAACCACGATTGTTAGCAAGCCTAAAAAAGACATTATATTATCGCGATAGCCGTTGAAAACGCCGGCTCACCAATATGAATAATAAAAGTCCCGCCAACTCGATTTTCGACGGTTTCAAAAATAATGCCATGTCCAAGTTGGGCGTCACAAAACTTCTCTCTCAAAGTTTGTAAGTGTCATATTATATTTCTAAATGATTATATTGTTATAACACACAACAAATCAGATCAGATTTTTGTATTATTTTATTGCACTGACGAAAAAAAAATTAAAATTATACGTTTAATAATATAGATAATAATATTATTATGCTTATAATAATGAAATACATATTTTTTTCCACTTGCTTAATAATATATTATTTTTGAAACGTGCACGCTTATATTATTATGACAGTAGTATTATTTAAATTTGTATCTTATCATACAGGACATATTATTATATTATAGTATTATTGTTATCGTGTTATAATCGGTTGATTCCGTTTAATGACTAAAAAATGCTGTATATATTGTTCGTGAAAACGGCGAATTTTCTTAATGGATAATATTCCCTACCTCCCCATATTCCCCGCAACCTTCCAGCTGATGACAGCTATTTTATTGTTACCTACACGTAACGTCTGTAGGGTGGTATAAATTATTATTCGGCGATATTATATTATATACTTTTACACAGCCATACCTCCCTAGAGCCATAATGATAAATATAATGTATTTTTTTTTTTTTTTTGTAATTCATTCCTAAAGACATCTCTAATGTAAACGATATTGTCGATTTGAACATATACACCACCGATACCGTACGGGTTAACGACTCGCTACAGTAAAGTAATAACCGTAATCGAAATCACAAGAACGTTGGACGTTCGAACAAATATTATCATTGTTAAACCAACTATTATTATAATATATACTAATATTGCATTAAATATTCAAAAAAAAATTGCCCTTAAATTTACGTAAATCCATAATGCGTTAGTGTTATTTCAAAAACAACGTAGATACCTGTCTGTAGACTCTAAAACTAAAATACCTATGTAAGTAGGTACTTTTTACAAAAATACGACTATTGTTTTTAATTTAAATTTTAAATTTCGTCTTTTATTTTAGGATTTCAAAACTAAACATATCGACGTTTATGAAAAATATTAATTCGTAAAAATAACGTTATTCGTAGTGTTGTAATGCTAATATTATCGTAGTACCTATAATAATGTCGAATCGATCAGTTTTATTTAACTTACGCGGCACTCATATCGACACATACACTTATACTATAGTTAAAACAAATAATTCTAAAAACTATCTGTAAATCGTACTCAAAATCATAAATATTATATTATATTCAATATTATTCATAAATCGCTTGAATTTATTAACACACTATGATTCATCAACTAAAACTGTATCATCTACGATACACATTTATAAGTATTTGATGATAAATATAGTTTCTAAGGAATTTTCGTAAATACTTTTGTCCATCATCGTTACACATATTACTCGTATTCAAAACACATTTTAAAGAGAATACAAATCCCACGAGAAATAGTGATTGATATGTATAAACGAACCATTATAATATTATATAATTTTTTTTCCTTAAAATTCTAGTATAGTTTGAAATAAATTATAAAAGTATGTCAAACAATTTACTTTTGAAAGTCATCTAACTTCAGTGTGTAAAAAAAGGCGTTTAAAGTTTTCGTTACTTTCATGGCATAATTGTCGAAACAAACGATCGTTGAATGATTTAGCTTTGATATTATTAATAGCAACATTTACGACTCATTGCATTTAACAGTCGTAACATGTAATCCACTACTTAAATTTTTAGGTACCAAATGTTGACGATAAATAACGCACTGAATAAAATTTTTGAAATCTCGGGAACTGCATTTTTTAAATGAGTAATTAATCACGTTGAGGACCAATTATTGTTGATCGCACAAGTTATACAATATATGATAGGAATACCCTTTTATACGGAAAAATTGTTTTTTACTTTGAATATAGTTAACCCTTTGGTATCCATAATTTTTCAATTAATAGTTCTTCCATTATTTTTCCATCAGTACTTACATACCGCACGTATGCAATTAACAAGGCTTTGTTATCTCTTTAAATGAATTCGTCAAATTTTGTAATTTTTAAAATATCACACAATTTTATTTCAACATTATGCGCCATTTCATCGATTCGCTTGGTCATTGCATAACTAAAAGGTTTAGATGAAATTATGTCAGAAACATTTAAACTTGTCTTTGAATTTAATATTTCTTCCACAGTGGGTAAAATAAGTTTTTCGGTATTAGTGTGTGGTTTTCCACATTTTTCAACTGAAATAGACATTTTGTGTGATTCAATAAGATTTTTATCGTGATTTAAATGCATTTTATTAAAAAGCCCACAGTTTTTACGGTTTTAAAGTTATTCGTTTTTCAAATTTATTCTTTAAGTCTTGAAAATATAAAATATTTTTGTTAGTTTTATCTATTTTTTTTTTTTCATAAATAAGACACAATGGTAATTTTTTATTTGTTGGAGATCCAATAAAATCAAATTTTAAATATTCAATGGAATATTTTTATACTTTTTGTTTTCGGACATAATTACGAATAGGTATAACTTAACGTACACGCAAAATAAATTATAACTTCATGTAATAAATACAAGTATAATATGATTTTCAGAAATATCATTATGATAATGAGATCAAATAAAGCTTATCGGTATCGATTTGATAAAATAAAAGGTTGTTTATTACCATTTTTCTGTTATTATGGTGTGTATAAATAATACAATATTATTAAATTTTTTTTTATTGAACGCAGTTTTATATTTCATTCCAATAAGTTATGAATTTGCTATAATTGTTTTTAATAATAGTTAATTATTTTTGATAATGAAAGTCACAGTAGAATCGCTTCCTTAGCGCCTTTTTAATTAAAACGCCCTTCAAAATGAAAAAGCCTATAAGAGGGTGGTACCACCCATGCTAGGAATCACTGTATTACATTTTTTAGATACCTAACTCAAAATTGAATAAATAAAAACTAAAATAAAAATATCTTAGATTGTTATTGAGAAAGAGATACAATATAAAAATACTACTTTTATATTTTTAAGTGATCAATAATTAGTGCATAATTTTCTAAATTTGTTTACTGAATCTCTTTAAATTAATAAAATATGAACATTAATTAAACAATTTTCCGTGAGTTTGGAGTTTGATATTTTATAATATTATTCTACTATTAATATATACTCGTAACTCATAGGCCATATGGATAATTAGTCTTTTTGCAAAAAGACTAGGCTCTTTGTGATGGGTAGCGTTTGCGTTTGCGAACTACTTATTATTTTTCAAACGGCTGACTGTTTTTCAGACTTATTGCAGACAGACTAACAGCAGTTAGGCTTTTTAAGAAAATATAAAATTATTATATAGTGATTATTATTAAATCTTATTGTAATTTATTACTTAGGAATATAAAAAGAAGAAAAAAGAAATTATAATATTATGTGAACTGTAAACTTATACATTTTACCTATTATATTAGACCATATTAGATTTAATAATATATTTATTTAGTGAAGTTGTATATTATTGTACAGTTTTTGACTATTGTATTGCTAATTGAAGTCATTTATTTTTAAATCATATTACTAATATCACTAAATAACTAACTATAGTAAAAAGTTACAATCTAATCTACTGATTAGTTTTCACGCATTACTTCAATCCTATTTAAATCTAAATTCACATAAAAACTTGTGAACTCTCAAATCAACTGCCCTGAACTACTAATACCTTTAAATGCTCCTTGTTTTAATACTCATGTATCATATACTTTTTACACTCCTACCTATCGTCAAAATAACAGTTCTTTCGCTTCAATTCATATAATGTTGATTACAGCCAACTCATTAAAATATTTTGATTTTTTTAATGATGACTCAACTAGATTAAAACATCTAGTATAAGGTATTTTTTGTAATTTTTCATTATTTTTTTTTATTTTACTCTTAGTTATGAAGTATTATACTACATTTGTTTATTTACTGTCTGTACTGAGCCCAACATGGCGTGTATTATAAATGAATAAATAAATAAATAATTCAAATACTCGTTTGTAATGTAGATAAATATAAATTAATTTAATATAAACTTCACCAAATACATATAATATACATATTACATATAATACTTATATATAATATAATTCTTTTGTTCTTTCTTGTGTACAAGTAATAAATTATAATAAAATTACTATATAATGATTGTAGTTCGCTTGCTGTTAGTCTGTCTACAGTACGTCTGAAAAGCAGCTGACTGTTTGGAAAAATAATAATTAGGTCACAAAGAGCATAGTTTTTTTGCAAAAATACTAATTTTTTAATGACCTATGACATATATATATATAAAAAACTAAATATCACAACCGTATATTCATGTTGTCGGGGTAAATAATTAGTGTGGATCAAAATGTTTCCTAACTAACGATCATTACCTATTTTGTGTGCTTTAAATGGAAATATTCTAAAATTTTAAATCAAATTCTAAGAAAAATTATTTAAAATTGTTTTCTTGACGTTTATATTATAGGCGAATAACGCATGAGAAGAAGTTTTGGAAAAGTGGTTTTATACATTTATATATGCGGGACAAATTAAGCTTGAACCATTTATTGTGATAATCCTGGATTAATAGTAATCAGGGGATTAACCCGTCAACCGGTTAGTCGTACATAAGAGTTTTATTAAAACGTTGAGCTTAACTAAAAATCATATGACGGCCGAAAAAGTTTTAGAATACTAGTAACACAGTTAACATAATGACAATAACTACGATAATATAGGTTTTCAGTACCTATCTAATATATTATGTATTTTGGTGTGCAGCTATTCAAAACTATCTAAAAATAAACAGATTTTCATTATTTTCTCACAGACTTAAGAAGAATACGCATTTTGTTGTAATATTCCGAAATGAAAAACAAAATATTAAAATGTGTCCTACCTTTCCAACTTCTCACCTACAACAATGGCTCACCCATCGTACAAAGTATGTTCTTTGGTAGTTTGTGTATATTATCCATGCGATACATATATACTTTTAATGAAATCACGAGTCGTATATTTTTTGTTACAATTATATTTTATTTACTATATTTAAAAGAAAAAGAAAATAATAATAATAGTTCTTTTAATATTAACGTAGAAATAAAAAGAAATGAATTAACGTTCAAGTCGCAGAGCTAACTTAATTTTCACCCCAAGTCTCTACACGTCTGTGTTGTAATATTTTAGGGTACACAGTTTTTGTGAAATATTTTCTCGTTGAAATATAGACTGTCCCACGAAGATATACCCCTTATAAATCTCTAGAGATAATAAAGATAATCAAATGCTGTTTTTTTATATTACTCACAGGGAAGAGGACTACAAATATTTATATTTAAATTGATTTTTTTTTTATTAAAAAAAATAACTTTTTATTTTATTATTTTCTGTAAATTTAAAGATAGTCATTCTGTAAAAATTATTTTTCTGAAAATTTTAATGCATCACATATTTATATCCGATGAATAGTTTCTAAGTAACAGCCATTTAATTATAAATAAAGTTATTTTTAAAATTTGTTTGATAAAAAAAAAATCAATTAAAATATAAATATTTGTAGTCCTCTTCCCTGTGAGTAATATAAAAAAAAAAACAGAGTTATTATTATCTTTATTATCTCCGGAGATATTCAAGGAGTATATGTTTGTGGGACAGCCTGTAAATAGAACTATTTAATTTTGTATTTAATAAATTCAAATTTAATTTGCTATTTTGAAAAATTAATATGGTAAAACATTAAAATGCACAATGAAAATAAACTGAAGATATCCGCCGCTAACTAGGGCTATTACGCTCTGGAAAAATTTTTCTAGTTAAAACTTCTATCTAGACGATCAAAGAAACATCTTTACTTGAGTTTCCTACGACCAGTTTTAATATATATGTGTGAAACCTGGATGACTATTAAAGGTGATGAGAAAAAAATGCCTTGCTTTGAAAGAAGAATATTGATAAAAATATTTAGACCTATTCTAAAAAATGAAGAATAAAGAAGAAATGCAACAAATATACTTGAAACCTAGTACTAATTGCGTATCTAATGAGTAAACGAGTTGAGTGGGCTGGCTATGTTTCAAGGTCTAACGGAATTTTTAAAGACAACCTTGGTCAGGAAAATAGAAGAGAAAATACCTAAGGGTCGTCCTAGATAATGTTGGATAGACAGGATTAATGATGATTTAAATAAGTGCACTCAAGGAGTTGCAATAGTGGACCGTATTAATAGAGTTAAATGGAAGAATGTATTTGAGGCAGCGAAAGTTCTTTTAGAACCGTAAAAGCTTGAAAAGAAGCAGAAGAAAACACAAAAATATACTATTAAGTAGGTATAAATATTTCAAAGGCTATCTTGTAATATGAATAATATTATTCTTGCATAACTTTTGTAATTGTTAATTGAATTTCACTTTTTGATTCCAAAAATGAGTGAATAAATATGGCACAAGTTATGAAGCAAGTTATCAACTATTATGAAGCATGTTGTATTATTTTAAAAAAATAAACCGTAATAATATTTGTTTAGCATATTTTAGATTCTGAGTAGAGCAAAGAAGCATATGGTATTATAAAGATGTTCATTTATTTTTTTTTATCAGTGCACAACTTTTTTATCAGAAGACTTGCTCGAACTTCTACGTGTAGCACCTTTTTTTGAAAGGGAATCGGCGTTGGGAGATACTTTAAGAGGGTGGTTTTTCGATTTTCTCAGGAGTTTTCTTATCAAATTTAAAATACTGAAAAAACAGGAAAATATAAGAAATGTAAGTGTTAGTTAAAAATTATTACGGCCTTCCTTTTCCTGTGAACAACTTTTCTACCAGCAATTTAGTTCTAGCTTTTAATGACAGCAATGTTTCTTAAAGGAAATTTCACTAGGGAGGTACTTTAGAGTGGTCATTTTTCGGTTTTCCCATGAGTTTTGCTTGCAAATGTGAAAAACCGGGACAAAACACGGGAAAATCGGGAAAAATGTAGGAAAAATGTGTGATAGACTTTTCATTATCCTAATAACGTTAAGTGCACAGTAATAAATTAATCAAAATAATATATATAGGTAGGTACATAATATTTTGTAATTATAACTATTAAAATTGTCAAATATCACTAAAATTATAATTTACTAAATACATCTATGAATATTTGTAGGTACCTGTAGATAATAAATATATTTTTTAACTAATTGTTATCAAATTAATTTTTTCGCGTTTCATAGAAATAATGAATCCGTAATTTAATCCAAAAACGTCGTATTCGATTCATTACACTTTTTAAATTAAAAACCTTTATATATTGATTACGTAGTAATAATATTTAATTCGATTAATTGAATAACATTATGCAATATTTTGTAATCATAGATAAATTAGGAAAGCTGACTCAATGTGCATGTAAAATTCCCGGTTCTAAACATATGAACGTATTTAAACAATAAACTTACCGTATAATGGTACACAATTATGAATTTGGTAATCTTGTGCTTATGTGTTGAAACCTAAATAAATTAAATATCTCAATATTTGTTAATAGTGGACAGGATAAATTCTTAAAGTACTTATATTTTGGTATCTATTTTTAATACTGAGCAGTACGCATTTATGTTTAATGCTCATGTTTAAATTAATAATGAAATACTAGTGTTTATACTACGGATTATTATGTTAATGAAGTTATGATTAGTTGTCCCACCCGGCTTTGTCCGTGCAATAAAAAAGTATCTCTCCATATTCACCGAATATATCATAAATGTGTGTGACAGTATATTTGTGTATTATTTATTATAGTTGATAACTCGATTGTTTATTAACTCAAAGAATAGGAATCAGGCTTAACACCTGCTCCTCGGTGTATTTTACTATTAAATAAATTGCAATCGTCAACCCGTTAACGAGATATTCCATTTTTAAGTGTAGGTAGGAGAGAGTTGTGGAGCACTAATAAAATGCCGTGTCTTCACAAAAATGATACTCCACTACTCTCCCATTACCTATATCTATACCTCGTTTACAGAAATCAAACATTTTGACACCAAAATGTATTTAAAGTAGTATATATTTATATATTATAAATGTCTCCTTTAAATATACATGTACCATCGCGAACTTTTTTGCAGGCCTTTTTCACAATTCTATAGTACATTATTTTGTATTATATTATATTATACTATATTATTATATTATTTTATTTCATAGGTTTAGTTAGCGTTAGCAATGTAAGCTGAATGTAATGAAGAAATTCTCTAAATGATAAAAAAAAAACCGTATTAAAATCCGTCGTGTAGTTAAGAAGAATTAAGCGTACAGACATACGTGGATAGTGATTTTGTTTTAAAGATAAATAGGTAAAGTTATATATTTATAGGAGGTAATCTCTCGAACTGCTGATCCGATTCTGAAAATGTTTACACTGATAAAAAGCTATACCCCTATACTATTCCTGAGTGATATAAGCTATTTAATTAATTTTTTTTATTCAATACTTTGTGCAGGCCAAGCCATGTGGTATAGCTATAGCATAATACAATAATAATAATGTTACGAATTTGTATATAATACTCATAATATCTGTATTAATAATAACAATGATAATAAAATAATACTTTATAATAATAATAATAATGTTAAGATTAATATACGTATATATTATCTTTGTTGATCGAATTGACTACGTAAAAATATTCACCAGTATTACTTTATATTATTATTATTATTAATGTAAACCAGTTTAACTATACGAACGCACAGACACAACGGGGATATATAAGTGTATTATGCTTTGAAATTTAAAAGGGCTAAAGCACGTGGGCGTACCACTGTTTTAGAAGGAAAGTTGGAGTAGAAAATATTAAGTAAAGGATTTTAATTTATATCTGTATGCATTGCCAACCAAAAACAATTTTGAAAATAGAAGTATTGTACTAATCGTATTTTTCTTAGTTAATAATTGGGAAAAACTTTACTTTTTTAAACCGTACTAATTTACGGGAGTAAAAATTCCATCATTTTCGATTTTGTTTTTCTGCCAGAAACCTTGCTCTGAATTTTAAGTGTAGTAATCTTTCCTTGGTTTTATGATTGCCCTTTTGTTTTTTAATAACTATGACTGTGTAAAACCAAGAAAAGCTTAGTAAAAACGGAAAAGTTAATGGTAATAACGATTTTATTATTTTTGGTTTTGTTTTTTTCCATGTTACCTAAATAGCTCGACAATTATACAAAATTTTCCATTTTTCCGGTTAATAAAATCCTACAAGGAAAATCAAAAAATTATCTTTTCAGTACACAAACTAAACTAAAATATCGAAAAAAACATTTCTATAAAGTTTTTGATTGGAGCATGACATTAAAATATCTGGTAGAAAAGTTATTTGCAGATAAACGAATGAAAAAATATAACATTATAGTAAAACTAATACGTTCCTCACTACGCTCTGAATCTAAAAGGAAAATTAATATTATGGAATTGGTAAAAAAGAAAATAGATTAATTTAAATTATGATTATAGAATACTTATCTACCCATATAATCGTACGTTTATTTTTTTAACAGTTCTAAAAACCAATCATTTTATTAAAGTACCTATCTAAAAAATTATTTTAATAAGGGCATTATTAAAATATATCGAGTGTTTTACTAAATTGACCAACCATAGTACGACTAAATACAATTTCTCATTTCTAAGTTTTATATTATTATGTTTTCAATTTTGCAATCATGTTTTAATTACATTATTTCAGTTGTTCAATTTTTATTATTATTAAAATTGTATTGGGTTTGTTGCGGATTTTGTGTGTATTAATTCCCCCTGGGAATACTATGTATTTACTCTTGTATTTACAATCTGGTTATTATATTGGCGAGAAAACCGCAAGTTAGCAATTATATGGTCTTCGGAAATCATCTTTATTTTTAAAATGAAAACGAATGAACTTCATAGAGGTATAAAACATAAATATTTATATTTTATATAGACATAAAAATAGATAGAAAAATATATTAAATTTACTTGAATGTAATATAAACTTTTTATAAATAAATTGATAATTTATTAAAAATAATACAGCAATTCTTTTAAATAATATTATTACAAGGTTTGGTATTTTTATGCAATTTGATTTTTTTTAGAAAGAGTGGGGTTGGACGTATAAACGACTTCAATAAAAATAAAAATCTATGATCGTATTACCTATTATTGAATATCTCACTGTTTTAATTTGCTTTGCTTAGATACCTAAAAGATTGCTTAATACTTGTAAACTTGAATTTTTTATTTTTAGTTCTTAGTTTGAATTTATTTGGATTATATGGGATTTTTTTTATGATTACTTTAATTTTACTAATGTCATGCTAAATAATTTTCCGTGGTTCAAATAAATAATATTTAGATAAATTATTTTATATTTTCAAATAATAGATATGTTCCACATAACAAGCGAACTTCGACATAATATTTAATTAATGTTTTACTTCTAATGTTCATGATTAAATTAATGTTGAAGTTTGATTGAATTATGACCGTTTTAATATATATCGAACATAGCATAGAACTCATTTGAACCGGAAAATTAGATTGAATGAACACTTGTTCCATAATGTTATCTGTATGTTATTAAGTAAATATCTATCAAACCTAATTTCTTGGTTTTTTTTATTAAGAAAACTCCTTAGTACCCCTAGTTTTTTGGTTTTTTCGTTATTTCAGTGTATTTTATCGCTTAACAAAATATGGTAACTTATTTAAAAATAATGTCCTCCCCACCCGAAAAAAAAAAAAAAATGGCTACGGTAATCTATAATATAATGTAATGATCAAATACAATAATAATAAAAATTTTATTTAACTGCCAACGACCAGACAAATTATATGTTTTTAGTGTATGTTATTTTATGTATGAAAATGATAAGTAAATCTCGGTCAACCCGTTGTAGTGGTCGTGGCGTAATTTTTATCGTAATAATATTTGTTTATTATGGATGATATGAGGAATCCACTATAGTACACTTTTTTTTTATTCAACAATAAAATTTAAGTTTTAGTAAATTAGGTGAGACATTATATCTTCAAATTTGGAAATAAAAATCTGATTTTGATTTTTTTTTTTGTCAGAAAATAATAAAAATTTTCTGTTCTGATTTTGGATAAATTTTTTTATATTTTGAACATTTGTTATTAAATTTTTTGTAGCAATTTTCAGCCTAAACTTAAATATTATTCAGATTCAAAAATATACAATAGATACCTATATAAATTTAATCAAATCCAAGCAAACAAAGAATGTTAACCACAAGTTAGTGTTTTCTTAAATATACTTACACATTATACGAATGGATTACCTACTTACATTATTAAAGATTATAATATCAATTTATATACTTACATAGCAATGAAGTAACCAGATTTATAACTATTGTTTATTATCACTTCATAATATATATTAATTTAATAATTATTCAGTGTTTATTTTATTTTCCTAAATTCTTAAACTAGGATATTAAATAACATAAATATTTAAGCATAATTTAAGTACTAGCATTAAAAACATAAATAGCATAAACATATACAGTCAAAATCAAAGTCTAGGAATTTAATAAACATGTAACATAAATTACAAAATAAATGCATCGATATTCAAAATATATAAATATATATGGAGTACATTTATTTTATTAAATTATAAATGAGAAAGGAATAATATGTACATTATTTTTGAAAATTCAAATTTATGATAACGTAAAATGGGTGATCTCTAATCACATTTTATTTCCCTCAGCAGATGACTTACTATACATGTGCAGTACGGATTGCTGACATATCTAGTTATAAAGCCATGATATATCTATAATATTATATATTATTATATTATTAAATGCGTCTATGGTAGAATATCAAATAGAAATATCGAATTAATTTTGAAATGCAATATAATTATTTAGATTATAACAATATTAATGTAATCATATTATATCATATTTTATTAAGTATCAAGTAAATACTTAAATCAGTACCAGCTAAAGATAGGGGGGGGGGGTAAACGGTGAGCCTAACCGGGCCCCGCAAATTATGTATTCCGAATATATTTTATCTATAAATAATCATAATAATATTGTCTCAATAGTAAGCGAATTTCGATACACGTGCCGTGTGAAAGTGAGGTTTCTTAGAACAAGGTTTATTATTGATGAAAATCTAGATGATACCAATTATATAAAGTTAATAAAAATATTAATTATTAAAATATTGTTTGTACCTATTATAAAAATACAAATTTGATTTTATTATTTATATGTTGGTATACAAATTTAAACAAGACCTTAAAGCCTATAAAATTATATGAAAATAAAGTAAGTACGTTAGAAAATAAAATTAATTTATGTATATATACATATGGGGCCCGCAAAATTCTGCACCGGGTCCCGAAATCTATCAAGCTGGCAGTGACTTAAATTAACACATTAACAATGCAATTCTAATTTAATGTGTGAAAAATGTTAACTAATTAACCTTTATTTATGATACTATATTTAAATGTTTGTCATTGTATATTTATTCAGCATTTAAAACAAATTAACTTTTTAATATTTATAATCTAATCTAAATTAAGTGCTTATATACCACAAAGAATTTATTTGAATGTAAACGCTTAAAAATAAACACTTAATCTAGTATTATCAAATATTATTTTTGGAACCTTTCAAATTCAACTGAACTTCAATGTTTATAGAAGTTTTAACTATAGAAAATACTATATGGAACTACTTGCATTTTTTTGGAATCTCTATTTTATTCGGTTTAAATATTGATTATAGACTGCATTATTGGTGGTTATAATAATTTCATAATGCTGGTCTTCCGATTTTGTACAAATTTTAAACTTCTTTAAATTCATATTTTAAAGTTTACAATGAAAATAATGGAAAAAGGAGTTTAATACGATATGTAGGAAATCTTTTTCTTTTTAATAATAAAATAACCATCGAAATCTGAACAACAGGAGGCATGAGGGTTTTTCCTGTAAGGCATGTTTTTGAACCAAAAAAAATGTCATTAAAATATTTAAAAAAATTAGGCCAAATAATTAATTAATATTATATTATGGATGTGATTTTATCTTATGATACGAAGGACATGATTATTTTATGTACATAAAAAAATATTACGGTAATATCAATATATTGTATTGCAAATTTGAGTTTTTAAATTATTCCAGATGTGAAATATCAAATATTGTCATAATTTTTAATACTATGCACTTTCTTTCCCCAAGTTACCTATTTTCTGTACGTATACAACTATATTTTTTGAAATGAGTATTTTTGTTTATTTATTTAATCGTGTTACTCGTGTAATAAAATAAAACTGTTGAGATTTGATTATTTTCCTGTGGGCACAATTTCTCAAATGTTACTTGATCAAAAACAGAGATATAAAACTATGTGTATACAGAAGATTTTATATAAAATGTCCAACAGCATATTTCTGGTGAATCTAAATTGTAAAGATAAAAGTTGATTCAATATAAGTTTAAAAATTATATACGTAAATGATATTTTTCGATTTAAAATTCTTCACTTTTATCCGTGTAATATTCAGTATTTCACATTTTCATTTTATAATTAATATCAAAACATATTATATTCAATAATTCTGATATGAAAAAAAAATAATATCGTTAAAACAGTATTTGACATAAATATATCTAAAACAGTAATATAAAATAAGTACTAACACAATATTACTTTTCAATAAATATCATACTGGCCGTTTTATTCCAATTTGTTTAGGATTATGAAAATCCTAGCCCCAAATTTTTTATACTGTTATTCAATTGAAGTTTTGGTTTTAGATTTGGTTTGTTAGTAATAATACTTGATTGATGTTTTTCTAATTTTTTAATAGTTTCTTTTTTTCTTATGTCAGTATTTTGAAATTAATTAAAATATTTATTATAAAACAATAGTGGCTTTATATTTTTTACTATGATAAGGAATAATAATGCACATGTTAATAAATAAAAATATGAATATTTGTTTTATCAGGTATAGTGCAGTGTGTAATTTAGAAAAAAACCTTTTTTTTATCATTATTTCTTAAATACCGATCCACATTCTTAATTGTATATTACCTATAATAGGTATTTTTATGAAATCATCTTTTCGTATTAGCAATGGTTTATCGTTGCTTACTTCTCACTTACAACAGTGGCTACACCCGTCCCCATTATCCTAGGAAAGCTTTTTATATCATAAAATGCATTTATATTTTTTAATTCAATTAACAATTGTACAAATTAAATTTAATATACATAATTTAAATTAGGTATATTTTATTTAAAACAGATATAGTAGATCATCAAAAAGTTTATCATTCGAATTTTTTGGTTCAGCAAACAGGCCGTAGGTATTAAAGAATAGCAGTAAATAAATAAATA